CGCTGCATGCAGCTGCAGCAGCTAGTTAGCTCCCTGCAGCAACAGAACCAAACTGCCCAGCAACAGCTCAAAGCCACCAAGGCCGAGAACGAGATGCTCGCTGATCGTAACCGTGCCCTTGAGTTCCAGCTCAAGTCCTACGAGCAGATGTTCCGTTCCCCCAAGTCCGAGAGCACCAGCCCCGGCCCTTTGCTAGAGTTCCCCGAACACAAACGCCAAAAGAAGAACGGTCTACCTGGTATGCGGGTTCTCTGCGATGAGATTGCTGCAAGCATGCCTTCCGAGTCTTCTTATGCTACCTTCCACGACTCCATGCCCAGCTCCACCTCGCAATCCTTCAGCAGTTCCTATCTCACTCCAACCCCACCCATGACTGGTCCTTCTTCTCCAGCCTTCCCTCCTTCCCACTCTTCGTCTTTTTCATTCCCGGCGCCGTCTCGCCGCCCCTCTCATATTGCGTCTCCATAAGGCCGCAGTGGAGATTGATGATGCACGCCCAATATTGAACACTGTTCCCTGATGATATCATGACTCTACCTTTTTCGTCTGTGCTGCATCCACATCAATCCCTTGCAGCAATGATCTCCCTTACTCTCGGGGTAGTGTGGCTTAGTCCGTCCGTCTTCCCGCCCCATGTGCATTTAGCGCCTGCATTGTGTAACAATATTTTGTTTAATCTCAGGGATGAACGAGAAAAATCCCAATTTGCTCGAATCTTTTCCTTTGTTGACTTTGGCTCGAATTTCCTTTTCGTCTTTTTTCTTGGACAGATCTGGTGGCTTTTTTTTTTCTTTTTGTCTTTTGTTCTTTGGCGTTTAGAGTGTGGATATATTGTTCGGGTGGATATATTTTGGCTTTTATTTCTTATTTCCTTTGTCACTTGCGTCTTTCTTTTCTATGTCAATAGCTACGACTCAATGGATCATCTTCGATGAAAATCATTATTTTCTGTACTCTGTAGATTACGGTGGTTGGGCATGTAGCGCATACTGGATATGCTTGTATACATTAGGATACCGGCTATATTGGTATGCCTTCCTAGAGCTAACGCGAGTTGGCTTTGAGAAGCGGACTCCGATGTATTCATTTACAATATAAACATACTGTAGCCTTTTAGCAAGTGATGGATTCTGTGCTCATATTTTAGAAACTATATATACCCCAATCCCTTGCTCATTATGTATAGTCCGTGGTTTATATTGTTGCCTAGCTCATTCAAGACGCTAGATTGAAATGAGCGATATACGATGTATCATGTTTTTTACACCAAGCTTTACCACAGGAATTGTGAGGACACTGAATTCCCATGTGATAGTATAGAGCTGAACACATAATTTTATGTATTTGGATACTTCCCCTTTTAGGTTCAAACATACAGTCATTTCTTATACATTCTTGGACACTGGGCCTACGACATAAGAATGCAAACAATGTTCCAAGTAACACCATAAAGATTTCTTCTTTTCGACGAATCAGCGACCAAATGTTGTATTAGGTGTCAGCTGGTGGAGACGAGTCTAGACTTTTTGAAACGGACAAGTGTTCTCCTAGGCAATTGGGAGTTTGGGGATTTGGAAGATAGGAGGTCGAACTGATTTGTTTTTCAAATGAGAATAGTAGTTCAAAATTATACTGGTTGTTTCAAATGTAGGAATTGAGGTGCATGCACTCTCTATTCTGTACTATGTTGTATATATATATGGTTTTCGGCCGTGTCTCACTTTAAAACTTCGAGATTTTATCCTCACTGTCATTCAATGTTTTCAAATACTTTTTTTTTTGTATTTCTTATTTGATTTGAAATGGAATCTTAGCAGCAAAACAAACAAAGAAGAAAAAAAAAAAAGGGGAAATATCTCTAATTACTCGGGTCGAGAAAAAACAAAATAAGGCCAAAGTACAGCGTGTCAGGTGTGCACACGCGATCCCTGCAAAATGTCTGGGGGAGTACAGCCCTGGGGATGACAGCTCTGGAGAGTACGGAGTAAAATGTACAACACATGTGTGTCGACAAAAGATGATGAACTACTATAAATTAGCCCCTAAGTTAGCTCACAGGATTCTAGGCGATCAATAGGCTATAAATAAAAATTAAGGAAAACGGTCTCGGCGCGGATGTGTTTAAGGGGAACTGTTGGGATTGAATAACTTGATATGTATATTCTGATTCAGTATAATAGAATAGACAGTAAGATAGACTTATTAAACAAATTAATAAACTACATTTACTTAGAAATTTATGCTCATCTTTGAAGAAATGTAGTCGTCTTACTCGATATTAGCCGTTCTTGGCAATCAATCGCATTTCCCCCGTTCCCGATCCTATTTTCTCCCTATCAACACCTCAACTTATTCTCGATCCTCCTTTTCTTCGCCACAGGGGGATTACGAATCGGGAGCGCCCCTGAATTTCTACACCTCATCTTTCATCATGTTGTTGCCAAAGGGGGGTGTTAATTGGAAATCGGCCAAGGCCAGATTGCCGCCATGGAGGGCAATGATCGTTTTATTAACACGGACTCGCTTCCTGGTGTCCATAGCCTTAACGGGCCTACTCATCCTCATGTGGCGTGGTGTAAGCAGGTCTGCATCAGAAATGCAAAGGTGAGCCGGAATACATAACCTATTGGGGGTTAATACTGACTCGACTGGCGCCAGCTTCTACTGCTATGGTTCTAGCAAATCACCCATGGAGATGTCCATCAACGAGATGGTCGAATGGAGTGCCCACGCCCAGACCCCCGTCCTCTTCAACCGCCACGAACCTTACGAAGTCAACTCCACCTCCATCGTCGATCTCGACCTGAACCCGATCAAATCTACCTCCAAGGCCGCTTTGAACCGCGAACGCGTACTCATCCTCACTCCTCTTCGTGACGCCGCTCCTTACTTGGCCAAATACTTCGATCTCCTTTACAAACTGTCCTACCCACACGAATTGATCGATCTGGCCTTCCTCGTCGGTGACTGCAAAGACGACACCCTCGCAAACCTCGCCTCCGAACTCGATCGCATCCAGAACCATGCCGAGGAGAAAGTCCGCTTCCGCAGTGCGACCGTTATCCAGAAGGATTTCGGTGCCGATGTTGAGATGAGTGTGGAAGAGCGACACTCGTTCGCCGCACAGGGTCCACGACGCAAGGCTATTGCCCGTGCCCGGAATTACCTTCTCTACTCGGCTCTGAAGGCGGATCACTCCTGGGTGTACTGGCGGGATGTGGATATTACCGACTGCCCCGAGCGTATCCTGGAGGACTTCATGGCTCACGACAAGGATATCCTCGTGCCAAGTATGTGATTTTGTTCGGAATCTGAATTGGAGGTTGAACAACTGGCTGACTGTGATTTCTTTTAGACATTTGGTTCCACCGTTACAACCAGGATGGCCACGATATCGAGGGTCGCTGTATGTATACCAATGTCATCCTGTGTACTATGCAGATTGCTGACATCTTCACTCTTAGTTGATTACAACTCATGGATCGAATCCGACAAAGGCCGCCGCCTGCGCGCATCTCTACCTACCGACACTGTTCTCGCCGAAGGATACAAAGAGTACGACACTGGCCGCACCTACCTGGTCAGCATGGGCGACTGGCGAAACAACAAGGACGATGAGGTGGAGCTTGACGGAATCGGTGGTGTCAACATCCTCGTCAAGGCTGACGTGCACCGCTCCGGCATTAACTTCCCCGCATACGCCTTCGAGAACCAAGCCGAGACTGAAGGTTTCGCCCGTATGGCCAAGCGAGCTGGCTACCAGGTGGTCGGACTGCCCAACTACGTGGTCTGGCACATTGATACCGACGAGAAGCCCGGTAACCTTGGAGACCGTAAAGCGTTCTAATTTCCGCCTGCATTCCGCCAGAAATCTCGCTTAGGATCAAGTTGATCTTTGATCCCTTCGTCCTCGATCATCCACCATTCTCCATTGCCGCCTGTGTGTCGCCTTCCCGATCATTACCATTGGAAGCTCATAACCATGGCGGATTTCACTTCTCACTTGACCCCTTTTCATTTTCCTTTTCTTTTGGATGGATGTTTCGCGACGGAAAGCCTAATGACTTCCCTAATACAGTATCTTGCCGCGTTCTAGGGAGTGTGTGTATTTGTTACCTTGGCGCTACGGGGGAAAATGTCGTTTGGCGGGTCGCAGGTCTATAAAGTTCTCCGGTTCTCTACGCCTTGATATACCGAATTTGTGTTGGGGACATACATCCTAGGATGTGTGTATATCCATGTACACTCGAGTCAATCTCAATCATTACGCAAACCTACATCAAGGACCGAGAACCGGACCGTCTACTGTCATGTGTCGTTTTCTTGTTCCCAAATTTGATTCTGATTCTGCTACGCAGGTCACCTCCAAATTTTCTCTATATTTCATCTTTTTTTTCCCTCGTTTTCCCCATATGCTGAGCTGGCGTCCTTGACTTTGTTTTTTTTTAGATGGGAGGTAGGATATCAGGGCCTACCCAGTTGAGATCCAGATAGATACTGTGTGATGAGTCCAGATCTCTTGCAGAAGTAAGGCAGATATCCGTGCTTCACTGGCCTGTCAGGTTTCATGTATATAATTAATTGCACGATTTTATTCCTGCAAAAAGGCCAAATCGTATATGTAGTTTAACTGAAGGCTTAAGGATAGGGGTGACGCAAACTAACTTATTCTTAACATCTTCTTATTTCTCTTCTATTTAAACTAATTCTCAGGAACAAAAGGGTTCTGATTTTTAAGCAAAACCAATAAGCTCTTTCCAAGAAATGGGGCCAAAAACATCCTAAAAGGCCCACGTAATCCCAGTCTTTTTTTCCCATGGCCAAAATTGAGAATCGCTTGGAGATGAAATAGCACTAAAACCACTTTTGAGCGTCTATCCGCCTAATACTGCCGTCTTCTCTTTACAACATCGACATCGACATTTGGCCCGAGCTTTGTTACTCCAGCATGGGATCTACAAGATCACCACTATAATCGGCCCCAGTTCCGCTTCACCAAAATGCCTCCAGTATCGAAAACCTGTCAGAGTTGCGCAGATTCAAAGGTGCGATGTGTCCGGGACACCGATATCGCCCCGTGTAATCGGTAGGAATCCCGAACCTGTGAAAGAAAGAGCTTAGCTAAACTATGCAGGTGCTGCCGTTTGGGAAAAGAATGTCAATATCGTCAAAAAGGTCGTCGATTTAACGGCTTCCAAAAGGATCGGTGAGAAGACCTTCTTGGGTGATATGGTTTATCATCTAACTCATCGCCCAGTAAGATCGCGGCTCTTGAGTCAAAGATCAATGAACTGAAGGCCAGCCGTGCTGGCCTAGAAGAAAATGACACGAGAACGCGCAGCGCATCATTAGCAGACGGTGACGCTGTGCTTGAAGACATCATCAGCCGAGATTTCCTTGACATAGAGACCGCCGAAAGATATCTAAACACATTCAAGACCAAAATGACCCCACACTTCCCATTTGTGGTTGTGCCCCCTGATGTATCTATCAAGGAGCTCCGCCAGGAAAAGCCGTTCCTATGCTTAGCTATCCTTGCCTCAGCTTCATTCGAAAACATGTCACTGCAACGGGCGTTGGGGGACGAAGTCAAGAAAGTCGTCGCATCACGCATGGTCATCGGTGGGGCAATCTCCTTTGAGTTGCTGCAAGGACTGTTGGTGTTTCTCGCATGGTAAATACCGACCTATCAATACTCTGATATGATCGCATCTGACAATATATGGCAGGTCGCATTATCACTCACGGCCACACCGTTATACTCAATTCATTCAACTGGCTGTAAGCCTCATGATAGATCTGCGGTTAGACCGTCCCCCGCAGACGCGGTCGTGGAAGACAGAGTTGCGCTTTGGGCTTCAATATAATCTGCAAAATCAGCCATTTAATCGGCCTTCTTGGGGAAGCGACGAGCATAGGGCTGTCCTGGGCTGGTACTATTTAGCGTCTTCGTGAGTTCATGTGCCATGTTTGTCGAGTATTGGAAGTTGGCTGATACTTATCTTGATTCAGAATTGCGATACTTGTGCAAAAGAAATCGACCATTCTGCGTTTCCCGTACCAGGAAGAGTGTTGCAAATCTCTCCAAGAAGCCAAGGAGTATCCCCATGACAAATATATCAGTTATGTGATAGAGCTCCAATTTATCTCAGAAAAGGTCGACCAACTATCTGCAAGGCATGAATTTGAGTTGGAAACTCCTGGATCGGGATCAGAGCTCTATATCACCAATTTGAAGTCAGACCTGGAGGCATTCTACCGTCATCTACCGTTCAACCTTAGCGAAAGCTGTAAGTCCAAAAATAACACCCAGGCTCACTTTCATAAAAGAGATTTGGCACTAACTTACAGCTGTAAAAGTTCTTCTTTCTATGCAATACCACGCGACATGTCTTAGCCTATACCAATTAGCTCTCAACATCACCAACCAAGAGTCCCACTCACCCTTTGACCCCAACTCCTGGAGGGAGGAAATGTCGTTCTCAGCGTTTATCTCAGCCAATTCGATCCTCACTCTGTACATTAAACTTCCCTCCAAAGAGGAAGTCGGATTCAACAATACGCAATGGGTACAGATAGCATTTGCCCTGCTAGTTGCCTACCGACACACCATGGCAACCTCCAAGCCAGGTCAAACAGCCGCCTTCCTAGATACCCTGTCAAAATTGGGATCGAGAGTTGGGGCGTTGTCTACTTCTGATGTAGATATGAATGGCGCTCGAGATGCTTTCTTCGACTTCAAGAACCGTATAGTTCGAATCCAAAATTGGCTCGGGGGAACTGGTAGACAGGAAGATGACACTCACATTGAGGAGAGCTTTGAAGAATTTCAACACACGTCATGCTTGGAACCGACACACTTTGATGGGTTTATGGGGGCTGCGGAGACTGGTGAGAATTTTGATGTCTCTCTTGGGAATTCATTTCCATCGGCCGGGGGCTTGCAAATCCCCAATGATTTCCTCTCTGAATCTTCGTTTGAACAGATTATGCATGACTGGGTATGATTATGAAATCTTTCATTTTATGAGGATAACTCCTAGATCTACTCTTCGTATCCATACCATCCAGGTAGAAGATTGTCAAAATTGAATTCATCAAGCAGATGCCAAAAGATGATGTGAGAAAAGGCCCCCAGTAGGCAGCAGGGCTGGGATTTTCTAAATTGCGATGATTCAATGCCTGTGCTATCGCCGAGCCGATCTATAAAAATCCCCCAAGAGCTGTATTCAGCATCACCGACCCGATCTTGGATACAAAAGAGATATAAGGAAGCAAGAATACCAAATACAAATCCATATTCAAGTCAATTGTGATTCTTTCAAAATGATCACAATCTCTCACGCTTCGGCATTGTTCTTGCTCTACTCCTCGGCCCTCTCTTTCACCCCATGTCCACTCTTAGGCCCTGCGTTCCCTCCATTCTCCATCGACACAAAGGACAAGACTATTGGAGGTGCTCTGCAAAAGCTCACACATGAGTTTGACACACTAGTCGCAAAAAGCACTGGTGTTCATGGGGATGTATCGCCAAACACCACCTTTAGCATCGCCTTGTTCTCGTCCGATAGCGGGAATGCCGAAGACGAACCCTTCTTCTGGCAATATCATCACACAGCTCCTACATTGGACCACTCTTCAGTAGGATCTCATGCTGCTGACAAAGACAGCATTTATCGAATTGGTGGTCTCACGGAGGTCTTCACTGTGTGGAGTCTGCTTCTCACGCGAGACGGGGACCAGATCTTTGATGACCCTGTTACCAAGTACCTCCCTGAGCTGTCTGATAGCACCAGAGAACAAGACGTGATTGGGCATGTGAGATGGGATGATGTTACTGTTGGTCAACTTGCGAGTCATATGTCTGGCATTTCGAGGGATTGTAAGTTGGACACCGAACATGAATATGGTTGGTATCACACCTAATTCATAAACAGATTGCTCGAAGGATGTGGCTTTGCAAACAAGTTCTACTGAGGCGGGACTACCTCCACGTCAGGATATCCACATGCCTTGCTGTGATGATAGCTCCGAGTGCGATAGTAGCGGTATGAAATCCCAGTTCGTGCCTGTTATCTCTGTATACTAATCTCTTCATAGATTTCATCCGATACCTGGCCAACCGAACTCGCGTGGCTCTATCTGGGACAACCCCCAGCTATTCCAACATGGCATTCCAAGTTCTAGGGTACATAGTTGAGAAACGCGCAGGAAAACCATTCAACAAAGTCCTACAACACGACATCTTTAGCGTCCTAGGCTTGACAGAAACCTCAATCTTCGCACCAGACAAAAGCACCGCAGGAATTATTCCCGTGAGCAAAGAAGCCAGCGGTTGGTTAGCACGCCACAAAGAAGACCAAGCGTAAGTCTATACTCTCCCACAGAATCCACTCACCAATCTAACAGTGGCATCCACCCCAGATCAAAGTCCATTTTCTCCAGCACCAAAGATCTTGCAAAAGCCGGTCAAGCAATCCTGAAATCAACCCTCCTCACCAAACCCCAAACAAATCGCTGGTTCAAGCCAGTCTCCCACACTTCAAACCCAGCCAACTCCATCGGATCCCCATGGGTTATATACAGCGCCGGCTCATACCCCAACACCTCGATGGTAGACATCTACACCGTCCTCAGCAACGAAGGCAACGACCAGAGCCTCTACAGCTCTTACCTCGGCCTGGTACCAGACTTCGGCGTCGGCTTTGTCATCCTCTCAGCCGACAACGAAACCCCGGCAGATCTCAACGCGCACGCAGATCTCATCGGTGATGTCGTGCTAGGCGCATTGATGAAAACAGCTATCAAGCAGGCAGCCCAGAATTTCGGTGGTGTATACAAGGCATCTGAGATCAATTCATCTATCACGGTTGAATACGACAGTCTACCTAGTTTGTATATTCGGGAGTTTGTCAGTAATGGGACTGACTTCCGTGCAATACTTGCTGGGATTTTGGGTACGAAGCCTGCGGATCTGAGTATTAGGTTGTATCCTACACAACTGATTGAACGGACTGGGTCTGGTTCTAGAATGGCTTTTAGAGCGGTCTTTCAGGATATGGCTGAGTTGGCGGATAATGGGACTCCGACTTGTGTCTCCTGGTTAGATGTTGATAGATTCCAGTATGGGGGTCGTGGTCTGGATGAGTTTGTCTTTTCTTTGGATCGGAGTGGTCGGGCTGTTGGTGTTGAGATTCCGGCATTGCGGGTAGAGCTGGGAAGGAAATAGTGTCAGAGAGAACGTCTGTGGAACCATTAATTGGGTAAATATGTCTGAATCCGAGTGTCAATATCCTCCTTAACCCATATTCTTCGTCCATATATATATGCATCTACCACGCCGTTACCGAGATAGTGGACCGCTCATACAGCCCTGTGAGGGGTTTTCAGTGGTCTTCTTAGTGGTCTTCTTAGTGGTCTTCTTAGTGGTCTTCTCGGTGGTCTTCTCAGATATTCCTCATAGTCGTCCTATACTTAGTATTATCATACTGCCCAGGTTACTTGGTCATTGCATCACCATGAGGCCATCCCACTAATATTCAAACTGAATAAAATATCAACTTGTTCGACCTGCTACCAGATCAAAAAGCCTTCGAGCAATTTAACTATAAGTGACGCACAGCTTCCTAGACAATCTTGAACCCGCAAAAGATTCCCATAAGGGAAACAACTCAACAACATGATGAACCAAGCATTCCAAAGATCAGAGGTAACTTTCCAACTCGTCTCTGAACCTTCATCCTCTCATTAACGTCCTAACATAGCTTGTCATCCTTTGTGGGCTTCTTCTTGCCATCCCCTATGTCAAGCCTAGTCCTCTAACATAGCCTTTCTATTTACACTCCCATCAGCCTGGGCGGTGGCGCAATTGATTCCACCAGACTGTCCAACAGTGTTGTTGCTGCCCATCAACCTCTTCCGTCCATTCTACCTACCGATCTATATCTTCCATCCGCTCTATCTGATAACCACATTGTTCGGGGTTTTAACTCTATGAAGCTTCTCAGCGCCACTGCAAATGAGATCCTTGTTTCTCTTGGAAAGCAAGAAAGTACAAATCAATGGCTTCTTGTTCATGGCCTTTTAAAAACAACTATCAAGCACCTTGATGAATATCGGAATTGCTTCGACGGTATCAATTACCGATTCCAATGGTAGGACACAAGTGGTCTGATAAGAGTCATTCCGACAATAAGACAATAATCAGTCACCACGAGACTCATGTTTTCTGTGATGCTCTTTCTAGGTGGGTCTGGACTGGGCCGATGCAAAAGGGGTTGGAAATACGACGTACAAGCCGACCGCCGCGAAAGGCAAGCAGCCTGATAATGCATTTGTTCCGCCCTCTCGCTGTGCAATGCCAGTCGATGCGATAGGACGGCCGACTCTGGTTATTGAGACGGGATTATCTGAAAGTTTGACTCCACTCCGCGCCGATGCAGCAAAGTGGTTTGTCGAATCAAACGTTGATGTTAGAATTGTATGGCAATTCGCTCCAGTTGGAGCGCCGGTGCCTCTCACTCGCGCCTATATCGCCTCCCTCCGCGAAGCCCCCAATATGCCCGCTCCCCCAATATGCCCGCTCTGTTCCCCCAGGTTCCTGCTACCCAGCAGCCATATTGTGCACAGGAAATAACCATCACACAACAAAGCATCACTGGAGATCCTCTTGTTTTGCCATTCCATGCTCTGTACGATAGAGTCCCAGGACAAGGAGAATCCGATGTCCTCATCAAGTCAGCAGATTTTCGGAGCATAACGCGGAGGCTGTGGTGAATACGAGGACGTGTGCTGGACGCCGTTTTAGCGTGTACTTTGTTTCTGCTTAAAGAACATAATTAGTCAGTAAAAACATATAAGTCGGGTCTTCCTTTAGGGATATATTTGCGAACATCTTTTAGCCCTGTGTTTAGTGATTACTTATCTTCTTATCTAACCCCATGCTAACATTGAACCTTGCAAGGTTTCCTTAGAACTTCCATTTTCTTTTTTTAGATATATCATATACCCAAGTACTCAAAGTACATAACGTATTTCACAAGCGAGTGGCCACCCCACCCGAAAACGCGTCCATTAGTTAGCACTTAGTTAATTCAACCACCCACTATGCCACCAATTCGCTCTCAAAACCCCCGAAAATCAACGGAGCAAGAGGGTAGGATCTTATTAGCTATTCAGGCTTTTAAAAATCAAGAATTCAGTAATATTACCCTTGCTGCGCGTACTTTTTGACGTGCCGCGTTCGACTCTTCGTCGCCGCCTTAGTGGCGTATAAGAACGCGCGATTTCTCGCGCTAACTCACATAAACTCTCTGAAATAGAGGAGGAGTCTCTTCAAAAATGGATACTCTCTATGGATTCCCGTGGATCTGCTCCTCGACCCTCTACTGTTTGTGAAATAGCGAATCTTCTCCTCGAAAAGCGCGGAACCACCCTAGTTCTTTCAGTCGGCGAAAACTGGGTTATAAACTTTGTAAAACGATACCCTATCCTCTCCTCCCGCTTCTTAAGACGCTATAATTATAAATGTGCGAAATGTAGAGACCTAAAAATCATCGGAGAGTAGTTTAATCTTATTCAAAAGATAATCGTTTAATATAGAATCGACCCTAATAATATTTATAACTTTAATAAGACTAGCTTTATAATAGGATTAACGGCAACTACGAGGGTTATTATAAGGAGTGAATACTATAGTCGGCGCTTACTTTTATAACCTAGAAATCGCGAGTAGGTAATAGTAATTAAGTATATAAATGCTCTAGGGTAGGCGCTTCCTCCGTGCGTGATTTTTAAAGGTAAAGTCTTTATTAAATCTTAGTTCGATAGTCTTCCTAGTAATTAGCGATTTGAAGTTAGTCTTAATAGTTAGACTTCTAATAAAATTGGACTTCGTTAGCTTAAAAAGCTCTTTATTCTAATAACTTCTTTACGTATAAAGGGGAGATATCGGCTTCTAGTACTCGATAGTCACAGAAGCTATTTAACCCTAAAATTTAACGAGCTTTGTAAAAGAAATTAGATTATCCCGATCTATATACCTCCGTACTCCTCTTACCTTTTATAGCCTCTCGATATTAGCTATTTTGCGGTATTAAAACGTGCGTATAGCTGGTTAGTTAAATCGAAAATACGGGTTAGGATAAATTATATCGATAAACTTGACTTCCTCGAAGTGTACCCCCTCGCACAAATTAAAGCTTTTAAAATAGAGACTATTAAAAATAGCTTCGGGGTAGCTGGTTTAGTCCCCTTTAAGCCGGAGAGAGTTATTTTAAAGCTCAATATTCGGCTTCGAACCCTAACACCCCCCCCTAGCCGAGGTAGTTGTTACGCACTGCCAACTGGTCACAGTTAGGTTAGATGGGTTCCGGGTATACTTGCCTTAATACTCCTCGTGTGTCCAACGTCAACGATCTGTCGCAACTGAGCTATCGCCTGCAAGGCCTTACTGTAGCCTAAGTCCTGTTGAGAGATCGAGGAACGATGCCAGTGAGAGCGCCGAGTAGATCTATACCGGGGTATTGGTCTGCTCGTGAGTGTTGTCAAGTTATAATCAAGTAAAGAGTCACAGTAGTCCAAAAGGTAAACACAAGTAACAATGTATGATTGAAGACGAAGAACTGAACTAAGTACATGAACGAGTGTCCTTATATATCCTTCGATTTTTCTACTCCTGGCGTGACTCCCTGGAGTCACCGCTGGAGTCGCCGTATACTCCTGCGTATACTTCTCAAAGTCGACGCGGGAGTCACGGTCACGTGTCCCTGGTTCTGTGTGCAGCGATTCCTGGTGTAGGTGATATCCGATACCCTGAAGTACATACGTACCGGAAACCTCCTGGCAGGGAGTCTGATCAGGCTTTTGCTCACTGAGCGTGAATGGGTTTTTCTCTTTCCTGAATACCTGGGGATACCAGAGTATTAGATACTGCACGTGATCTGCTGACAGATAGATTGGTTGGCTCTCGGTGGCCCATCTGTGCACCCGGTGGGGTACCATCGATTGGTGACGGGTAGTTCCGTAACAGTAGTGATTCTAGCCGGAATTTTACACCAAAAATACTAGCTACTAAGAAAGATCTACCTCGGCAGGCTTCGTTAATCAAAGCTCTACTTTGTACAAGATCTCGAAGCCTACCAAGTCCTTCCGACCATACATTAAATCAACTTATAAAAGGCTTCCGCCTTATAATGCAAGGTACTATTTTACTCGCTAAAGAAAACAAGGATTTACGCGCTACTAATGAGAAGCAGAAGTAAAAACGTGCTCGATCCCGAAGGCAGATACCCGCCGAAGAAGGTCTCTCAGTTCAAGAAGCTTCTTAATTAATACCTGAGCCGGTGGAAGCAATTGTAGCACCTATACCCCCGCGACGCAGGCCTTCGCCACCTTTACAGCCAAGAACTAGGGCATTACCAACGTGCGGGCTATGTAAAAATCAGGGTCATAGAAGAGACGCATGTCCAGATAGATGAATAATTTAGTTAAATTAATTTAATGGCGTTATGGTTGAGATAAATGGATTTGATTTTAGCATATAGTGTTGGGGTGGCCACTCGCTTGTGAAATACATAACGTTATGCATCTTCGTATAACCCCAATCCAATATATTCCTTTCCAACATGCCATTCCGTCTCACCCGCGCCCTTCAATGTAAAGCCCCCGCTTTCCCCCACGCGCGGCGACCACTCCTCCGCGTCCCACACTTATTCTCTTCCTACCCCTCGACTTCGATTGAATTCTCCCTAAATACCAGAAAATCAGTCTTAACCTTCCAACGCAATATGTCTTCCGCCCCTGCTAAGAGAGAGTTCCTCTGCATTCTGCCCGATAAGCCCGGCGCGCAGGCCAAGCGTCTCGAGGTTCGCCCGTGAGTCTTTCCCTAGGAGTCCAGAGACGCGCCTGGATCTTGCTAATGCGATCTTTAGTAACCACCGCGAGGGTGTTATGCCACATGTTGCGTCTGGTGCTATTGTTGCCGGTGGTATGTGACACTGTTGCCTTTGTTCTGTATCGTCATGGAAACTTCTCGAGCATATTACTGACACTGTTTCTTATCTAGGCGCAATGCTCAATGCCCACCCCGCTGATGGAGAGGTTCCTTCCTTCAAGGGAAGCATGATCCTTGCTGTTGCGGAGAATGAAGCCCAAGTGCTTGAGCTTATTAACAAGGATATCTATACCACTTCTGGTGTGTGGGATATGGAGAAGGCTCAAATTATCCCGGTATGTTACACAGGAAGATGGTCTTTCCAAGTTTTTTTCTGCCGCTAACCTGTCTTTTGGTTTAGTTCAAGTCTGCCGTTCGTGAGGCTTTGTAGGTTGCATATCCAGTTTTATCTTTGCCTGGGTCTGGGGATCCAGGTTGGTTTAATACATTGAATTGAAAGCGACTAGGAAATGTTGCATCTTGATGCCTTGAGTTTTGTAAAGTTGTTCCGTTCTACGTATCACAAGGAGTGAGAAATGCCGAAAAGGATCGATACGGTTAGTCTAGTTCTTTTTCGGGTATGGGATATTCTAGAAGCCGGGGAATTGACTACCTAGTCCGTACTCCGTAGATATACTCCGAATCTGTAACTCCGCGGGAACAAGGGTATAATTTCGATATGTAGTAATAGAATAATAGATACTGTATTTGAACAGTCTAAAGCCATATCAAATTGATAATCTCTATGGTTCTTCTCTCCACTATTAAATATCATTGCCAAACAATTGGCTCTCAAAAAAAGGCGGAAAACAAGTCAGTGACCGGGCGAGTCCACCGCGGAGAACTTAAGTGGTGCACAAGAGTCGCCACCCCTGAGAACTGATATCACCAACACGTACTCTTACTGGCACAGAGATATAATACTCCAACTTTTCCCATCCAGCGCATCATTTAAATATCAGAATCGAAGTAGACTGAGAGATAAAAGAAAGGAACGTCATATTTGTCATCTCCGACGACCGGCGGATCCGGCCAAAGATACTACTCCATTAGGACTAGCGTGCTTATCTAAGATCCGATCAGATTATTTATGAATTCATCACTTCTCCCTATCAGATCCATCTTTTTTTCGCCTTCCAACACATATCACCAAAACCAATACCCCATCAAATACTCCCATAATAATTCACAATGTTCAAGCGCCTTGTCACCATTGCTCCCCGTGTCGGCTCTGTCGCAACACGCAGTGCCCTTTCTCCCCTCACCGGCCTGCAGTCCGCTCAACCCGCCATCCGTCGTGCTGCTCCCGCCCCAGCTCAACAGCGCAGAGGATACCACGAGAAGGTCCTGGATCACTACAATAACCCCCGAAATGTCGGTTCCATGAAGAAGGGTGACCAGGACGTCGGCACTGGTCTCGTCGGTGCCCCCGCCTGTGGCGATGTCATGAAGTTGCAGATTCGCGTGAACAAGGACTCCGGCCGTATCGACGACGTTGTCTTCAAGACTTTCGGCTGTGGTAGCGCTATCGCTTCTTCTAGTTATTTGACCGAGCTCGTTCGCGGTATGACCCTCGACGAGGCTGGCAAGATTAAGAACACCGATGTGGCGAAGGAGTTGTGTCTGCCTCCTGTCAAGCGTATGTTTTCCTTCTATTGGTTTTTATGATCATATACTAACATACACCTAGTGCACTGCTCCATGCTTGCTGAGGACGCTATCAAGTCTGCCATTGCCAATTACTACACCAAGAACCCCAACACCCGTACCACAGATCTATCCGGGACAGGCGGCGTCATTCCTGACGTCAAGGCTGAGACTGCTGCTGCCGTTTAATTTATTCTTTGCTTTGTGTGTGTCTGCCGGATGGATTCTCCATCGGAATGACTCAACTCACTCGTTTCGCCTGGCGAGCTCTGAATTTATTATTTATTTCCGAGATTGTCTTAATACACAATCATTTGATCAAGGATACTTGTTCTTTGTCAGCATCGACAAGAACGGGTGAATTTGGGATTTGTTGTACTTGATGCTGCTGAAATGCGCGCGAGTTATGACGATGGATGAGATGAAAACGAACAAGTTGCCCATTTGTTTGATGTACATATTCCCCTTTTTCCTCTCACGTTCTGATACGTTTTTTTTTTTCTGCGTCGGCGCCTCGGTATCTGGAATCCTTGATCGATACAAAACCATTTTCTGAAAAACAGCGCCTTGATAGTTTCCAATGAAACAGTGAAACCAGAACAGTTACATGTTGTAGAAGTAAAGTAATATCAGAAGCAGTCTATGATTCATAATGTATCCACAATCTATCTACTGTACAGGACCACACAGGATCTTTGAGAGCGAAAGCTCGGAAACATATAACCCATCCTCTATCCAGCCAAGGGACGAAGAGGCCAAATGTGAAAAGAAATACAGAACGCCACCGCTGATGCACAGACAGACCACTCAAGACAATCCGTGCCAATGAACCAACCAAAAAACAAGGGATATAATGGAAAAACAGACCAAAAGGACCAAGGGCAAGCCATCCGTCAAAAAAAAAAAAAAAAAAAAACACCGTCTAACCACTTCGGAGGCCGAAGCGAGTCTTCAAGGACAGCATAGTCTCATAAACAGACAACTTGACCTCAACGCGAAGGTAGCTCGCGTAAGCACACAGGAAACGGAAGAAGTTGCGGAAGATACCGCCAGACTCCGCAATGAGCTCCAACTGCTCTTCAAAGACAGTACGCGTGGCGTACCGCGCGAGGATAAGGAAAGTGCGCATTGGGCCCTGGCGTGTGTGAAGGTTTTCGTCTAGACTGCGAGCTAGGAGGAAGTTAGTCGAGGATAACCCCAAATAATTCAGTGAAAGTGAAATACATACTAAGGTCATTGGTCTTCAGGATGAGAAGAATAATCCGCGGAACCTGGCCTAGCAAGACAACGAGTTGTTGCAGCATGCCTTCACCCAATGCACCGGAGATATTCTTTTTCTCTTCAAGGGTCCGTGAAGAAACGACGCTCTTCTTCGTGAGAACGCTGTAGTCCCGACCGGTGATGGCGCTGGCAAAGAGGGGGAACTGCTCGTCTGTGATGCCGGCAACCTTCTGTGCGTACTCGCGCATCCGCGGCACGTCTGCGTCGATAACGGCTAGCCATAGCTTGGCATAGTTGCGGCGTAGGTCGCGGTCGATGTTGCGGTAAAGCCCGTGGTCATAGAGGACGATGTCGAAGTTGGGGTGTGAGCGGGTGTGGTTCGGGCGGATGGCGATGTTACCGCCGTGAGGATCGCAGTGGAGTGGGGCGTTGTCGCCGAAGATCATCTCGTTGAAGACGTGCGCGAGAGCGGCGGAGACCTCGTCGCGGTCGATGTTGTTGGCGTCCAGGTACTCGAGGTCGTCGGGGCGGTGGCCTGCGATGTACTCCATCACGAGGATACGCTTTTGAGACCACATCACTGGGGTATAGTTAGCTTCAAGTTAGACGTACAAGCTCGGGATTGGCAGCATTATGAACCTTTGGGAATGACCAGTGGTGCATCAGAGTGCGCTTTGAAGTACTCGCTGGCGTGGGTAGCATTCTGGGCTTCCATGCGGAAGTCCAGCTCTTGTGGCAGTGAGAAATCCATTTCCTTGGATAACCATTCCAGGTCATATTCAGGGAAGAAGCGCTTAAGCATGGAGAAAGTGAATCGAGTCAAAGCCAAGTCTAATGGCACCCATTCGTCCAGCGCGGGATGCTGGACTTTAACAGCGACCAATTGTCCGGTTTCTTTCAACGTAGCAATGTGCACTTGCGCCAGGGATGCAGCACCAATGGGTGTCGATTCAAACGAGGCGAATAGCTCATTCATATCCTGGCCTGTGTCTTTGCGGAACAGCTCGCCAATTGATTCAATTGACGAGACGGGGCATCTGTCCTGGAGCGGGATGAAGGTCGAGGTCCATTCAATGGGAAGCAGATAGCCCATGCTGCTGAGGTGCTGGCCTAATTTGATGAAAATCGATCCATTCTTTTCTAGGACATGGAGTGTACGCTCGGCGCAGCGCTTGTGGCATGCGCGAAGCAGTGCGTTATGTTCTTCGGGGGACGAGGCGTCTTGTTTCAGAGTAACACGGTAGCTGCAAAGATTCGAAGTTGTGTTAAAATTTCTGTCAAGGTGCAAAATAGAGCCATCGCACTTCACTTACTCATTGATACAGACGGCCAGTGTGCCAACAACGCGCCCACTACGTTTCGCCGCCTGGAACGCATGCTGCGCTTGGTCCGAGAACGTCACTGCGCCCAAACCGAGGATACTTCCAATTAGAAACCATTTGATGGCGCTCCGTTGCGATTCATTTGCTTTGGATTTGCTTCCAGACTTGTGCTGGCTCTTACTCTTCGCAGACAAGAGAGGCGAAGCCTTGACAGAAAAGGAACGGCGCGAAGCGGCGAGCGTGGAGCCCTGGGGAGACACTGAACGACCCCATGATGAAGCCTTAATTAAACCGGAAGAGGGCGACTGTCGTAACAGGGATTCTGAGGCCAGAAGAAACGAGGATCCAGATGTCAAGGGTTTGGACGTTTTCCCGATCACCGCGGGATCAATCTTGAATGCCCGCAATGGCACGCGAAGCGCTGCGCTCATGCCGAAGCGAAGGCCGCCGGCCAGGAAAAAAAAAAGATAAAATAAGAGAAGACCGAGAGTGTAGGCGTTTCTGGCCTCAATTCATCGTATGATTGTCGGTTCAGAGAGATTTTTCACGGTTCTCGCCGCCAATCGGCTTCGGCGCTGCACGTGATTCCAAGATCTATAGATCCGTAACAGACGTCATAGCTAATTTGGTGTTGAATAAGTAGGATGATGTTGATGGTATTGACCGGTAAGTCTTATAGTGAAGCATAGCTTATCGTAAAAGAGAGAGAGCAAAAGGGGCGAGAACGGTGTACCAAGGGCTGGTCTTATGCCGCCAATGTCTTTTTTTGAGGATCCCAGTTAATTCGCAGTAATTAACAAGGGAGGAGATGCCTGATATACATGCAGTATGTTGTTTAGAACTGTTTACTTATGAGCTTACGTCAAGGAAACTCATACAAATTAGAAGGAAATATTGATTCGAACAGAAATACATCGACTCTATGTGCAGCAACCAGTGCCCACATGATAACAAAGGGGTTTACAAAGGAGTAAAACCTTGCACCATCACTCCAAAGACCATTTAGAGTTGATAACGCCGTTGCCTGTATATGAGACAGGCTAGTATGAACTGGGGAAATCGGAAACGCAACAACACAAACAGCTTCACAGTAAACCCATTTGGACGCTAAATCAAGTCCACTCAGAATCTGCGAGTGTTGGGCGGCGACGACGAGGAATGATCGAAGGCCGGCGACTCAGCGAGTTTGGAGTCTTGTTGTCTTCCTCACGCAGCAGCTCAACGTGACTCATTCTACTAGAGAGGGGTCGTGCAGACCTAGGCCTGGCAGCGGCCGCACTGCTTCCATTTGCCGCAGACCCAAGAGCCGGGCTGGTGCCATCTCGACTGCCAGGTCTCATAGCCAAGGAAGAAACACTGAGAGAGTTTCGCGGGTGCCGGGGAGTTTCCCGACCATCCAGATATCCCCTTGACTGGCCGGTGCGGTGCGATGAGGGCGTGGACGGGGTAGATGATGCCGAGAATAAGATTGGAGGGGGAGTGCATGTGCTTTGTCTTCGGGCTGTCGGTCTGCGTTTGCTGGCGCCATATGCTTCGCTAGATCGAACTAACTTGCCTGCCATATCTCTGACAAGGACTGCGGGGTCGTTCTCCATGTTTCGAATAGCATCGAGCAGGCCATACGTTGCGAGTAGCCCACCTTGTTCTTCGTTTGAATCACAAATACTGGCTATTATGCGCAGAAGGTTGAGTCGGACGGCGGCTTTGGTGTGATGCAGCTTCTGCCTCAGTCTCTGGAAGATATCAGGCCGCGCAAAGGTGGATGCGACCTGAGGGCTGAGCCGAAGAAGCTTCTGCAGAGGTTCGAGGGTGTTTTCAAATGCATTAGCCTTCGAAAGCTTCAAACATTCCGCAATGGCGCCAGTAAATGTAACGGGGCCCTCAAACGTATCACTCTCAAATATACCGTCCAAGAGATGCTCTTCAACCTTGGCAGTCTCTTCTTGAAGCCTAATTATTGTTCATTGTTAGCTTTGAGACCATGTACGACTCTGGAATGGGAGACAAACCATGTGAAAATAGCATCCAAGGCAGTGACTTGCCAATACGGATCCAAGAGCAAAGAGATATAAAAGCCTAGGCCTTTGTTACGCCACAGCTCCCTTCGGCCAACCTTTCCAGATTGTGCCATGTCGCAGAGAATTGGTAAGGCAAACTCTTTCAGCGGCCGCTCTGTGAGCACGATCTTTTGTAGTAGCGGTACAATGCCGTTCAGTGCAGCGTCTTCTTGTCGAGACTTGTTCAAGCGGCACATATTGTAGATGGTGTTGAGGATCTGGTTTGAGAGCTCGCGGAAATGTGCCTTTTTTAGATTCGATCGAAGCAGATCGGTCAAGACATCGATGGCGTTGGAATTCTGGAGCGAATCTAAAGTAGTTGAAAGCATCGACAGATTTTTGATGAATTTCAACATCGTAATTTGATGAACTGGGCTCATTCGCCTCAGTTCTTTCAAGACTCCTTGAATCAACTGTTAGCATAGAAAATTGCGGAGGCTCCCTGGAGGAAATAATGCTTACTGTGCAAGACTGTTCGTTCAGAAACCATTTCCTTGACATGATTCTCGGCCTGCGAGAATATGAAGAAAATATTTGCAATGCGACCCTCGATGACTTCTGTCAATTCCCCATCTTCATCGAGAGCACGACTTAGAACAAGAGACAGGGGATCAAGAACGGAGTTGCGGGACAGGATTCTGCAGAAATCGTTCTTGGGGGTGGAGCCCTATAGGAAAATAGTTAGGTCTGAGGAGATTCAAAGTGCAATGAAGGCGAAATACTTACCTGCAGCTCGAAGACACTCCAGATTCCGTTCACGCCAATCAACACCAGTTCGCGTTCATCTTCATAATCGTCCTCTAGGAACTCAACCAGGACATTCAAGCCTCCAGCACTGACAAACATCTGTAGAGTCAGGGTGGAAGTCTGGTACATCTGCTGCACGAAAGCCGCTGCTTCAAGTCGAATTTCGCGTGGGTACTTCTTGGATGCAAACTCGTTGATGATAGGGATTCCACCAACAAAGCAGAGGTTTTCCTGGATCTCATAGTCATCGTATATGATTGCATTGACAACCCTCAACAGACAAAGGACGATATCACGGCGACGAGTAGTGTCAAGAATCTCGAGAATTGGCAGCATGCCGTGAGCACTGATGATGATGTTCTTAGTCTCTGGAAGGTCACAAAAAATCGTGAACAATTGTTCAGAAATCTCTGCAAGAACTTCCTCGTCTTGGGATGTTTTGAGGGAGTCCACAAGACCCTCAACTTGGTTGCGAAGTCGTGCGTATTTATCGCGCGCGATATTTTCTTCGAGGTCCACCTCATCAAAGCCTTCTTCCAATTGCGCAAAGGGATCATCCTCGTCTTCTTGGTCTCCCAACCATGAGTTAGATAGTTTGGAGTTTAACATCAATGTACTTTGATCCGAGCCATCGTCGCTCTCTGCCTGATCTAGAGCAGCTTGGTCGGCCCCAAGAATATCAGAGAAGTCCTCGTCATTTTCATTCTCAGCGAACCTCTGGATCTCAATGGTAGACCGGTCACGCTTCACAGAAAGCTGTTTGCGCAGCTGGGGATGCGGATTGCCAAATTCGGCATCTAATTGGTTGTATCCTATGTTTTCATGAATGGGTGATGATGGATCATCCTCGAAGTCCTGGAAAAAGTTAGAACCATACATGAAATTTGAAGTCTCGTCGGACTGTACTTGATAACCACCCAGCTTTCGATCCAATGAATCCTCATTGGCCATAATGAGGTCGGAATAATCATCGACAGAGTTCTCTTTGTAGAGATTAGTCGGACGTGGAGCCGGGCGAGCTCGTCTCGGCATGGGATTTTGGGCGAGGATTGGAACATTTTGCATTGCAGAAACGGGGGCATTGGCTCCAGGCTGAGAGAATGCAGGGCTTTGAGGCTTGGAAGGTTCTGCCACAGAAGGTTTGACGGGATATGGTCGAATGGTCTGCAAAGTATCTTCGTCAGAGAAGCCTGAGCTATCCTCAAAGGGATCAGAATTGTCATCCGATCTGAGTATGGTCCCGTCGAGTGACGCAAAAGCTTTCAGTCTCTCAGAGGAGAGCATGCCCCCAAAGTTATCATGTGGCCGTAGATGCGGCAATTTGAGTGCGCTAGGAGAGATTGCAGTAGCAAAGTCATCATCCCAATTGTCATCCCCTGCTAATACAGGTGATCGAAAGCGCTCCGTGGGTTTGATAGCGGTTGGGGATGGCAGGGTATCGACCAATGGATTATTTCGGGTAGATGGCAGGCCGGAAGTACTGGGATGGTCTGGCCTCTGTTTTTTCTTTGAAGTCCCCGCTTCGGGTGACCGCAAAGCCTCGTTCCATTCTTGGACACTCCTGACGGCTTCTTCATATTCTGTAGACTTCTTGGGAATCACAGATTCTGTTCTGCGCGCATTAACAATCCACGGATGTTTAAGCAACTTTCTTGCCGACACTCGAAGGTTGGGATCTTTTTGGAAACATTGCATGAGGAAGTCTTTCACGGCCTAGATAGAGAGTCAGCATTACATGAATATGCCTTAATGATCGATAAAGACATACCGGTGAGGCACCCTGCGAAAATGGAGGGTGATCATCGTTTACAATACGAAATAGTGCTGGCATGGGCTGCATGTTATGATAAGGGGGTTTCCCTTCAAGTAGCTCGATGACAGTGCATCCTAAACTCCAGATATCGGAAGCTGTTGTTGCTCCCGAAAGCTCGATTACTTCGGGGGCCATCCAGTACGGCGTACCAACCACGCTTGATTCACTCAAGCCCGTAGTACGACTGGCGACACCGAAATCGGCAAGCTTGACCAGTCCTTCCTTTGTGGTCAGAATGTTTGCACCCTTGATATCTCGGTGAATAACACCCTGTTCATGTAAGTAGAGCAAGCCATGAAGAACCTGGGACATATAAAGTCCCACAAGGTTCTCAGGAAAACGGCCGAAGTTCTTCGCAATGGAATGCAACGAGCCATTTTCGCAATATCTATAAACCGTCAGTTATATGTTCCGTTGAACTTGAGCCGGAAGAAACATACTCGAGAATGATGTTCAGGGTTTCAGCGGATTTCACAAATCCGTGGTACTTGACAATGTTGGGGTGCTGCATGGATCTATGTCAGTAGGGGACGTGTTGATATGTTTTGGCGGGGTGTCTTACATCAAGATTTTTGAGAAGGTCAATTTCAAGCTGTTGCATCGTATGTTAGCATATCAGACGAACGTCGAGAAGGATTGTATCCCATACCATGATGACGCGCAATTCACTCTTGGGAAGATCCGTCAACTTAATTTGCTTGACGGCGACAGTCTCCCCAGTATTCCAATTCAACGCGCGATACACGGAACCGAAAGCGCCCTTGCCCAGGCAGTCTCCCAATTGCTACCATCAACACCCAAGGTCAGCATCTGCTCAGTCCATGTTTTGCGGGGCAGGGGATCATATCCATACATAGTCCTTGAGTTCCGCAACATCTTTGGCCGATGACTTCAAAACCTTGTCTTCCTTCGGTTTCTCTTCTCGTTTCGACGGACTCGTTCCAACTCGTGCCAATCGCGGCTTTATCGGGGTTCCGGGGGTTCTCGAGGAGGGGGTGAGAGGGCGAGGCTGCCCTTCGCCCCCTTCGCCAGACCGAGCGACCATGATGTTGCGGACTAGCCTCGACTGTATCCTAGTAGGTATTCGAGCTGGCGGTCGGTCTCAGAATGCGGTTTGAGGTAGAGGATGGGTGGGGTGAAAGCCGAGGAAGGAGGCAACCTTGAAAGAGCTGATAGCAACGATCTCAGAGGTCATATCCACAGGTTCTAGCGATCACAATTGTCAATTAATCTGAGCCTCTCAAGGTACAAACAAGCATCGCGAATGAATGTTTGCGTGTGAACGTTGTGGAGAGGGTCTTACCAAGCGGACATTACAGCACTTCAGCTCTCACGCCCTAGAGAGCCGTTTCGACGACAAAGCGAGACGCATGCAATATCTTCAAAAGGGTACAAATACCATGGAGAACTCTGAAGAATATCGATCTAGTAAAGGCGACAATAGAGCGTGAAGGGGGTTGTTCGCAAGAAATCGTGGTTGTTTTGAACTTTCGTGCTCCACCCGCCGCATCATGCAGGCTGTGCTGGACAATCGCCGATCAGCCCTACGATACCCAGCATGGAATTTTTATTACTTGACCAAAAGAGAATATAATGGCTCGATATATAACTATACTTTACTAGAAGAAAAAAGATATGGAAAAGGAGATAAAAGGTCCAAAGGGTTCTATTATTTAACGATATAGATCGGCGACATCTAATCGATCTATATAGGGTATCATTTTTGGGCACGGAGAAGGCGCAACACATCTGAAACAAGGTACAAGCTACCAGCAATGACAAGAGGACCTCCTTGAGCCTGTTCACTAGCCCACTGAAGGGCAGGGATTAAATTTCCTTCAGAGCTCTGGATCTGACCAATATTTTGGATAGCTTGAATAGAATGGGCGACCTCTTTGGCGTTAGTTGGTTGGACCCAGGGCATCCCGTCCACGGGACCAAACTCCGCAGTGGCGACTCGGTCACCGGGCCGGATAATGGAACCAAACACCTCAGCCAGATCCTTTCCACTTGATGCGGCAACAACCCAAGTCACAGGTTGGCCTTGAACACGCATTTTGCGATCCACGTACTTGCCGAGAACTTCGGCAGATTGTGCATTGTGAGCACCATCAAGTAGAATAGGCTCTGGGCGATTAATCAAAGGTTGGAGGACAATGTTTTGCAAACGGCCCGGCCATGTTACATCGGCTAGATATGGGAGCAATGAGAATGCATCCATCTTAGGTCGTAGTTGAGAAAGGGCAAGACGAAGAGCAGACACTGCACAGCACATATTTTCTTGTTGGTGGGGCTCTAGATCAAGCTTCTGGAAGTAAGGCGCAAGAGCCGGAATTTGTTCAGAGACTGTTGCGGGAGAGACAAACAAGGAATCAATACCCAGTTCTTGAATATGAGCTCTCACTGTTTCAACCACTTCTTGACTGTTTGTATTGTCTACCACACAAGGGACTCCGGGCTTGAGGATGCCCGCTTTTTCACGAGCAATCTCTCCAATTGTCGATCCAAGGAAAGCCTGGTGGTCCATCCCTATCTTTGTAATGACCGAGACAAGGACATTATTCAGGATATTTGTTGCATCTAGGCGGCCTCCCATGCCCACCTCAACCACACCAACTTCGACTCGTTCATGGTTGAATATCTCGAACGCCGTTGCTGTCAACAACTCGAATTCGGAGGCACCGATGCCCAAGGTTTGGTCGCGTAATTTGACTTGGTCTTCAATCTGTCGGAAAAGGGATTCTTGGACCACTTTCTCTCCAATTGTGATACAGTCCCACCGATCGATTAAATGCGGGGAAGTGAAGCGGCCGCAACGCACTCCGCCAGTGGATAACAAATGGGAAAGGTAGGCACTGATAGATCCTTTACCGTTGGTTCCAGCAATGTGAATGGCTTTCCATGAGAGCGGAGTCTGCTGCAGCAGACTCGCGACCCGACTCAATCCTAACTCAATCATCCTTATGAGTGTAGCGTAATAGGAATTTGGAGGTCAATTGTCATTATTGACCAAAGGATCAGGCAATGACAGGCAGCTTCTGGACTTCAGAGCTTCATTGTGAACAATAAGAACAATGCCAGAATCAGCGTGGGGTATGGTCGTAGTGTAGCCCACCTTTAGGTTGGAGCTTACCGTGATCGGAGGAATATATCCACGTGATCCTTTGCATCCTCATGCTTCAGGCACCAAACTCTTCGTAGATTACTATAACTAGTTAACTAATGTACAAAATATATAACTATGTTTCAAAAATCACTAGCCAATTCAGTTAAGCAGGTTTACCAATCAGGTCTCTATCGATATATCACATGTAGATTGCCTAAAAACAGATTGCGCAAACACGAAAGATGTCTGGACAACACGTGATTCAGCCACTCTAGCCACCCCCAGCCTCAGGCATTCTCTCTAAAAACCCAATCTCCCCGTCTCCATTAACCATCCCCACCGTTATCGCAAGTCGCGTTTTACTAGTTCCATAATCGCCTTTTTTGTCTTTACTTGTCCTTCTTTTTCAAACATATTCGGGTTTTCCTCTTTTTTTCTAGACAAAAAGCAAAATGGGTATCCCGTAAGTCATACCACCCTTATGTTGGCGCGCGACGCTATCGCATGCGCCACTGCTTCACAGTACAATGTTGACCTTGACTTTGATATACAGTATGTGGCGTGAGCCCTCCAAGACCGATGCATCCAAGTCTGCTTTGGAAAAGGACGCGTCTGCAGCTGCACGTTCCTCGATTCGCCGGGGACTGTCCCGGCACAGTAGCTCCCGAGCCCGCCGTTCAGATATCCTGGCTTCTTTTCATTCACAGATCATTGATGAACTCCGACGCGGCGCCGTGGAACCCAGACGCGTACCGCGCTTCACTTTCATACCGCCGAACGGAACTGCCGACAGTACGGTTACTCTGGAACAGGCCGAACGTGAAGCCCTCAACTGGGCTCAGTCACGCGCCGCCAGTGCACCCCGACAGACCGACCGACAGACAGAGCGACAGACAGAGACAGTCAACCGGCGATTCAGAAATTATCGTGATCAAGCCTTGACTGATCTTCTCGGTCGCATCGACGCCCAGCCCAGAAATTCTCATGCGAATCCTTCATTGACTCCCAACTTCGCTCCCGCGCTCTACCGCACCAGTGCTACTTCAACCCCCTCGGACAGTGGCGTTCGTCTCCCCCCTATGCGTGACCGATACAACAGTGATAATACTTCCAACACCTCATTCCAACCAGAGACACTTGATTACCGGTCCCAGAACACACAAGCCCGAACAAACCGAGACCCCGTTGTAGACGGGCTTGGGGATCGCCAGCGCAGTCCCAGTCCAGACGGAGAGCGAGAAACCGATGCGTGGGAGACTTTGCTCTCAACCATTACACCTGATGCGACTCTACCATCGACTGATACTTCTTTCGCCTCAACCTCTGCCGCTGGTCCGGATATTTCGCGCAATGCTCGTCCTCGGAGCTCTATCATCCCGACACAGGTATTGACGGCGGAAGCTGCCCGTGCTCAATTCGGACTCGACCCCTTTCCTGACCACCTCAACCCTTGCGACTTCTCTTCCTCCGATGACGAGGACCCTTCCTCTAGTTTCCAAGAATTTATGGGGCCGGCAGGCATCACTATTTCTTCTCGGCGCCATCCCAATCAACATTCGACCATGAGCAACCATCCTCCCATTTCTATCCCTGCAATCATTCCCGCCAGCGTTCTTGCTCTCTCTGACGGGCGCCACCGAAATGCACTCTCTGACCGCCACCAAAATGATGACCTTCACCATATGCAGGTTATCCTGGATCGACTTGCCCGCCGTGAAGATATTCCCGACGATTGGTGGGCTGCAGCTGGCCTTGCGCGCACTCTCGATCGTGGTCTTAATGCGAGCATGGACTCTACCGACACGGATGGCGCTTCTCGAACCAACGACAATTGAATACAGCTGCCCGGGTGGTTAATACTGAATGACATAAGGTTTGATTTTGATGATATTGGCAATGGCGTTTTTTTCGGGAATTTTCATAGGGTTTCAAATGGATTTCTGCGGCGTTGACAGGGCCTGTTGGGGCTTTGTGGTCTTTACATTTCTTGTATCCATATCTCGTCCGCTGTGATTGAACAAAATAAAACAAGCATTCAACTTGTAGATCACTTTATGTACCTGCCAAGTCTAGTGACGTATTCCTCGGAGCACAGTAGTCCCCACTCGAAGAGCCCCGCCATATATGAAAAAGAAAGATACACTTCTTGGCGTTCTTTTTCCCTTTTAGTGATCAGACCTTGCCGCTTTTTGCTCACTAAGTACAACCGAGCACGCCTCTGAGCTTTTATGCGTGTGACACGTGATCCTGCTTATATCACCCGCCTATCTTGTAGACTTGTTTCGTCCTCTTAGCCCAAAATAGTTTCCTCTTTTGTCACCTTTATAGTAATCTTGGAATGATTTTTTTTTTAAAACCTCACCCACCTTCCCCTCTGCCTCCCTCCTCCCCTCCCGGATAGCTCCCTCTAACAAGGCTAAGTTGGTCGCCTGAGGGGTTTCTTGTCAAGAAAATAGATGCCGGAAGGGATGTCACCTCTATCTAACCTGCAGGAATCTCAGGCAATCCGGGTTCGAAACCCGGACCTGGCGGCTTTCCCCAAACCGAATGTAAATACCTCCGATTTAGGGTACCATTCCAGGATACAATGCAAAATGAAAGGTATCAAGATTCAAATATGAATATATCGACCAAATCACTATTTTATCATCGAAAGACATGTTGATAAGTTGATTTATGCTATAGTGTATAGTATAGTACTAGAATAGTCGACCGGATAAGCGGCCTTGTGATGTCTTTTCAGTGGTCTTTGTAGTCGTCTTTTTAGGTTTTTTTAGTGGTCTTTTGATTGGTTTCCTCAAATATCATTCTGTTTAGATGTGCCAGTTCTACGACAACAAGAAGGCGGGTAAGGCATAATTTGTGTAGACGACCTTTTTACACACCTTAGAACCTTGGAGATCATAAGAACCTATAGAGACTTTCGCAACCTATTCACCAGTCGAAGGACGCGGAGTGAGCTCTTATAGACAATCTCAAAGAAGCTCTGGTTAACAAGCTCACTGGGAATAGTGCGATCTCGATCCAAGCCGCCTTCGTCGCAGGTTCCCCGACTACGCGGTGGGATTCATACATAGAATAGATATCGAAACTTTGGAGCAGACTATGGCCCAAAGGAATTCAAAGAAGGATTGCTTTGGCGCGATGGATACCGCTGCGTCGTGACTTGGGACATAGACTTTAAAGTCTTGCCCAGGTGATTGCCCGCAAGACAGGGATCAGCGATAAGTACAAGGCGCACTTTTCGCAGCAGGTTCGTTTCAGAAACAATGATACGGACAAGGATCGAAGTTTGCCAAGTCCTATCCTGCTCAATTGTCACTTCCGGTTGGCCAAGATCCTGAATGCGTCTAGAATGGCAGTAGCATTAAAATTTGACTTTGACGAGTGGGAAGAGGTAAAGGTCAGGGCAGATGATCAGCTAACGAGGATGGTGATATTGATATTGGTCAAGCTTTGTATGTCGGTCTTGAACTATATGGTTATGTTATTGATAGTGGACAAGAACAGGGAGCAGAGTGAAGATCTGTATTGGATGAGCTAAAAAAAGACTGGGGAAGAGAGAGAGAGAATAAGTTGGGAGAGAATTTTACCCAAGGTCTATTCATCGGCAAAAAATAGTCTGATTGACCGCTTAGCTAGAGGACTCTGAGAGGTGAGGTCTCTTAGTAGCTGGGTCTGAGCCCGGACTGTAATCTACTCAGCCTGTCGCTGAGCTCATAAAAGCGGCGGGCAGCTAAGATATGAAAGCCCCACATGAGGAAATCAAGTACGCATAACTACCTACCTAGGCAGTTCAACTCAAAGCAAACCTGAAATAACATAATTAGCTGTGTATCACAACTTGCGCCAAAAGTATACCACCCAATTCAGGAAAAGCCTTTCTTTTCGGATATTTCCATCTACACATTTGATCCCAGCGTACTAGCCTCTCAACCATGGATCACCAGGTAGACCGACTGGTCAACAAGACCTGGGGTAAGTAAACAACCAAGTATAAGCTTGAATCCCTCTGTCACATCCAGTCAACAAAAAGCTCACCACCACCAGCAAAATTCTGCTCAACGGCAGACGACGCGCGCCTAATGATAGCCATCAGCGGCATCCCAGGCTCCGGCAAAACAGGCCTGGCAACGATTATGGCAGCGCGGATTAACAAAATTTACGCCTCGGAGAACCCAAAAACACCAACACCAATAGCCATTGCCCTCCCAATGGATGGGTACCATTTGACACGTGCACAGCTGGCCGCCATGCCGGATCCAGCTCATGCTGCAGCGCGACGAGGCGCGGCTTTTACTTTCGACGGCAGCAAGTTCCTTGAGCTTGTGCGGGCTCTGCGGAAGCCGCTTACGGCTCGCACGGGCAGTCTTTATGCACCGAGCTTTGATCATGCCATTAAAGATCCGGTTGATGATGATATCGCCATTCCGCCGAGTTGTCGAATGCTGTTTTTTGAAGGGAATTATCTAAGCTTGGATCAGGAGCCGTGGAGTACGGCTGCTAATTTGATGGATGAGCTTTGGTTTGTGGATGTTGATTTTGAGGTTGCGAGGAAGAGGTTGGTGGTTAGGCATGTTAAGGCAGGTATTGCGAGAGATGAGGATGAGGCGGATAAGAGAGCCCGAGAGAATGATTTGGTTAATGGGAGAGAGATTGTAGATCACAGGTTGCCGGTGCAGGAGGTTGTTACTAGTACTTTTGATCCTGCCTGGGAGAGGCCATGACCGTTTGGGCAATATGTTGAGTTTGATAAAGACTTATGATGCACAGAGCTAATACTATGTTGATATGAGTATCATGATATTGCATCTTTCTGCATCCCTCATGTTCTTATGCGGGAATAGCCATTTGATAAGAACCTTGGAAGTTGAAACCATTCATCGAGTGATCACATCAATCCCCTTTGCACATGGAATTAATGATGCCCTGTGCATCGGCAAATCTCAGCTCTTGTATTGTTTCTTCCCACAGCCTCTCTGTCACCTGTTTGCCGCTTGGCTCATACATCATGGGGTGAAACGGATGGATATTCCAATTCAGCACCAGGCCACCGTGGCTCTCTTGGCCCTTTACCGCGACCGCATCCACATAGGCCCAGGCACCTTGCTCAGTTGATCGCGCCGCAATTATGTGGACAAAGCGGAAGATGGCCCGCAGGTACGCGGGAGCATGCTGCTGAAGGCCAGAGCCCCCGACTAGTCCCGGCTCTATAGCGTTGACGATGACCTCACTGGGATCCACGTTCTCGCTGAGTTTCTGAACAAGCATCAGCACTAATGTCTTCGTCAGACCGTACCGCTCCAGTGATGCCGCAGTACCCCAGCCCGTTGGATCGTCAAATGATGGAATGAGAGGGCTGGCGTTGCGGTTGGCGAATTGGGATACAAGTGCTAACCCAGAGGCGACTATCGTGATTCTTCCCGGGCCATGAGCCTGTCGCCTGGATCCAAGAATGGGGAGAAGGAGAATGGCTAGGAGCGCGGTGGACAGGTAGTTGACCTGAAAAGTGGCCTCGTGCCCGGTCCTCTCGTTGATGACGAAATCACCCATGGCCACGCCTGCGTTGAGGATGACCTTGTCGAGTCGGGGCAGATTGCTGCAAGATTTGGCGAAGCCCTGGATGGACTCGTAAGAAAGCATGTCAAGCTGCCACACTTCGATGTGAGCATCGGGGTATTGCTTGCGGAGCGGAGCAGCGGCGGTTTCTCCATTTTCTACGGATCGCGACGCCATAATGATATGGGAAGCATGACATTTGAGAAGACTGTCAACCGCGGCGAGACCGATGCCGGTATTGGATCCTGTGACAATGACCGTCTGCCCGGCGAGGCATGTTGACAACGGTGGTGGAATAGGCTTTGTGAGGAATTGAGCCTTGACAAAGGCCTGCAGCTGTGAGGCTGTGGAGGGTGGAAGGGCCATTGATGCCATGTCGATGGGAATCTTTGCTTTTGGTTTTTATGTTGTATTATGAGACAAGAACGGTAGGAATATTGGTGAGGAGAATTGGTAGGATAGCTCTTGATGTACGCGAATGGAATGAGTAGGGCTTTGAAGGCTGTCTTTATAGCCACACCTGGGAAAAGGCATCGTGTCAATACCATCCAGAGATTGTTAACCTGGTATCAGGATTATCATATAAAACAGCATCGCGGAGGAATCAAAGACGGTAATTTGCATCATTCATCCGGGCCATTCCCAAAAGGGCAAACAATGTGGTCAGTGGCTCGTGCACCGGCTTACGCCTCTTACACTAGCGCCGCACCCGGTAGCCCGCTTGTTCCCAAAGGGGAGAACAATCTGGCCGCTTGTCTGACTGCTCAATCTCGGCTCCTATATAACGCCATGTTAAGTATATAGTCTGGTCCCGCATACGCTGGGCATCCTACCACTATCTATTGTTACTCTTATCTCTTCTGAGACATGAGTACATATGCGTCCGATGAACTGTGGCCATGACGACGCAATTCGCCTTTGTCACATACGGTGGGGACTACAAGCAGACACCTGCTGACAGGTCTCTGGTCCGCAGGCACTGCATGAAGGGCCGGAACAAGCGCGAGGGATCCCGTCGCTCTGACCGGGAAGCCAGACAGGCAGCCAAGCAAGTTGTCAGTATGGGTGTCGACATAAGCGATATCCCTGTCACCAGGGGCCGATCAAGTTCAGCTACAGCTCAAGAAGAAAATGCATATATTCCTAGGACGATCCTACGGCGTGAAAAGCCAATGTCAGAGTCACTAGATGAGGACCCATGGACTCGTCCCCCCAAAGTACCTCGAGGCTTTGCCTTTGGAGCGGCAGTCAATGAATTTGCGAATGCGGTCGGCCAAATGCCCGAGTCGCTGATGCGACAGTGTAAGGCTGGCTTTCCAATTGGATCTGAAATCTGACTAACATCTATCTAGTCATGGCTTTCAATCGCATCACGGAAGCCTCGTACCCTCTTGTCGAGACTGTGGTCGACTTCAACGACAATGGAGGCTTGGGTTCCATCTGGCCGTCTTTTGACAAGTCATTCCTCCACACTATTCTCTTTATCAACTCGGCCGTCAATGATTGGGCACAAAACCTGCCGCTAGCCAAGTCGTCGCAGTTCCACTTGGGGAGAACTCTGACCCTACTCAACGAAAAATTGGCAACGGGGGCCTCGCATCTGGATGACACGACCATCTATACCGTTATGCTCCTGGCAATTGCTTCTAGCACTAGCGGCGACTACAAAGCCAGTGATGCGCACATGGCGGGTCTGCAACGGCTTGTAGAGATGCGAGGCAGCCACAGGTACCTCGGGGTAAACCCTGTCACCCAGTTCAAGCTCGAGTGCCTGGACCTGATGTGGTGCCTCACTGCAGGAGGGGAGCCGCTGTTTCTGAAGGGCCCCGTTTCATGGGATCCAGTCTTTACGCGCCCGTCGCCGTCGATCGACACTGAACTGTCTCCGGCTCTCTTCGAGGCATTCACGGACCCCAGACTCATCATTGCCTTTCAGGACTTGCAGCGCCTGACGGAGCTGATTAACACGCACACGGATAGCAATATGCGACTGAACGCTAGTGAGTTCCAGCCCGTCCTCAGCTCAATTCAGACTCGGCTGCTGCATCTCAAGGACTTGCTAGTTGGTATGCCTGGTGGATGGCTATGTCTGGGGATGCTGGCCTTTCTCACGACAATATTCCAGGTCCCTGGACGGCATATAGCTTACGAGCACTTGACGGACCGACTCCGGCGCACATGTAGAGATCTCGCAGCGCCAGCAGCAGCCTCAATATCCCAATCGATGTCAGCATCAATATTAACAAACTCGGGCCTCCGACCCGCCTTGCGCTGGTTGGTGATTGTCTGCGGCATGACTGTCTTTGGTACCAATGAGCGATGGCTTCAGGAGCTCTGGCACGGCATCGCGGAGCCAAACTTGCTATGGGCAGAGACACGAACAGAGCTCAAGCGGATCATGTGGATCGGGTGCATCCACGATGAGAAAGGCCGGCAAATCTTTGCTGCTTTGATGCTTAAAAGGCGAAGTATATAATACACGGGGCTTCGATATGTGCTTGTCGATTATGATAGCTGATCGCCTGAGACACCCTAACAAGTACTCCATTCTCCGGTCATACTTCGGTAAACAAGCACCGATTGATATAAGGGATCCATACCGGAACTACGGCATCATCGGGACGTCTAAGACACCCTGAAGGGAAGTATGACTGCAAAGATATTACCACTACAGAAAGTGCAATATTCACTTGTTGTTTTGGCTTAATTTGCTGTGGTACGGAGTACATCTAGAGGTAACTGAAGTTATTAATAGAGCTCAAATCCCGCTAATCCATATCTGGATCAGCCACCTTAAAACACATGAACTTAACGAGCAGTAAAAAAGCGAATCCTTGTACCTAAAACCTTATAGAATATCTTCTAAGATGAATGTTTTCAAATTCAACTGGCGTAGGGAGTAGCACAACTGACATTATATTCGCTCGCATCTCAATTGACATGCTTCTTGTCTGGGGGAACAGGTCCCTGACGCTAATCCACTTTTGGAGCCGAAGTGCGACAAGCCATGGGGAAACGAAATACATGTATGATGATGACATGTATTGTAAAGTATAATTAATATGACGCACATAATAATGGAGTACTTCTCTGTAAGGCCCCTGATGTAATTTAACCGACTCCATTGTGGCTTCCAGATTGGGTGCAACGAAACTGCGGTTGCCCCGAGTTCTCCCCCCCCGTTTCCGTTTCTTCTGGTCGAGACCTTATCTTCCTTTTCAACTTCGTCACTCTTTGTCTTTCACTCTCTCTACGCTCTTTAGCCCACACACTCTTTTACAGACTCGCTGTGCGATCTCCAATCCAGTCCTTTATTCAATTTCCAATTTCCAATTTCCCATCCAAATTCATCATGCTTTTCAGCAAGTCCATCTTCGCCGTTGCCGTCGTGGCTCTGGCCAACGTCGTGACTGCCGCGCAGACCCCAGCCTGTGTTCTCAAGATCATCGGGTAGGTTGGGAGAAGTAGAATCCCCTGTCCAGTCCTGAACTGACAACATCTAGCAACCAACCCAATCCGGCCGATTCGAAGGCTATCTGCGGCGCCAACGCTAGCAAGATCCAGGACAATATCATCAAGAACTGTCCCGATAGCGATGCCTCCCTCAAGTTCTTCGTCAACAACTGCTCCCAGCTCGGCCACAAAGTTGGTAAGGATTAACACATACCCGACAAACACATTGCATCATTGAATCGGTTACTCATTTATCACCTTCTCTTTAGTGACTGTTTCTACTACCTCTACCGGCACCGAGAGCTCTTCCGCCACCGCCACCGGTTTCGTTACTGCCACCCAGACTGGTTCCTCTACTGCCACTGGCACTGGATCCAGCTCTGCCCCCGGTAGCACTGGAGCTGGTGCCAGCGCCTCCGGTAGCGCCGCGTCCCCTTCTTCCACTCTCAACGCCGCTTCGTCTGACCGCAAGTACTCCGCGACCACCTTGATTGCCGTTTCTTTCGCCGGCGTTATTGCTTTGCTGTAAGAACCTAGCATTGACTGGGAGCACTCCCCGAAGAGCGAATATCGATACAAGCATGAATTCCTAGCCTTGATGTTGCTGCTTCCGATCTGGTTTGAATCATTGTTCAGGGATCTGATTCGAATTCCCTAATATGTTGTTGCTTGTCTGATGCCAATATTTGAATACCTTGCACTTTTATCTTCTTATTTGCCAAAACCACATATTGATTTCTATGTCACCTTCCCACAGGACGATTATATTCATTTCTTTGCTCGCCGACTCCCTACAGAACAACCCTGGAAGTGTTGAAAGGGACCTAGATCTGCTCCAATTTCCAATGAGAACCTAGGTGACCTCGGGACCTTGGGAATCGGTTGATGTTTACGTAAACATATTCAAATCCAATCAATGATCAAAAGACCTTTTGCTAGCATGTTCCTCTTGTAGAAGAGAAAGAATATTCCATACATGGTACTGCTGAGATCATCCCCGCACCACTTGGTTCTTTGATCCGAAAACGAGGTACATGTAGATCCATCACATTGATGCATGATGCAGTGAGGGTTCCAAGGTTAGATTCGAGGCTGGTTGTATATGATGTTAACGAGGGCATGGTGGGGTTGAAATTCAAGCTGTCAAAAATCACTTTAATTTAGAAGTATGTTGTAGTACATATTTGAAGATCATCTGAGCCCGGAATGCTTCAGGCCGGTGACAGCTCGATGGCCGCGCCCATTCACGTGTTCACGTGACCATTCGCGACCTGCAGTTTAACTGCAAGGCCAATTTCACCGCCTATTCCCTAACCACACCGCCTTCTATATTCCCACTAGTATACCACACTAAGCTGATTAGTATCAATACGCTAACTGTAAATGGTATAAAATGGGTGTTTTCTGCCCAGATGGGAAAGAAAAGTGAGGTGGAGCCTCTCATGTTGGTAAGCTGAAAAAACGCGGGCACGCGAGACGCGTCCACACGGCAACCAAAGATTCCTCTGCCCCTCTGATCTCTTCTTCTTCTCACACCCCTCTACGGGCTTTCATCTTTTCCCCCTTTCTCTATACTCTAATATCCATCTCAATTCTCCTGTGATCTTGATACCCCTGTTCACTGCTTTTTATTCTTTCCAGCCCTACGAAAATCCTCACTATTCAAAATGTTCGTCTACAAGAGAGGTAAGTGTGCACATTATCTGGTATACAAAGGCATTCGTGGCGAGAGATGGGCAGAAGCTATATATCTTGCCACAGCCACCCGGCCTTGCCACACCCCTCGGATTGAGGGCTAACGCGAATGTAAATGGCAGATGGACGCAAGGAACGCGTGCAGTTCGACAAGATCACTGCACGTGTCTCGAGGCTCTGTTATGGCCTCGACCCCGAGCACGTTGATGCTGCTGCTATCACTCAGAAGGTCATCTCCGGTGTCTACCAGGGTGTTGGCACCATTGAGCTAGATAACTTGGTATGTTCGCTTGCTTGCTCACTCCTTGTAACATTATGCTAATATTTCAATCTCAGGCTGCCGAGACAGCTGCATACATGACCGTTACACACCCCGACTATGCCATTCTGGCTGCACGTATCGCCGTTTCGAATCTCCACAAGCAAACCAAAAAGCAATTCTCCATGGTCATTTCCGACCTCTACCACTATGTGAACCCCAAGAACAATAAGCCTGCTCCTATGATCTCAAAGGAACACTACGAGATCGTTATGAAGCATGCCGAAGAGCTCAACTCGGCCATTGTGTACGACCGTGACTTCAACTACAACTTCTTCGGATTCAAGACTCTCGAGCGTTCATACCTTCTTCGGATTAACGGCAACGTTGCTGAGCGTCCTCAGCACTTGCTGATGCGTGTTGCTGTCGGAATTCACGGCGAGGATATTGAAAAGGCCATTGAGACATACCACTTGATGTCCCAGAAGTTCTTCACTCACGCCTCCCCCACTCTGTTCAATGCCGCTACTCCCCAACCTCAGCTTGCGTCTTGCTTCCTGGTTGACGTGAGCGCGGACAGCATTGAGGGTATCTACGATACTCTCAAGACCTGTGCCATGATCTCCAAGACCGCTGGTGGTATCGGTTTGAATGTCCACCGCATTCGCGCTACCGGTTCTTACATTGGTGGAACCAACGGCTCCTCCAACGGTATTGTTCCTATGCTGCGCGTGTTCAATAACACCGCACGCTATGTGGACCAAGGTGGTAACAAGCGCCCTGGTGCCTTTGCTATCTACCTGGAGCCATGGCACGCCGATGTCTTCGAGTTCCTCGATCTGCGCAAGAACCACGGTAAGGAGGAGGTTCGCGCCCGTGACCTCTTCTACGCTTTGTGGACTCCCGATCTCTTCATGAAGCGTGTTGAGGCCAACGGTGACTGGACCCTCTTCTGCCCCAACGAGGCCCCCGGCCTGGCTGATGTTTACGGTGATGAGTTCGACGCTCTTTACGTGAAGTACGAGCAGGAGGGCCGTGGCCGCAAGACCATCAAGGCTCAGAAGCTCTGGTATGCCATTCTCGAGGCCCAGACTGAGACTGGTAACCCCTTCATGCTCTATAAGGATGCTTGCAACAAGAAGAGTAACCAGAAGAACCTGGGTACTATTCGCAGCTCCAACCTTTGCACCGAGATCGTCGAGTACAGTGCTCCTGATGAGGTGGCTGTCTGCAACCTGGCTTCCCTCGCCCTCCCCACCTTTGTCGACTCTACCCGAGGCGAGTATGACTTTGGCAAGCTCCACGAGGTCGTGCAGGTTCTCGTCCACAACCTGAACAAGATCATTGATATCAACTACTACCCTGTTCCAGAGGCGAAGAAGAGCAACTTCCGTCACCGCCCCATCGCTCTCGGTGTCAATGGCCTTGCTGATGCTTTCCTGGCTTTGCGTCTGCCTTTCGACTCCCCTGAGGCTAGACAGCTCAACATCCAGATCTTCGAGACTATCTACCACGGTGCCTTGACCGCTTCCAGCGACATTGCTAAGAAGCTGGGTACCTATGAGACCTACCCTGGCTCTCCCGTCTCGCAGGGTATCCTGCAATACGACATGTGGGACCGCACCCCCACTGATCTCTGGGACTGGGCCTCCCTGAAGGCCAAGATTGCCGAGACTGGTGTCCGCAACAGTCTGTTGGTCGCCCCCATGCCCACTGCCAGTACCAGTCAAATCCTGGGCTTCAACGAGTGCTTTGAGCCCTACACCTCGAACATCTACTCGCGCCGTGTCCTGGCTGGTGAGTTCCAGGTTGTCAACCCTTGGCTCCTGAAGGACCTGGTCGATCTCGGCCTGTGGTCCGACAACATGAAGAACCGCATCATTGCCGATGGTGGTTCCGTTCAGAATATCCCCAACATCCCCGCGGATATCAAGGCCCTGTACAAGACCGTCTGGGAGATCTCCCAGCGCAACATTCTCCAGATGGCCGCCGACCGTGGTGCCTTCATCGATCAGTCGCAGTCCCTCAACATCCACTTGAAGGAGCCTACCATGGGCAAGCTCACCAGCATGCACTTCGCCGGCTGGAAGATGGGTCTGAAGACCGGCATGTACTACCTCCGTACCATGGCCGCTTCTGCCCCCATCCAGTTCACCGTCGATCAGGAGCAGCTCTTGGTTGAGGACACCAACATCGCTCGCTCTAAGAAGCGTACCGTTGGCACCGGTGCCTCCGCTTACTCGGCCATTCCCCGTACCAACAGCGCCGAGGCCGTTACCGCCAAGGTTGTCGCCCCCGTCGAGGAGACCCCGCGCAGTGTGGCTGCACCTGTTGTTGCTACACCTGCTGCCGAGGCCAAGACCGACGATGCTGCCGCTAACGCCGAGCCTGAGGATGCCGAGAGCAAGGCCGCGGAGGGTGATATCTTCTCCGACGCCGTCCTGCAGTGCAGCATCGAGAACAAGGATGCTTGCATCATGTGCCAGGGTTAAGCTTTCTTTGCCTTGAGATGCCTTGAGATGCTTTTGGATGTTTCCCTTTTGAGTTTTGTGCATGGTCATGCCTTCTGTCGTGGCTTCTCACGTGTACCCATATTATGATTTTGATGGACTTTTTTCCTTTGTTTGTGTGTTCGGCGTGGGTTGATATTTCATGGATTTTCTTATCATTATTTCAATGACGTCTTGTTATTCATTCTTCCTTGGTAGATGTAGGTTAATTGTAGATGCTGTATAGGACTGCTTGCAAACTTCCTGTCTACCACCGATGTAAACCCAACGCGTACCGAAATCCCCTGAACTCAACCAATCCACTAGCGCCAAAGGGCCCTACATTTCCATTAGGGAATGCCGAATAGAAAACATCCAAGGTCAGAAGTAGGAATTATAGCCAACCAAACACTCGCTAGAGCCAGTCCTTTACTCTCCTAGAACGTAAGATTGATCAAAGATCAAACGGCTTTCAAATGCCTTCGTTTCACTATTGACAATCCTATGCTTACTCGATTGGGAATCCGGACAAGCCACATGCTTCGTAGTTCGCTTTCGGGTTACCGACAAAAAGAAACTCAAGGAGAAAAGCAAGGATTATACAAAATCTTTTGTAGTGGAATTCGCTCCCACGATACTAGAACCAAGTTTTCACCAGAACTGAAGTCGTATCCTTCCGATTTGAGAGGACACAATCAACTTTAGACACCGTAAATGGCCCCCTGATCCATTGTGATATCCTCAGGAATGACATCCAACACATCCACGTCATCCCATGTCGCATGAACGGTCCGTTCCCCCTTCAGTATACGGTTGATATTGAGCATTGTGCTATACATCACCCTCGAGCTAGAAAAGCCTCTGTCCTCACCAGTCTCATTATGAATATCGGAAGACTTTGATCTAGGTCCTCCCTGCTCGAAGACGCCCGTGATCGATGGATAAGGTGCAAAACATCGCAAATAACCATTGCCACACATGCGTCCAAGTGAGACGTCAAACTGGGCACCAATATCAATCTCCTCTGCAAGACCAGACGGGTTAACCGACAAGGCCGCGAGGATCCGTTGCGCACCACTATAGCTCACGGCATAAAACAATGAGCAGACTGCATCGCTTGCTGTGCATGCTAATCGACTGTGATCTGGTCTCTTGTGGCCTTCGAATACCGGAGGGTCGCGCCACAGCGGGAGAAAGTGACGGGGCATTGGGATAGTCGGATCATTCGGGGTAAGGTAAAATGGCATATCAGTTTTACATGACAAGCCGCAGTGGCCTAACCATAGGATGTCCCAGTCGTCGCCGTATGGTGACTTCGTTGGGACTTGGGTATCCTTCTGCTGGAGGGCTCGGACTGCGTGGGCGAAACTCTGAAGCTGGAGCTTGATTGATACATCCCAGTCCGCATCGTCTTCCATGACAATAGCGCTTGCTATTCCCTCCTGGACAACTCTAGGGGATAATTAGTTCAAGTTGATCATTGCAGTTTCGATCCACATACCGCTGCAGTGCGTTGACATGCGCCCGTCGGGCAGCGTATTCGGTCGGTTTTTGGTCATGTTTCCAGTTCTAGGCAAGTCAGTCATCGTGTTTCTTGTGTAATGTTAGAAAACGTACATATGGATATGATTTAGCATTTACTTCATCCGGAGTCACGCCGTCGATCCATTCGACGTGGAAATTGCTAACAGATGATCCTAGAACGATATTGTCTCGCTTGTCAGGCCGGCTGACAAGGTTAATTGCGAAGATCTTTTCAACCTAATAGACATGAGCTGAAGGATCTCTAGATGAAACTTGAAGTGGAATTACCCCAAGGGTTTCATTTCTGATGTCCTCAAAGTTGTCCCAATGGTCGCTCCCAATCTGCTGGGTGGGGGCGGTTGTCTTGTGAGTGAGCGATCGCAGCTGGAAGAGAATGAATGCAACCCCGAGCACGACTAGAAGCAGCTGTACAAAGCGTAGTTGAAATGCAGAAAACGCCATGCTAGGTTGTCATCGGGATAGAGACAACAAAACGCGTTGATCATGCCCAGGAGCTAGGGCTGTAACATCGCATCTTGCTACAGCATGGTTGGTCGATATATTGGATCCCCACTGCGCAGTGGCCGCAAGTCATGTAAGCGACGCTAGCAGTCTCAGCTGGAGTTGGATGATCATCGCCCCGAGGGCACTAATTTTAGCTGACATGCGCTAGCCTTAAATGATCATTCAGGTGCTGTACTCGGAGGATTGTAGTCCCTGTTGATAGTGAAACGCTTTTTCCCTTTCAAGGGTCTGCTATAGAAAAACAAGGTGATCCGCACTGACGTGGTAGAAATCAAGAAACTGCGAAATCACAGGTATCTGGACGGAATTCCTCCTTTTGCATTGCTTAACCATCTAAGCATTTCTACATATGACGGTCACGCTCGGAGACGAATTTGTCACGTATGAAGGCCACTGTTTTTGCAGTGGCTCGTTTCCTAAATCAAGCATTGGTTGATTCGCTTGCAGATGTAAATGGATAGATGCCTGTAGCTGCGAATGTATGCCGCATCGTACAAGATTCGAAGGCCTCGCGAATTTCGTTGGGGACATTGACTTCACGGTGTAGCATCATTTGCGGATGCAATTGCGGTGACGCCTTCGCCGGATGCCTCGGATTGTGCTAATCGTGCAGGCAGTTATGATCCAGTCCTTCCTGTACACTCCAGACGAAAGCTAGTTTCGTCAAAGTTATAAATATCAAAGTTCGTTTCATTTTTGGCCCCTAGCAGATATGTTCTTTTGGTTTTTATTGTGACACTATTTGGGTTCACTATTGATATGGGAGGAAGTCTGGTTAAAGAAAAAAAAATCTCTGCTTTATGTTGACTTCAACTCTTTTCTTTGATCCCACATTTCACATTTCACATTCCGTAGGCCCGGGCCGGGATCTGAGATCTCGAATCTCGAATCTCACATTCTAGACGCTTCTAATACGAAGTATCCATAATCAGCATGCCATCTTTGCCTACAAGATCTAGGCCCGTATTCTGAGACAATGACAATAATAGCTCTCATTGGTAGTTGTTACTTACATGTACTCTATAACACTCACAATACAGAGTACAATCCTAACCTGCATAAAATTCTTCAAATCGGCAATTTCTTCCAAGATGCATCAAACCGTGGTCGTCAAATCCTATTCCGGGGAGATTTTCAATCAAGTGGAGCAGAGGGGACTGGACACAACGGGATATAGTATGCCAACCAAGTTCCCAATTTTGTAGCATGTGTGGTGCGACAGGGTCGTCTTGGGAAGAACATGGTTGGATTTGGGTACACAGATTGTGCAGTCAGAACTGTAGCATTTTGATTGCAAGGGACCATAGTCAGCACCCTGATCGGGTTCCTGGTAACATGTACAACAAAGGCGTGGGACATTTCAACTGGCGCCCTGTGCCCTGCATTTCGTGTTTAGGGATGTGTTACCGTATCAGATAGTACAATAAGGCAGAGAGAGGTGAAGTGAACTATAGATTCTAGATCCCATACATATACTCCGTATACTCATTTGAATAAATATGCATACTCTAAAACGTGGATATATTCACACAATAGAATTCTAAGAGATCGGCACTATGAATTTTCCCAGAAACTAAAAAAACGGCTCGAAAACCTTGACCAAGTCCAGACCACAGTGGAGAAGATTAAATTACACATACGGAGTACAATAAATACAAATAAAACGAGGCCCGATCCCAGCTGGATTGGCTTGAAGGCCTTTGTCTTACCGTCGCATTGCCCAATGGTACGGGCCAATAGACCCGTTACAATACGCACATGTCAGATTGTAAAAAGGAAGGCTGCAGTATTATGATCAGTCCTCCCATAGGTACACCAGAACGTCATTTTGCACGACCAAAGAGCGAAGATGCGATGAGATCTCAATTATATAGAGAAAAAGAGAGTAGAGATATGCGATTCCCTCCCAGAATGAAAAATAAAAGAGAAAGAAAGAAACCCCTCCAGGGCTGTGATAGGTCGGTTGGTCAGGTACCAGAGGCAAAATATGTGGGGCGTGAGACCCCAATAGGCTCCCGAGGTCGTTGGATCGGCTGAAGCAGCCGGTCTATCCCCAGAGGAGATTAGGGCCAGGAGAAAAATGGTTTGTGTGGCGCACAAACCCCTGGTCTTATTCCTATTCCAATGAGGATCTACCGGGGCATCCGGCTCAGGTACCTAGACGTTGCGATTGTGATATTCCCATATTTTGTGTATTTTAGGATAATAAATACTACTACTCCGTATGGAGTACAAAACAGCGGAATGAAAGGAAGTGAGTTGTCCATGGTCCGGTACGGATCGTGGCTTGATTTGGACCATGGGTTTGGTGAGAAAGTGGGTCCCTAACCTTGAGAAGTGGATCATTTCCCTCTTTTGTGCCTGAAGTCTGGTATTTTATAAAGTCGAGACTTCCTTTCTCTTTCTTCTCTTTTTCAACCCATTCCTTCCTTACTGAACACTCACCGTTCCTTTCGAGTGCCCTTCCTGCTGTGCAGTTGATCAATCATTTAAACAACATACACACACACCCTCTTTGAAATCTATTCCGATTCATTCGCAATGGCTCCTATCTCTAAGACCCTCGCCCTTGCTGGCGCTTTGTTCGCCTTGACTGGCTATTCGGCCCCCGTTGATAAACGTGCTGTCGTTTGGGAGGTTGTCACCGATATTGTCTGGACCACCGTCGAGGTCACCGTGACCGTCGACCCCCAGGCCACTCACACCACCGTCGCCCCTGTGGTTGCCACTACTACCACTGCCACTACTACCACCGCCGCTGCTGTCCAGGCCCTCGCTCAGGAGCCGGGGAAGGTTGCGCCCACCACCACCTCGTCCACTACCACTGCCGCTGCCACTACCACTACTGTTAAGGAGCAGGAGAAGGCCGCGCCCACCACTACCTCCTCCACTACCACTGCCGCTCCTGTTCCCACCCTGGAGGCCTATTCTGCTCCTGCTCCCGTCGTGGAGGCTGCCGAGACCTCCACCACTGCCTCTGCTATCACCCGCGCTACCAACACCGAGACCACCGGCAGCAGCGGTCACACCGGCGCCTGCTCTGAGAGCTCCCCTTGCGAAGGTGAAATCACATTCTACGACACTGCCACCACCGCCACCAACCCAAGCTCCTGCGGCAACACTAACGATGGTACCGTCGAGAACGTTCTCGCCCTGCCCCATGGTATCATGAAAGACAGTGACTGCGGTAAGACCGTCACGATCACATACAATGGCCAAACCGCTACCGGTATTGTGGTCGACAAGTGCATGGGTTGTTCCAACGGCGATGTCGATCTCTCCCGCCACCTCTTCGGCGAGCTCTCATCCTTCAGCAAGGGCCGTGTCAGTGGTGCCAAGTGGTACATCCACTAAATGTTGCATCGGCCTCGCGTTGGTATTGATGGCAACGAGGATGAACATGAACAATGGACACATCTCTGGTAGATTGCGCAAGCGGATATGGTCTTGACGACTCTTTCCCCCCCCCCTTTTTTTTCTTCTGCTAATCACTTTACTGTGATATTTTCCCATTCTTTCCCAGTCTCTCCGAGAACCAAATCATTCATCTTTCGGAGAGACTAGGGTCTTTTTAACCTTTCGTCCACTCATTTGACACTGGATCTTTTTACCATTTTGCGTGTCCCTAGTGGATCGCATTCACATTTTACCCCATTTTTTCATGTTCATAGAATCTTCTTCTCTTCGGAGTCTTCTTGTGCAATACTACCTTATGATGTATCCTATTCGGCCACAAGACATATGCTTACATCCCTGCGCGCATGCTGGCAAGTCATGGACGGTTTGACTCTCTTGACGAGATCTCGAACATGCAAATGCGACAGGGCAATGATGATTACGATGATTATGCTCGTGAAACGAAAGAAATCCCACAAAAAAAGGAATACAGGAGACAGATGAATGAAATTCGTTTCGTTTGATGCGTGTTTGTTTTACTTTAGTCTCGCGTAGTACGGAATACGAGGTAGTACCAGTAATTGCCGAGGTCGTTGCCCCTTTCTACTTTTTGAGGTCCAAGCCCAAAAGGGAAAGAGAACTACAGCAACGCAAGGCTAACGACTATATTGGTCGCTAAGACAGCTGCGCCTCACTTAGCTTAGGATGCTCAATTGTGGGCCTCTGTTTCCAGCCGAGCCAAGCTATGGGGGCTCTCTATACGGTCTTAAATTTAGATCTGCGTTGCGCTGGCGATCTCTATGTTTCTACTCCGTACGGTATTGCCGTCTATAATCTACTCCGTAGCTCTAACCCCGATCCTGTCATCAACCAGATAATCCAGCTCAATCGAACACCACACCGTTCCTCAACGTCCCAATACCATCAATAACAACATCCATCTGTGTTCCAGGAACGAGATACTTCGGCGGCGAAAGACCAGCGCCAACACCTAACAAATAAAACAAGTCAGCTCAACTAATTCCCTCCCAAAACGAGAGATCAAACTCACCACCAGGCGTCCCTGTCATAATAACACTCCCCTTTTGCAACGTCGTGCCCTGCGAAAGATACGACACCAGATACGCGCAATCAAACAAAAGATCCGCAACATACTCCTCCTGTCTAACCGCCCCATCAACAATCGTCTTCAGCAGCAGCTTACTAGGATCCGGGATCTCGCTCGCAGCAACAAGACACGGCCCAAGCGGCGCAAACGTATCAAATCCCTTCGAGAATCCCCATTGCGGTACACGTCCCGCGAGCTCAGGATTACGCTGCAGCTTGCGCGCTGAGATATCGTTGCCGACTGTGTACGCGGCTACATAGGAAAGCGCGTTCTCTGGGGAGACGTTCTTGACGTCCCGGCCGATGACCATGCACTATGGACGTTGATTAGTATACTGCATACTAGGACATGGTATTCGTAGACGGGACGTCGTCCTACCAGCTCGCCTTCATAATCTGCCTGTGAATCCTGGGCTATCTGCGGGATTGTCACTGGTACGCCGTGGTCGTGGATTGTGGTGTTTGGCTTGAAGAAGATGAATGGGAATGGAGGTGGGGTGCGGCCCGCTTCTTTGACTGTAGACACGGTGGATATTATAAGTAACTGTCCTTGACGGTTGCGTAGGAAAACTTACTATGCTTCGCATAGTTCAATCCGACGCAACGCAGAATGGGAACATCTGTCTGTGCCAATGGTCCTAGGATGGTCTTCACGGAGACGATTTCATCAGTGACGCGGGTTTTGCCTGTGGTGTTGTAGATGTCGTCGCCTTCTATCACACGTGCTTGTAGTTTGTCGGACTCGGTTATAAAGCCTAGGTCGGTTGTTGGGGTTGGGAGGATTGGTTCGCCGCGGAGTGTACGGCCGTCTGTGGCGATGAAACGGATTAGGCGTTTCCACGGGAGAGACATGTTTTTGGAGGTTTGATTATTTGTCTTGGTTTGGTTTAATTGGAAGCTAATAGACGGACATTCATTCCAGGAGTTGGGGGGTTATATGGCTCTTTACTATTGCTGCGCCGGGGGTAGATCGGGTATACCGGCGTTGTCGGGTGTGATTCCGGGATGAGGGGTGGTTCGGTTTGAGAGGGACTTAGTAGCTGATCGAATGAGAAATAGGAATATGCGGGGAGACTGGCGTATGGCTAGTATGTTATGGTTATTGATCCCCGTGCGAGCTAATTCTCTTGGAAGCGGATGTCTATAGTGACTAGACTGATATCGATAGATAGAAAGGGAAAAGCATTATAGATCTAACGCTGCTTGTCTGTTCCCCATCTTCCCTGCTTCGTTGCTTTGCTGGTCTATAAAGAGAGTGAAGAGAGATGGAAACTAGGCATATATCAAAAATATATAGGAAGTCAAAAAGAAAGTGATATATTCTCTAAAACTGGGTTTTCTACAACTTCGACTTCGTCCAAGCCTGATCAATCTCTTTCTCGGCATCATATCCATAGCACCATATTTGAGTCGCCGGATCACTCCACTGGTTAGGGCTGTGACTGAACGGCAACCCCAAAGTCTCAGGCTTCATAGCTGCATCACGGGCTTCCTGAAGGGGCCCATCGGCGAAATGCCACAGTTTTCCATTCAGAAGACTCGCCTCCTGCATCATTCCGGCTCGCTCAATGCGGACCTGCTCAAAAATACTCAATGCTTTTGGGATGTCTGCGGCATTTTGAATTTTGGACAGAGAGCGTGCCAATGCTGCGCCGTCTTCGACGGCCATTGCCGCACCTGTGTGGGTTTAGTGACTATTCTCAAAATGAACTGTAAACCGACTTACCCTGTGACATATAAGGTAGCATTGCATGTGCTGCATCTCCTAGGATTAACACCTTGCCATTCACCCAGCGAGGTAAGGGGACTCCACTGATCAGTGGCCATTTGATAGTTTTGTCGATAAGTCCGATGATCTTCTCGAGACTGGGAATATATTAATGAAAGAAATACCAAAAACATTCGTAGACCCATACCGGCTGTCCCATCCTTGGAACTCGCGTCTCATATCACTGAGAGTATTTACTTGATCCCAGGTCGAAGGATCACTGTCATCTGGGTGCGAAAGAACCATGTTGAAAGACTTGCCGGCTCCAATGGTGTATGTCATGACGTGTCTCTGATCGCCAATCCTAGCAGACCGTTAGTTGAATTTCGAAGGTTTTTCATACTCGTGCTAACCAGATATTGAGAGCCGGCTTTTCCAGCAGCCAGGAAAGTTCGGGGTCTTCCTTGATGCGCTCCACGTCCACAGTAGCTCGATAGGCCGCGAACCCGGTCTTCTCAAATGAGGGCTTGTCGCTATCATCGAGGGTTCCACGAGCAACCGACTTGACGCCTATAAAAGATTAGAGTCGGTCACGTCTCTCAAGAGTGTGGGGATATATACCGTCCGCAGCAACGACCAAATCAGCCGAAGCAGTTTCACCATTCCCAAGAACAATGCTTGGTCCTTCAACATTATATCCCACAACCCGTGAAGCAACCTTGACCGTGACACCCAGATCGAGGGCACGTTTATGTAACGCAGAATGGAAGTTTGCGCGGTGGATCACATAGTAAGGCGCACCGAATTGTTCTCGGAAGTTCGGGATGAGTTGTGTCAACCCGATGACGTTTCCTGACTGCCATCGTCTGAAAGAAATGGACCCGGGCTCAGTCACATACTCTTTTAGGTATGGGTCCAGGCCGAGTCTGCTTAGAAGGCGAGTTGAGTTGGATGGGATTTGGATACCAGCGCCGACCTAAGGTAGGTGGTTAGCTGTAATCAGCATCGAGCGGGGAGAGCTAGTACTTCTCCGAGCTTTTGTGCTTGCTCGTATACAGTCACGGTGTGGCCGGAACTTGCGAGAGCAATGGCTGTTGATAGTCCACCGAGTCCGGCGCCGACAACGATGATATTCAGGCGGACCTGTGCAGGGATGGTCTTTTCGCCTGCCAATGGATCATCTAAAAATTTGAGACAGTTGCTGGGATATGTTGGGGTCTATTGGTTCATTAATGAATGAGAACCTCGCATTTCCATTTCGAAAGAAAATTACCTTCAAGGATGTCTCAGAAACATGGCCATTGGCCTGGCGATCGGACATCCTGCTTACTATTATTCGCTTTGTTTCACAGAAAGATAATTGGAGCTCGACAGCGCATATCGTCGGATTAGCGCCTTTATGACCCCTCAGCTGGAAACGCACCGGGGAAGACCATCCGATCTTGCCCCGGACCTTAGCAAGAGCGGAAATCCTACAGCAGTGTTCAAGGTATATTTGAGGAATGAGTTCTCCATGGAATTCAGATCATACAATCCGAATATCTCTATCATTTCCAACCAACTCTAACAATGACTTCAACTCAAATGGAAAGCGTCGTGGATACAGAGGAGCAGCTTCTCGCTGATCTCGAGGCAAGCAAGACCCTCCCTCTGTGGAAGCAGATGGCCCGTCTGAACCCTCCAGCTCCAAATCCAACAACAATCCCAAATGTCTGGAAGTACAGCGCCATCAGAACTAACTTGGAGCGTGCTGGAAAGCTTGTCCCAGAATCCCAGGCTGAGCGCCGGGTGCTGATGCTCACCAACCCAGCTCGAGGTATGTGCAAAGCTATACTTTGTTTTAGCATCGCCGACACCTTTCTATGTATTATATACTGCGCATAACTTTTCTGACATTCTATCAAAGATGCACCCTTCACTACCGACACTCTCTACGCTGGTCTGCAGCTAGTGATGCCTAATGAGACTGCACGCGCTCACCGACACACGGCCTTTGCCATGCGCTTCATCATTGAAGGTCAGGGTGGTTTCACGGCTGTCCATGGCCGACGTATCACGATGCAGCGTGGAGATGTCATTCTCACTCCGACCTGGAACTACCATGATCACGGCAAAGATGGTTCTGGGCCTATGGTATGGTTGGATGGGCTGGATTTGCCCAATTTCAGACACTTCCCTGTGCACTTTGTGGAGCACTTCGATAAGCCCCGTTATCCTGCGGAGAATGTTGATAGTACCACTTCGCCGTTGGTTTTCCCGTGGGTTACCATGAAGGCGCAGTTAGATAGCGTTGGTGAGGATTGGGCCACTAAGAGATACTTGAAGGAGGATGGGCGTGAAGGTATGTGTTCATTTTTTTCTTGTTTGGCTCTTTCAATGAAAAGTTAGTTAATGGGATTTATAGTGAGTCGCGTCCTTGGAGGATGTGCTGAGCGAATTTCGGCATCCAAGGCTTCGCCTTCCCGGCGGGAGACTACGTCCGCTGTCTATCATGTCATCACTGGTAAAGGACGCTCGATTATTGGTGATAAAGAATATACCTGGGAGCAGGGTGATACTTTCTGTGTTCCGGCGTGGTACAGATACCAACACTTTGCGGATGTTGAAGAGCCCGTCTATCTGTATCGGTTTGATGATAAGCCCATGATTGATGCATTGGGCTTCTATCGCTCGGAGGATATGGATGTCGAGTCCCTTGTGGACGAGTGAGACCTTTAATATGGCGCGATTGGACATTCGGAATAAAGTATCGTGGGAAGATCGATGAAATGATAGAATGTAACACAACTCCAACTTGAATGTGGAATTTGATAATGAGAACAAGATGTTAGAAATACTTCTCCCATAGACACGGTTCTGTAAAATTGCAGAACAGGGTTCATTGACTTCGTAAGATCGTTTCCTCTTGAGTGACAAAAAGCCACCTGGAACAAGCATCGCGAGCATCATAATCTATAAAAAAAATCCTAGCAACATACATCCGCAATCCAAGATTAAGCGGGAACGTATGGCTGTGTATCACTTCTGACAATATACACTTCTCCAAGGAGAACAGTACATCCAACCACCATGGAGATAGCAATAATGGGTAGGTTCACACGGGCAAATTCCAGGCCACCGACGCGGATGTGCTTTCTCGCCAAGATATCCCGCCACAGCATCCCAGCCAGCGAAGCACTAAACGCAGTGCTGAATGCGCCATAATTGACTCCAAGTGCCATGCTGTAGACAGTGGCCCACCATGTGCGATCGCTGATGGGAACTCCACTGACGTCGTGGATCTTTTGCCATGCTTGGATAACACGTGAAAGGAGAATCGTGGTACCGATGTTTGTGCCAGCAAACTGTGATCAGAAGATGGTGAGTTAGCGGGCGTAAAGGGAGAGAGAAATAATGGTCAGCCCATTGCTCAATACTAACATTGCACAAAATCACAGATAAGAATCCCATTCCACCGATACTGCCTATTGTCCCGGTCTTTTCTACCCAGTGGTTCCATCCGTACGCGAAAACCGGCACCCAACCCTTTGTGACAAGCGCCTGCACCAGAATAAACATCGTAAAAGCGAATGGAACCAGTGCGAAAGGCATATGGGATACTACGACTGTCATGGTGGGGAATGTCTCCTGCGACCAGCGGTAGATATTAGCAGCGATCGACACCAACGTGCGTGGCCCGTCGTCCTGGTGATATGGATATGGCCGCTTTTCCACATCTGTCGTCGTGTCGGTGGTTTGTCTCGAGTCCAGTGCCTCGGGAGAACTTGTGCGTGCTAAGTGTTCGCTATTTATTGCAACACCAGGTGGCTGTAGTTCCGGGAACTTTTCCTTCCCATCGACGACAGAGACTGAAAAGGGGGTCCCGCATTCTGAGTAGGGATCCTTTGAGGCGATATCACTATCGGTGCTCTTAAGTGAGATATCGCCATCTGTGTGATCACTGCGGTGGCGCAAGCCCGAAGCATCAAATTGCTCAGAAGACTGGCCTGATCCAAAATTCTCTGGGTCCATCTTTTCTGACAGCGCTTGCTGTTCTTCCCGTTCGCGCATTTCTTCCTCTTCTTCTCGTTTGCGCATTTCTCGCTCTTCCTGTGCATCCTCAACCTCCTGTCGACCTTTCGCGGCAATCTCACGGGTCTCGTGGCGATGCTTCCAACCAAACGCGATATCCCAGCAGAACATGACAAAAGCAGCGGGCAATGTGACCCAGAAAACGGGATTCTCTTTGCCTGATGCATTGATTGCTAGGAGGGTGATTAGCGTGGCGGCCATAATGATCCCCCCGAAAGATGCACCCGTTTTGTCCAAAAATGGATTCATGATCTCTTCTAGTGAGAGTTGCTTTCCCTCCGTATCGTCGGCTTCCTCTTTCTCTTCGGCGGTTCCTCTGGCGTTAGGGATATTGGGATTCACGGGTGGTTTTTTCTTTTGGTCCTCAGACAGCTCATGCATTGTGATGGATAGAGGGATGAGGGATTCATCAGCGAAAATGATATATAGTAGGAGCGGGAAAAGAACGATTGCCGTCACAACCACAGGTACGATCATGTTGGCTGTGTAGACAATGAACTTGATCTTGAAGGCGCCAGCAAGGACCAGGTTGGTGGGGTTGGAGGAGACAAGAATCGCGGATGCGATGTTGGCTATGGCAAACTGGCTGTGGATCCAGGCTCTTGGGTGGACGATATTGCTTGATACACGGGTCATGTATGCGAGGAAGGCGGTACCGGATAGAATGATCGGGTCGTTTCCGATGAAGCTGCCTAACCCGAAAAAGAAGACAAAGAGGTAGAAGAATAGTCGGTGGCCGACTTTGCCTGCCTTTTGGAGAACCTTGAAGGCCAGGTATCTGATGAGGCCAGAGGCATCAATCGAGATGGCAATGTAAGCGAGTGTAAGGAAGAAAACCATGATATCAATGGGGTTGATGTTCTCTGCTCCGACGATTCCATCGTGTACCTCTTTTCGGCCAATAGCCAAAATAGCGAGAAGGAACAGGTCCGCTATTAAAGGTGCCGTGACAAAGTTCAATGGAAAGCGAAATTTTACAAAGATGCTTTGCTTGTCATTGGGTCGAGGGTTAGTCCGGCGAGGTATGATGCGCATGCCACCCAATAGGTCCAGAAACCCGTTCGTGATCCATCGAGGCACGTAGATAGGGATATGAAATGGGAAAAGGACAATGATATCTGCACGGCGAAGAAGCAAAAGTAAGTCTCAATCTCCCATTGTAGGCCCAGCCACACTTACTAGTTATAACAAAAATGATTAGAGTGATGATTGATCGCCAACTTTTGATTTTCGAAGTGTCGAGTTCGTCGTCCATTTTGAATGTTTGCTTTTCTTTCCGATCTTCAGATCAAGAACATGCACCGGGTAATAGCTGTGGTCGTCAGGCACCAAGTCAGCCTCTCTAATGTGTTTCAGCCCCAGTCAGGCATGGTGGCAAAGAAAATACCGGAATGCGCAACAAGATAATTTTGCGTAGCGGGATCCAACTGTTGTTTTTTATTGCAGACGCATTTCTCTGCGAAGATAAAACCGCGATGAATATGGTCTTAGTTGCTCCCCGTCAATTAAAATTCCGGATAAATTTTGCAAGTTGTTGTCTATCCCATGTACTTGAATGCCGGAGAAATCAAGAAATTGTCTAAAATGCGGAGAAATCCAGTGGACTGCCCCTCATAATCACACCGATAAATTTGAATGATTTTGTGACTTAGGCTGAGAAGAGTGGGAGCCCAGCTGCTAATGAACAATCAAGGTCTGTGAGGCTGTGGAAGACCTCCGTGTTCCAAGTGGATATGTGGATCAAAATTTGGGCTTTATTAAAGTTGTACTAGAATCCGGCGAAGTGGCCAGGTTCCTTTTTAATGCAACGTTGAGCGAAATCTGGGGAGAGAAATTTTCACGTCTGAGGGTAGGGGGGGGGGTCTGAGCCTCAACAGAAAAGGGCAATCAAAATAAGACTAAGACATGCACGGGACAGAAGAGGACAATTTGATTAGTTTGGATTTTATGACAAGAAATGCCAATAAAGAAAAACAAAGAGTCTGGAACTATTTGAGAATTGGCGAGGGAAAGCCCCGCCCAAGTTTTGGGAAGTGACGTCTTTTTAATGTTGTCCGACCCATGGTTCAGTCAATATCAGTTCCAAACGTTTTGTTTTCTGAATTCCAAGGTTTATCTCGTGACTTTGGGAGTGAATGGGTTAAAACATTTCCTACTTCTCCAACATCATAATCTCGATTGCTTGGTAAACCGAGAAATCCGCCCTACAGACATAGCCACCCGATATGAACCTAACGTGCCAATCAGCGGGAGGTGGCATTGCCCCATCTCGTATTCACGCCCGGGTTGCTGCGCCCGCCCAAATCGACATCACGGGGGCACTTGTCATTCTGAGGGTTGGAGCTTGATAATAAAAGTTTTCCCCCGAAGCTATCCAATCCCAGCTAGACTGAGGCTACAGAATTCCGAGATGAGGCTGTTGCTGACGAAATATCTTGCAGCCCGGGTACATGTTCTTATTTGCTTTGTTGAGCATGGTCGATCTACTCCGTACAGAGTAGCGGCTTTGTGGATAAGACCGCCCGGAGGCTCCCTGCTTTTTTTTCTCTCTCCATTTTCTATAATAACACGAGCCTCATTAAGTCACTGTCGGCATTAGAGAACATCATATTAATATATGCATTTTTTGCTGCTTTTTCCTAAAGTCACTGTCGCCGAAGGCGAATAACATGCAATGCCAGCAATTCCCTTTGTTGCCTCTTTACTAGACCATGTTCTTGTGCATCGTGATACTGCATCGCCCCCTAACATGACAGTGGCCGTAAGTCCATCTCTCGAGGTTGTTTGCGCTTGGCCGGTTTCCGGTCAATATGGCCCGGGGACCCGAGTCTTGTATGTTTCCCCATGAAGAGATTGGATTGCTGGTCTTACCATGGTATACTAACATTCATTCTAGATACTATGTCTTGGTTGTAGCCTGCGTGTTCGCTCGCAAAGTGGAATGGATTCGGAACGCTTGTCTGGCCGCTGTGTTACTTTTCCCCGCTATCGCGGCTCTTCATGGGATTGTTCTTGCTGTGCTTCATGTTGAGGGTGAGTCTAACCAAGATTTTGCCGCGGATTGATGTATTAATTTAATACTCTAAAGGCGCTGTCGATATGGACGTTTACGGGGCGTTCCAGCTGTGCTCAATCGGCATCTTGACTGCTCCAGCGACCGTCAGGCTGTCCAAAACCTACTTCAACAACCCCGGTCGGGACATCATCTTTCTGTGGACAGTCCTTCTCCTGGTTGGGCTAATAAGCTTGATTGTGGAATTCATGCGCCTCGAACCCACTCGTTGCCCAAGTGATGACCCGGCAAGCATTCACTGGGCCAGGACAAGGGGCCCAAATGGTGGTGAATTTAAATTTGACTCCAACTGTGGCCTCCTTTGTACCGAAAATGATCCAATTTCACCGTTGCGACGAGGCGCAGCGGACAATATCTACGTTATTCCAGTGCCTAGTGAGTTGACATTCAATGCTGCTACACTTATTGCGGCTGCATGTTGCATCCCTGCCATTTTGTCGTTGGTATCGATGTGGATCAAAATTTTGGACGAGAAGTTCTTAAAGGGAAAGTACAAACAGAAGCCGGATGAACTCATTGAGGGAACCAATGGAGCTACCGTCAGCCACATGACTGATATTACCAAAGTTATAAAAAAATGGTTAACTATCCTCGGGTTACCGTTGTTTGCTGCAGCCGTGCTGGCAATTCTCGTCAAAGGCGAGATGAACTTTTGGAGTTTCCAAATGAGGTACCAAACAGAGCCTATACAAAGCATTGGTAAGTAGATACTGTGTTTGATCTGACTTAGCGCAAATGGCATAGACTCACCAATGAAACCCTTAGGTCAATGGGCGCCAGTTGTTGGTACTGCACTCGCTGTATTGGGATCACTGTATCTCATTTTCTCAGCGGATATAGATGCCGTGGATACTGAAGACGGACAACAAGAAGAGGGTACGGTGGAAAAATGCCCGCATTGCGACTGTGCTGTTTCAAACACCGGAAGCAGTTCCCGGCGAGGCTCTAGAACAAGTGACACCAATACCGAGATGGCGCCCATACGCCGCCCTACCACCAATACGCTACCAGACCTGGGAAGACGGGAGGTCGCCCGCATCATGAGTAAAGCAAGCGCTCTTCTTGCCGACAAAGCCCATAAGCAAATCGAGAAAGGGGGATTTAAACGCAACGCGAAAACAACTTACCCCTTAACTCCAGGAGAAGAGTACAAAAACTCAAAACTCACCGATCAGATGGCCCAATACCAAAGGTCATCGACACCGGATAACCGATCAAGGGCTGCAAGTTTCATAAGCACCACTGGTTCTGTGGATAATGGGGAAGGTAGCTCGAGGGCTAGGAGTCCAGCACGGCATTCAGTGCCTGCCCGCGCTGTCTCGCGGCCGATAACTGGTAACGGTCACTCAAACTCGCTCCCAAATGGGGGAGTGCCTAGGGCATCAACTTTGCAGTGTCCTCCTGCGGCAGTGTTTGGGGGATGGCAAGGACAGTCGGGTCCGTTTGCTTCGAAATCACCCTCGCGAAGTAGAGCACCATCGGCTTCCGAGATTAGCCCCACAGGTTCATCACCGGGGCCTCAGTTCCCGCCAAAGATAGTAATATCCCGTGATGAAGAGGGTTGATTGTTTTGTCTATGGTGTTCTTGGGCTCCGATGTTTCCAATGGCGCGTGGTTCGCTGGGCATGACTAGCCAGCTTTACGATTCTATGAGTTTCATTATGTCTGGAGTGGATTTATTGTATTAAACGGTGTATATATATAGTTTCCTTCATATCACTGCATAACTACTATTATAATTTCCAGCCCTTTCCCCAATATCTTCCCTAAGCCAAGGATATGAAGAGAAGAAATACATCTAATCAAATTGAGAAATATATCTGCAAAATTCGAGGTAACGATAAGATCGATCTTCGTCCTCTATAACTAGAGTTTAACCCCGGCAACACCGGATATCCACCCGATCTACCCCCGCCCGACACAACCCCAGAAACAGTCACACCCCGGTAACCCCTGATCATATGATGTTACCAAATGGCATTGAACTCGCCAGATAACGAAACACCTAGCGGGCGGCCTTCCAAGCGGCGTCGTGTAGCCATTGCCTGCGACGCATGTCGAACCCGCAAATCCCGATGTGACGGCAAGCGGCCCAGCTGCTCGCTATGTCAGGATTTGGGGTTTGAATGTGTTTACACGCCGCCCCCAACGGCCGCTAATGTTATCGTGCAGAAAGACTATCTGCACGGACTTGAAGATAGAGTAAAGAGGCTTGAGGAGTCGCTTGGGGCTGTGAGGGGTGATTTAGATGCGTTGGCGAAAAAGGTTGATCATGGGCCCGAAGGAGATAGGGACAGGCAGTCTGCTATTTCCGGTCGAAATGCTGGGGAGAGTCAGGATGAGACGAGAATTGCCGCACCGATGCCTGGCTTGATTGGGACAGAGGATTCGGTCGATGGTATGGGTGCGGTGATTTTTGCTGATGAGGAGGATTCCGGGTTCTTTGGTAAGTGCATTTGCTCTATAAGGAAGTTCTAGATTGCTAACGAGTTACTAGGCCCTTCTTCAAATATTGCATTCCTTCGACATTTGTCGAGCGCTATTGTTCAACCGGGGTATTTCCCTTCACCTGGCGCTGCTGAGGGTGGCTTCGTGAATGCATCGAGACCATCATCGCCACTACGCCAGACAGGTCATGACCGGCGCATGCAAGTAAATATTTTTGCTTTGCCGCTGCAGGCAAACACCCTGGAGCTTATCGAGCGCTACTTCTCTAATACGGGTTTGCTGTTTCCTTACATATACCCACCTGTCTTCCTGGACACATATCACCAGATGGCACGGGAGAACTTCAGTCGGGTACGGAGAACCTGGCTTGGTTTGTTGAATATGGTGTTGGCTATGGCTACTATCACTGCCATTCCTGGAAGTGCGAGTGCAGATGCTCGGATCGAAGAATCAGATGTCTTCTATCAGCGTGGCCTTGGCTTGTGTGGGAGTGAAATTATGCGAGGGACAACGCTAGAAGTGGGTAAGTGGCTCTTAACTCTTGTTCCTCGTGTTTCCTTCTTTTTGCAGGATTTTCCTGACTGTGTTTACCCAGTTCAATATTTGCTCCTCATGGGCCAGTACCTCCAAGGAACGCAGAAGTCAATACAAGCATGGACCGTCCATGGATTAGCCGTCAAAGCCGCTCTTCAGCTTGGATTACATTCACGGCATGCATCTAAAGTATTTTCTCCAATCGAGCAGGAGATGCGAAAGAGAACTTGGTACGGCTGTGTGGTTTTAGACCGGTAAGTGGCTAAATCTCTACAAGCCAAACATATGCTGACAATATAGGACCCTGAGCATGACTTTTGGCAGACCGGCGGCAATTCCAGATAGCTATGTCAAGCTCGAGCTGCCCGCAAAACGGGAATTCGAAAATTCAACAGGACTTGTGGATGACGAGACAGCGGCCTTGAGCGTCGCATTCTTCAACTCGACAATGTAAGTGGTTGGATCTGACAAATGTAAAGGTCCAGGTTTCTGACGTATATCCAAGTGGACTCTATAAACAGCTCTGGAATATCCTAGAGCTTCTTTATGGCCAGAACATCGGCTGCGATGGTTCATTACCAGTCGGCGAAACCGTAGCCCACATCTTCAACTTGGAACAGCAGTTGTTCTCCTGGGAACGGTCGCTTGCCCATCCATTACAACTTATATCGTCGGCTAGCATTGGGAATTTGCCTTACGAGCAGATGTCGTCTAATTCCCAATATCTCTCGTTAAAGTTTCAAGTCATTCTGACCTTGAGATATCTTAATCTTCGAGTTTTGCTCCATCGCCCAATACTGGTCAAATTCATCACCGCAAGCAGGTCCACTGATCGCGATCCTCAAGATATGAGATTATTGCAGCAGATAGGGATGAATAGCTTGCAAATATGCGCGGATTCCGCGATGGAGATCATTGATATCGTACATCGCGTGGTGTCAGAACCTGGATGGAAGCGCAGCCTCTTGGGAGCTTGGTGGTTCTCATTATATTACAGTTAGGTCCTAATTCCTCGATCTGAAATTTTGCATGCTGACAGTCTCTAAGCTTTTAACGCGGCGCTGGTCCTCATCGGAGTGTATTGGGTCTACCGTGATACCAGCCTAACAAGTTCCCCGATGACAGACCAAGCAAGCAAAGCCAGACAATATCCCGGCCGTGCAGTAGCAGCACTTTCTAGGCTCGATGAAGGAAACCGGTTGATTGATCGATGTCGGTATTACTTGGAACAATTTAGCAAGGTCTTGGACGATCCTGGTTAGTTCATTTCCCTTCGTCTTTACCTAGCAGGTTATACTTACATTACTGTTTTTATCAGAAACGAACTTCGATGCCTCGACCACTATCCTTCCTGCCCTCCATGTTACTCGGTCAGGCCTTACAGGGGACGACTTTAGTCTCTCGCCATTTGGTATGGAGATTGGCGAGTTCATGATGGATGGGGATCTTGTCGCGATGATGGATCGTCAGGGACTTCTTCCCGCAGATCCCAATTCGACCTTTACAGCTTGAACTCTAGTTGTGATAATTGTATTTGTACTAAACTTAGATCCCATGGCAGCTGGTATTGCTATGATTCTTGTTAACCTATTCCGGCCAGGCATCTGGTATATTTTGGATAGTCCCTGAACAAGCTGTATTAATTAACTATATGTAGGTTGTGTATCATGTTTGGTCCTCGTAACTCATTCACGGCTCAAGTTTGACACTATCTTAGCTGTACCTCAGCCTTCTTAGCCTCGATCTCGAGATCCTCAAGATCCTTGCCCGTAGTCTGTAGGAGTCCAAGCCGCTCCTCATGCTGACAAGCCAACACAGCAAGCGTCGAAGATTTCCACAGGGGAACACGGCGGCTGGGACGATTGCTAAATATACTTAAGATAGCGAACAAAATTGCGAACGCCTCAATCAAAATCGGGACAATGAAGTACCTCCAGCGGATGAAAACATGTGGCTCGCTCTGTCTTATCTCTCCATGCGCGGCCAGGGTATTTGGACCGTAGCGCATATACATCGACATGCCATTCGCCATTTTGTCGAATCGGTCACCAAGATCCACGTCTCCAGATAGAGCGGTGGCAAACCCAAGGTTCTGACCGCGCACATTCCCCGTGATCCAGTCGCTGACCACTGTCGTTGACTGGAAGAAAGCTGCCAGCGAGGTGATAGTACCATATGTCATTTCGAGCGCAGGAATATGGAGATCACCATTCGTTGTCTCATTGGTGTATATGTAATTGAAATTCAGGTCTGTTGAGTTCCCCTTGAGCGCCCAGGGATTCTTCACGCCGAAGTCAACCTCCCGCTTTACCACAGAGAAATCACTACCATTGGCCCTGGCACCTGTGTATTCGTGGGCCGTGAGAGAGAGAGAGCATTCTGTGATGTTCGGGTTTGTCAATTGGAAACTACCGCCCATGGTCGATCTGTAGATTCCGAATCGTATGATTTCGGGAAAGGATGGTCCCATTCCATATGCTAATTTGTCGAGCACCGAGGAAGTATTCATGTTGTATGTTGTCCCCGAATCGGTGAATACATGGCGAGTTGTAAGGTTGACTCCGCCTGGTGTTGTCATGTTGCATATGTTCTGGACAGATATTTTACCGCAGGTGGCTGTTTGCAATGTTTCCTGGGTGACGTTCCTGCACTCGGTTTTGTATCCAAGTGATATGTACGATGAGGGCCAGTCACACAACCCAGGGCATTTGAAGGATTCTGTGGTATTGAGGCCATACAGGCCCTGGATGATGGCGGACTGCATACCGGGATCCTGCTGGACGTTTTCTAGTTAAAAGCACGTTAGCTACAGAGCTTGTTTCCGTTGTGTACTGTGTTGACAATTCTTACCGATATAAGCATTGCCAAGGTCCCGTGTCAGTGTAGTGTCGATGTAACTGTGCGCATATCCGAAGCTAGCGGTATTAGAAGGAGTGATGATGTCTCGCTGCTCAATCAGGACGACCTGTTGCGCGAATGGCGAGAAAGCAAGTCGCAAGATCGTGATAAATGCGCCAATGGTGGCTAGATTCCACTTGACCGCGGTAAGCAGCAGAATAGATCCCCAAACACCGCGACTGGCTCCGTCAAATGTTTCAAGGTCCTCGAGTTTCCGAGGCCCATTCTTGAAGTGAAGCCATTTAGACTGTCCAATGAACGTGCTCACCCCGTGCATCAACGCCGTAGTGCATGCAGTTGTCAGGATAGAAACTGACGCGTTGAGAGAGACACCGGCGCGCCAAGCAGAGAGAGGCTTTTTGTCCATATACCAGAAGATAACGGCAATGGCAATGAGGAGGCCAAGGGCCAGGATGGAACTAATCGATTCTAAAAGCCATTCGCTGCGGGAGTACACCGCATGGCGTTTATACTCAGGAGTCGCACTCTGTGTCTCGGACCCTAGTTCAGAAACCTGGGGACCATCATATGGGTGAGCTTTCTGGTGACTGTCAACTGTCATGGTGACAGCCTGTGTGGATTATTGGAATTTCCAGGGAGTTGACACGGAAATGAGAGCCCAATAGCATTATTGAAGGACCCAGATTGATTTATACCTAATATGTTTTCGTCATTATAATCAGCCGCAGGGGGTTTGGGTGCAAGGCTGTAACAGTACTTTTCTTTTAGTGGGGGCCTGCAAGGGTTCAATTTCGCAGATCTCAACATCTGGTGATAAGAAACTGTACCCTCTCGCATGCCAAGCGGTATAAAGTAGCTATCTCAGTTGAGAAAAATACATATATTATTCTAATGTTCCAAAAGCTACGCCGGTTACTACGGAGTATTTCCAGTGTACGGAGTACTTTTCTTTGAAAAGGGACCCCCAAATAGGAAATTCTCCAACATCACAAAGCCTTCAGGGTCGGGAAAAATATTTCCTGTCTTCTCAGTTCTCGTATTCCCCCACCCAAGCCACAACGCTAAGAGGCCGTAGCGTAGTCTTTCTTCTTGGCCCCGGTAAGCATTGCAATGTCAACCTATCACTTACTGTGTACACTTAACAGGGGCCAAATCCTAGGGTCATCTGAGGCATCCGACATTTGTGGATTACAATATCCGGAGATACTCCGGCACCTCTTATATCGTCTATACATACTTCCTATAACGGCTAGTGGCTTGGCTCCGAGACACATCTATATTTCCTACGTAGTTCGCGATAAATCCGTCGCTCATTTCACGAACCCAAAAGCTAGATCCTTTTCCAAGGCCTCCTTTTTTTTTTGCCTACCTATTTCCCTATACAGAGTAATGTTTTACATGGTTCAAAAACTGGAATATGGGATTTGGGTGGGGTGTGAGCGGCCCCCAATACGAGAAAACCCTGTGGCTAGCTGATTGACAATCAGGCCTGCATGAATATAAATTAGCGTTATGCTGGGATGTCCGATGTGTGCGAAACGACAAGGCCAACGAACGCGAGTTGGGGGCGGGCCGTTGTCCAGGCCCAGCTCTGATTCTTACCATTGGATGATAATCGACGAAAATCCACATACACTATTCCTTTTTAATCTTCGTGCATTCTAGCTATCCTAATTCAGGCTACTAACATAGAGGATGATTAAAGCTGACGCCCAGGTACCGAGGAGAACAGTGTTGACTTGCCAAGTGAATCGACTCAACCGTGCTTATTATTTTGTTCTTGGCGAGACATGGAGAGTTCAGCCGCGTTTAGGCCGTTGAGCATTTGAATGTGCCCTTATCTACAAAGATGAAGCCCTGTCAATAAAGTTACATTCAACGTTTGCTCTTCACTGGGGAGTTCATTACATCTCCAGAATTATGTTACTCCTTCACTATCTCGTAGGGTACGCCCTCTTATATTTACAGGGAGCCGCAGCACTTCCACAGGGAATAACCTCATCCGAAGTCTCGAACGTAACATCAGCTACACCCGCAGGGACGTCCATTGGAGAAGATGGAAGACACTGTGATTTTACTAAAATGGAGGATTTCTTCCATCACGCTCACAAGAACAATCTAAACATTACCTTGGAGGTCCAGAAGTGCCAGAACCTGTGCCTACTCACATATGGGGTGGGAAACCCTGATCTTTCAGGGATCGGTGTAAGTTCACCATATATTTTCTCCGTTTTCTCTATAAACACTGTAGCTAACCTATTATGCCTGCTATTCTAGATGATGTACGCATACAGTATACAAACCGGCCTAACCATCCTCGTCGGTCCCGTTTATCGTATACTCTATCTCACCCTAGCGCCAGCGAGCAGCTTCATCCGAGACTTAAAAGACGTTCAAATGAATTTCTTCTCTTCAAATGGCTTCTTCGTCGGTTCCTCCGCCATAGCCACGCTTGCAAATCTGTCGCAGAACCCATCCACCTTTGAGATTGCCGAAATGCAGGCCATGGCATTCCTCCAAGTCAACAGCATCCTCGTCACCTTCTTCTGTATGGTCGTCGCGCAGCCAATGTCACGTTGGGCCGCGCGAGTGCTACTCTATTTTGCCGTGTTTGTCCTCGTGATCGTCGCCCTAGGCAAAAGCAACCTAGGTAGTGACAGTAGGGCAAACTGGAGACTTGCCTCTGACGGCTGCGCACACAGTTCAACGGACTACAGCGTCATCAACCCAGTTCCATATCCATCATGGACTGTCGCTATCTTTGCTGTTGCGGGTACAGCCGCGTTCTGGTTACAATCTCTCAAGGAGAAATTCCAGGCGGACAAGGTGCACAGGTCGATGTTCAGGGTGATGATGCTATTTTGGATCTTGTTGACTGGAGTCTTGACTGCGTGCATGATTCTCGGCCTCACGATGATGTGGCGACAACGAAAGCATCTGCGAAGTGTCGCGAGAGACCAATTTGAAGATGACCAGTGGGGATTCGGGCAGATTGCTGCCCTGACAATTTGGGCCCCGATACCCGTTGAATTGCTTTATATTCTAAATGGTGAGGAAATCGTACTTCTTAGTGACATTTGATTAAGCTAACACGTGCATTTTGTTACAGACCTGGCCCAGCGAAAATCCGAAAGTTGGAATCGCTTGAATCAGAGAATTAGCCTTTACTTTTCCCCGAAGGCGTTGCAGGAAGACCAGATTACATATTCCAGCCCGCAACCCGAAATGAAGCAGGGCGGAAGTTGAGGCCTGATCGAAGCTGGAATACAAATGCGAAATGATGAACCTTTAATTCAACAAGATAGGAACTTGTAAGAATCACCAAGGACTCAGTGTGGTGAATAATTATAGCTAGAATATCAACATCACATTGCAGATGATAATTTGACCATTGCGTCCCCGTCTCGAATGTCCAATCTACAAGAGAAACCAGGATGTCAGTAACCTGCATTATTAGCGCGTGTATCCAGTAATGCACTTACCGCTACCCATATTATGAGGCTGCTCAGTAGATCAGGTTTTAGGTTGGTTCAGATATAGCGAAATATTAGCTTCTCCCCTCGACGGGCACGCCAACTATTTGTCGCGTTCATCAATTCAGGACACCCTCGAACAACCCATTGGTATTTCTTCAGAAACGACTCGGTCACCTCCCAATTTTGCATATTCCAAGGCTCCCCCCACACAAGCAGCCCTGTATCCATTGTCGACTCCCCCCAGAAACCCATGATATCGTGACAGAGCTGCGCGTCATCCCAGTTATCCTCAGCTTCGATAAGGTTATCGCGCATTTTAGGGAAGGGAAAGAAATCCAGCCATGGGTGATGCTTTATTGTTTTCTGAATTCGGGTGGGTTGTAGGTTGGCTGGAATGAGGCTGGTATTGTCCGGGGTGGAAGGGTTGTGTGGCAAAGCTGTATTGAACGGTGAAATAGCGTCATCATCCATCCAGTTCTCTGACGAACCGATCAACCGCAAGTTGTGGGTGAATGCTCGAAAGACATTAACCCTAGTCAACGTTATGAGATGATCGGCGGTCGGAATTCCTCGTATATAGCTTTCATACGCCGACTTGGCAAATTTTTCCAATAGATCTTGTAGAGTTTCATGATTGCGGTAGAGACGGACTGGCGGGTTGTCTTGGGAAGGGCGGTTTTGTAATTGGGTGGTAGGGGTTGAATGGGGGGATGGTACTAGGCTCTTAGGGTGGACATCTTTGGTTGAAGCTAGTCGCTTGCGTTTTCCTGGACAATGTTAGTTAGCCTAAGAACAGATTGCAGCGAATGCGACGTACGGTAAGCCCTCTGGTTTATGCGGTTTTGTCGCCGACGGCGTTCGATCGGGTCTGTCAATCCAGACCAATCGTCCGTCACTTGCTCTGCGTCATCGGAGACGGAGATTATATGATCACTTTTGAGTGTCTCAGTCATTCTGGCTATAAGAACTAGTGTGTGCGCTTTGTGCTTAGCAGATGACAATTTTGGAGATGGCTCCCGCTGTACCAGAAAGAAACAAAACTTGCAAGTGCTTGGCGATCGGAGTTTATCACGGAGTTAAGACATGACGTTCAAGTATTGATCAGCACTTGGATTTAGATGGATGATTTTAGAAATATATCAATGGTCTTGGCATTTCATTTGAAAGTTTTTTTTCCCAAGTAGACAAACAGCAACATAGGGCCATCATGCTCTTATTTAAACTCTGCGTACGCAAAATCTGCTGGGGCCAGGCATCGTTGGCGCTCTCCAAATGCATACAGCCCCAGCATCATGCCAGTAAAGTTGGCACCAACTGGAGGTGCGGCCGTAGCAGCACTGTTAGAAACTGACCCAATCCAGTGGATGTCGGACTCTGTATCTTCATGATACCCAAATCGATACTCAGTGCCACAGTCAATTGTGAGAGTGACAGCAGTGTTCGTATCCAATCTGTGCTCTACCATGTCACCCTCTGATGGTCGAAAACGGATAAAGCGGCCCTTGCTATCCTTCCTGATACCGATGCTGCTATATGTAAAATAGTTCAACCAGACCACTGTGCCAGCCTCGGTTTCTTCTACTGTCGGCTGAAAGGAGAGCATCGTTTGCCACCTGCAGTGCCGGTGGGTTTGCTTGCGAAGGAACATGGTTGGGCTGGCTGGCACTGACAGATTGTAAGGCCCTCCATAGAGACGAAGGTGATTGGGGTGCTCCGTAAGTGAGTAATCATTTACGAAGGGCGTGTCTATCTTCTGGTTAGGTCTGCTCAGGCCGGTTCATTGTTCGGGACTCACTTTTTCGATACCAACCAACTTGCATTTGTGTCTCTGAAAATTCATCTCTCCAAGATACCGCGATATTGAATTCGTAAAGACCAGGGCCATAGGAGTTAAGACTGATTTTCTGGCCTCCATTGATCACAGGCCAGTCATCTTTCCATTCCAAAGGAACTAGAAATGTCTCTCGGCCTAGGAAAGTTAATATAATAACCAGCCAGTACTTCTAGACATCATACCTAGTACTGATTCTTCCCACGTATCTCCCTTTCTTACAGGACGAACGCCGAGAACAACAGCCCACCATTGTCCTTTGGTATCCTCAACTAGGTCAGCATGCCCAGTGTTCTGCACTTCGTCCTCAACGCCATTGCGCCAGAGAGGGTTATTTGGTCCAAGCTCCCACGGTCCCAATGGACCGACCTCGCTGCGGTTCACCCATTCGCTATGGCCACTTTCAGTGCCGCCTTCTGCTGTAAACAAATACCAATAACGACCGCGTTTGAAAATATGTGATCCCTCGGAAACACCAGAAGAGGACTCCCGGATCAATTTAGGTGCAGAGGTCGAATGCCCAGTGGCCAGATCAACGGTGCATATATGAATCGCAAAATCTTTCAACTTAGCACCAGCAGTTGGCTGGGTCTTTCGGTAGGTAGACGATAAATACACGGTTCCATCATCATCCCAGAAAAGCTATAGCATTCAACCGTCATTCTTATTATCCATACGGGAGGTAATATCTTTGGTGAAACTCACATCTTGGTCAAACCCAACTTGATCAAAATAGATTGGATCAGACCATGTCTTATCATTCCATATATCAGTGGTTTTGACGTAAAATCCCTGTGGCCAAACTCGGTCATCCTGTTGAGGACGGTAGCGCTGGAAGCTTGCAGCCATGATATAGTAAACCCCCGCATGATAACGAATTGTGGTTGCCCATACGCCTCCTCCGGGTTCTGGAGTATGGATTTGAAGCTGGCTGGTTCGTGTCAACGCATGACCAATCAATCTCCATTGAATCAAATCTTGGCTGTGGTAAATGGGAACTCCAGGGAAGTATTCAAATGTGGAGGTGACCAAGAAAAAGTCTTTACCGACGCGAATAATCGATGGATCGGGGTTAAACCCCGGGATGATGGGGTTAACGTAACTCATTGCTGTTAAAAATATATCGACTTAACGACACCATCAGTTGGCTTATATGTAATTGAATATATCGTGATTGGTGGAAAAAGAACAGCCGTAAAATCGAAATTGTGGCGGGGGTTCGTACTTTAGAAGGATTGTTAGGGGTAGAATACTGATATATATAGAACCCACGAGATGGTTCAATGATCTAACACTTTTTTCATGCAGACTTCGAATTTAAATGCATCTATTAAGGAGAATGGACTCAACAAAATCTCAAGCGATATACGTCAATCGGAAAATTTTTTAAAGCTCTGATCACAGAGTGCAGGCCTTCGTGACCACTCAATAATAGAATACATACAAAATATCCGTGGATAGCCTCATAGATATGACTAGTCCAAGAATAGAGCAAAACAAACTGCAAACGGCCTCTGATAATCCAAGTTACCGAAGTTTTGCCGAAGGATTGTGGGGGAACGTCATCCCCTCATCTCAATCCGGAAATGCGGGTTGAATCACCGCGCCAAGGATTTTGGGCTTGATATTTCATTCCTCTTCATCTGCTTCTCAAATTCACACAAATAACATATGGCAACTACCACTGTAATGCAAAATTCGCGCGAAAGTGTTATCGCCCTTGAGGCTCTGCCTCGTTCCCAGTCAGACATAGGTCCATCTTCGGAACCCCCCGACAGCTTTCCGATATTGGAGAAATGGAATCAACCCCGTGTCAATGTTAGTCGGACTTTTGCAACACTCTGGTCATTCCTGGTAATGGGTGCGAATGATGCAGCCTATGGTGTAAGTTGAGATGGCCTAGGAGCACAGTTTGATTCCAATGGTTCGGGATATTTATTGACTGTTTGCAGGCTCTAATTCCATATGTAAGATGAAGTCCCCTAAAATTGACGATATTCTGTCTCATTCAATATACAGCTGGAATCATACTACCATCTATCATATACGATCGTATCTCTCGTTTTCTTGTCGCCTCTGGTAGGTTATACACTCGCCGCGTTTCTCAATCACCGCATCCACTATACACTAGGTCAGCGCGGTGTGGCCATTATCGGACCAGCTTGTCATCTTATTGCCTATGTTATCAACTGCGTTCACCCCCCGTACCCGGTGCTGGTGGTTGCGTTCATCTTTGCAGGATTGGGAAATGGCCTAGAGGATGCTGCATGGAATGCATGGATGGGTAACATGGCCAATGCAAATGAGCTATTGGGAGTGTTGCATGGCGTCTATGGAGCCGGTGCCGTTCTGAGTCCTTTGATCGCAACCTCCATGATTGCCAAGGGTGGTCTGCCGTGGTATTACTTTTATTATGTCATGGTGAGTGAAGATTCCACGCAGATATTTGATCTCAAGTTAATAGTCAGGTCGGATGTGCGGCTATCGAATTGGTGGTTTCTGGCACATGCTTCTGGAAATCAACTGCCGCCGATTTCCGCGCGTCCACTGCACCATCAGCGGATGAGACTAAAAAAGGTGGCTTGAGAGATGCACTCTTCAAGCGCCCGGCCGCCCGGGTAACCTGGCTCTGCGCATTGTTCTTGCTGGGATACGTTGGAGTAGAAGTTGCGCTGGGAGGCTGGATTGTTACCTTTATGATCCGAGTTCGACAAGGTAGTGCGTTTGCTAGCGGAATGACGGCCACTGGGTTTTGGCTAGGTATCACGGTGGGACGGGTGATTTTGGGGTTCGTGACACCCCGCGTCGGCGAGAAAGTCGCAGTTTCGGTGAGTATCACGTTGCTTTGCGACAGAACGAAACTGATTTCCACTAGGTATACATTGTTTGCTCCATGGGATTTGCTTTGATTCTATGGCTTGTGCCTCAGTTTTATGCGTCGGCGGTGGCAGTGTCGCTGCAAGGCTTTTTCTTGGGCCCCCTTTTCCCAGGGGCAGTTGTAATGGTTACCAAGCTACTTCCTCGGCATTTGCATGTAACCTCAATAGGGTTTGTCGCTGCCTTTGGGGGTAGCGGGGCCGCCATTCTCCCCTTTGCGGTTGGTGTGCTTGCACAAGCTAAGGGAGTTAAAGTGCTGCAGCCATTTATCGTGGCCTTGTCTGGTGCCATTCTCATCACGTGGCTGGGATTGCCGCGGGTGTCCAAGGTCAGACATGATTAATAGATAAACTCACATGTTGACATGTGAAATTGATTCGGAAACTTTTTGTTATCAGATCCGATTCTTTATCTCGGGCTTTTCGCCTATCCCGTATCCAATGCACCCCGTTCCACGTGATTCTTTTTCGCCGATTGAGAAATCGATTGTATGACCTATTTGCAACAAATTAGCGTAGTCAAGTGTCAAGTGTAAAATACCTTCAAACCGAGGTCATCTTACAGAATCCTTCCAACGGCATACCCTTCGTCACTTAAAGGCCCGATGATCGGCCTATGCTTTCGGGACCGGTTCACCCGTGAAAGAGAACCGAATGCATACATTCTGTAGGGATGTATATTTTTCTCCCCGCTTCCCCATATCAAACTTAGTCGGAATATGCGGGGGTGAGTTGAGAGTTAATAAATTTGTCCATAACTAGGTAATCGAATGGATCTTAATGGTCTCTCAAGTGCAAAAAGACCTCGGGAAAGCTTGAAAGTTCCCCGGGCCCATGGCTCCGGCCCTGGGGCCCGGAAGATCGCGCCTTCTTAGTCATCCATTTTAAGCCGAGGCTCTTTCCCAATTGAGACCCTCGGCCCTTCCGCGGTTCCTCCTTCTTTCTGGGGTTCATAACCCCATCTTTCCCCATCTCTCTCTTCCATCTAGTAACCACTTCTTTTTTATTTCACAATGCCAACACCTCCTCCTGATTGGGTTAAGGCCCTGAAGCCGGCTGGTCCGCAAGGATCTGAGCTCCTCCAGCAGGAGCGTGCTCAATCCAATGTCAACGTTGAAAGATTATCCGAGTATCTGCACACAAAGGAAACCTTGGAGCGACGAGCATCCATCCTAGCTCTTTTGCAGCCGGAAAAAGTATTCGATAAATCTCAAAATCATACTTTGGGCCGTGTAGAGCGGCTCCAGCGGGCACTTGCCAAGGGCAAGCGCCTCCAACAGCTCTCGGTAGAGCACAAATGGACAATGGAAGAATTCCATGCAGCCAATGACTTGGTTGGCGAACCTACTCCGTATGCTCTGCACGCCAGTATGTTCTTGGTAAGTGAATTGGACCCCTTTTCTCCAATGAATCCAATCCAACTAACCACTTTGATCGTTATTTAGGTGACTCTGCGGGAACAAGGCACCCCCGAGCAGCACAAACTGTTCCTCGAGCGCGCAGAAAAATACCAGATCATCGGTTGCTACGCACAAACTGAATTGGGCCACGGATCGAACGTGCGAGGTTTGGAAACCACTGCCACCTGGAACTCCGACGATAAGACATTTACCATCAATTCCCCAACATTGACTGCCTCGAAGTGGTGGATTGGATCTCTCGGTCGCACCGCCAACCATGCTGTCGTTATGGCCCAGCTGATTATTGATGGCAAGAACTACGGTCCTCACCCATTCGTGGTGCAGATCCGCGACCTCGAAACCCATCAGCCATTGGATAATGTATATGTGGGCGATATTGGCCCCAAGTTTGGCTACAAGTAAGTTTAATCTCAATCACTGGCTAGCACCGAGACTAACGACCTACTTTAGCACTATGGATAATGGTTTCCTGCTGTTCAACAACGTGAAGGTACCCCACATCAGCATGCTGGCCCGTTTCTGTCAGGTCAACAAAGAGACAAACCAATACGCTAAGCCCGCGATGCCGTCTCTTGTATTCGGTACTATGACCTGGGTTCGCGCCAACATTGTTCTGGATGCCGGCGGTGTTCTGGCCCGTGGTGTCACTATTGCTACCCGATACTGTGCGGTTCGGAGACAGTTCCAGGACCGTGATTCGGACCCACACGCGGGTGAGACCCAAGTGCTGAACTATAAGATGGTGCAGGTGCGCCTGCTACCCCTATTAGCATCCATGTACGCCCTTCATTTCACTGGTCGTGGCATGATGCGCCTGTATGAGGAGAATCAAAGTCGTATGAAGGCAGCCAGCTCGCCCGACCAGGAGTCACGCGGTGCTGGACCCGAGCAGCTCCGCGCCGGTGCGAACCTCCTTGCAGATTTGCATGCTACATCATGTGGTCTTAAGGCTCTGGCTAGTACCACTGCTGGTGAGGGTTTGGAGATCTGCCGCCGCGCATGTGGTGGTCATGGATACAGCAGCTACAGCGGCATTGGACCGGCTTACGCAGACTATCTGCCCACACTCACCTGGGAAGGTGATAACTATATGTTGACCCAACAGGTTGCACGTTATGTATGTCACAGTCCTTTCTACCATTCTAATTACTTAAGACTAACACCAACAGCTTCTCAAATCTGCCCGAGCTGTCCTGGCTGGTAAGTCAGCTGGTAACGACACTAGCAAGATCCTCCAGGCATACCTCGACCGACGCGATAAGGGAGCTTCGTTCGATGTGCTTGCTGAGGACAAGGACATTGTAGATGCGTTTGCATGGCGCACAGCCCATCTGACTTTCGAGGCCCTGAAGCACCGGGATGCTGAGCAACGCTCCTGGAACAGCCTTTTGGTTGACTTCTGGCGCCTGTCTACGGCCCACTCTCAGTACATGATGGTGAAGAACTTCTACGAGGCAGTTTCCTCTCCCCAGCTGTCAGCGGCCTTGGATCCAGAGACTAAGGCAATCATGCACCAACTATTCCGACTCTTCTCTCTGCACACTCTGGAGCGCGAAGCCGCTGAGTTCTTCGCTTCCGGTGCCGTGACTGTGCGACAAATCACCCTGACTCGCACTACTGCGGTGCTAAAGCTGCTCGATGAGATCCGCCCGCACGCTGTCCGATTAGTCGATGCGTGGGCGATTCCAGACTGGCATCTGGACAGCAGTCTGGGTCGCTATGACGGCAAGGTGTACGAGGATCTGTTCCGTCGGGCAAGCGAGGAGAACCCTGTTAACGACTTGGTGTTTGACCCTTACCCATGGAATGCGGCGGTGCTCAAGAATGAGCCCGCCAAGAGCAAGCTGTAGATTTTTGTTTTGGCGATATACTTGTTCTTCTGATGTATTTTTTATGCCTGTTTGGTTTCGAATATAGACCATAGAGAGATGAGCTATATACCTAGATCTCATAGAATGGCCAATGATTTTGTTGAGTCCTGTTTGTGGTTTAATAGGTGTTCTTCCAATGTCTCTTTAAGCTTGTTAAAGTGCTCACTTTTGAGCTTTCACGTGCCGACTAAGCTTAGATTCTGATCTCTCGCCTAGATGTGACTGTTTCGCTCTGTTTGCTCCGTGGGGAAGTCCGAAACCCTTGGGGAATAGACAGTCCAGTCAATAGCAGTCTTAGGTAGCAGGATACTACCAGACACAGAGAGGTCAATGTAACGATATAAACCTTAAAGTAGATGGATGCAAATGGAAAGAAAGGAAAAGAGAAGAAAATAGTCAAGGATCATGCGGAGCATCGAAAAGGCAATATACCTGTGGAGTACTCCGTATGTAGCTCTAATTTACCCGACCTTTCCCAGTAATATGCTGCTCCGTCTATAAGATGAGCTCAGGCTTAAAGTGCTCCGCAAAAAAGCTCGCGTAACAATCGGACTCCTGCAGAGCCTCTCACGGATAGCGGCAGATTCGGCAAGTCAAAAAGCAAATAGAACACGTTCACGTGAAGAAAAAGTATCTCGAAGAAATAAAAGAGCTAACAAAATAACATCCGATACGGAGCTGACACCGGTGGGCTAGACCTCATCTCCAGAACGCTAACTTCAACCTTGGAACTGTCTACGGGGTTGTCTGGGGATATGACGTTGGCATGCCGATCCATTGCGAGAAACGGGCCGATTTGGAACATCGGGAGGCGAGAAGGGTATGAGATTAGGCAAAATACAAAACGAAGAACGATATTGTCCAAATTAGCCGTCGTGGAAGGTTTCATAACCCCGGGTAAATGATATCTCGGTTAATAAAGGAATTTACCGACTGGTTCTGCTGGGGTATAGAACCAATGACACTGTGGTCCACCCCCGACTTTCCTGCCCCGGGTTTTTCGCTCCGCAATTCACTGTTGATCTTTCCTAGAGGGATCAATCCGGTCCCGGAATCGTACCATGCAACGTCGCGTACCCCGAACATGCCGAAACGTGCATTGACCTGTCGATCTGACGCTACTTTACTTATAAAACGCCTTGCCGCAAGCCCAAAGCTTCGATAACCTTCATGGTCCAACCGCAACCATGTATACTATAACGAATATTTATGGTATGTCAGTTCTGGCTGTTAATAGTCTGTTCGTGACTCTAATATTTTGCAGTGCTGGCTGCCTTTGGCACTATTGGCGGCGCTCTTTTCGGCTTCGATGTCAGGTGTGTACATTCCACATCCCTGTTAATATAGCACGGGGACTAATACGAGCGATAGCTCCATGAGCGCCTGGATTGGCGTTGATACATACACCGATTACTTCGGCTCGCCAGATTCCAACCTCCAGGGCGGAGTACGTTCTCTCCATCTCTAATTACGATTCACATGCTAATATTCCGCCATAGATTACAGCGTCAATGTCCGCCGGTTCATTCGCAGGTTCGATTGCAGCCGGTTGGTTATCAGATATCCTTGGTCGTCGCTATGCATTGATGATCGCCTCTCTTGTTTGGATCGTCGGTGCCATGGTCCAATGCAGTGCCCAAAACGTGACGCATTTAGTCGCCGGTCGTGTCATCAGTGGGCTCGCAGTCGGTGTGACATCCTCTCAAACGTGTGTCTATTTATCCGAACTCGCGCCCGCTCGCATCCGAGGTCGTGTCGTGGGTATTCAACAATGGGCAATCGAATGGGGTATTTTGATCATGTACTTGATCGCATATGGCTGCGTCGTTGGCGTATCTGGACCGGCTGCTTTCCGGATTTGCTGGGGTGTCCAGGCTGTTCCAGGTCTCATTCTGTTTATCGCTTTGTTCTTCTTCCCCGAGTCTCCTCGCTGGCTCGCTTCAAAGGAGCGTTGGGAAGAAGCTTTGGACACACTAGCCATCATTCATGCTAATGGTGATCGCCATGACCCCGTTGTGCAGGTAGAATTCGAAGAAGTCCAAGAGGCCGTGCGTGTTGCGCATGAATCTAAGGATGTCTCATTCCTGGCATTGTTTGGACCTCGTGTTTGGAAGCGCACAATGTGCGGAATGAGTGTTCAAATGTGGCAACAGCTTCTAGGTGGTAATGTTGCCATGTATTATGTGGTTTACATTTTCGAAATGGCTGGCATGGTGAGTTTCTCGTCGAAGGAAAAGCTAGAGCGGTTTTACTAACCAATTACAGACTGGCAACACAACACTGTGGTCCTCCGCTATTCAGTATGTCATCTTTTTGGTGACTACAGGCTTTATGCTCCCCTTCATTGATCGCGTTGGACGAAGAAACCTACTTCTTATCGGATCCGTCACCTGCATGATTGTGCACTTCATCATTGCGGGTGTTATGGCCAGCAAAGGCAATCCCGTTTCAAACGTGAACGGTAATGCCAATTTGACATGGGAGATTAAGGGCAGTGCAGGAATGACAGTCATCGCCTTTTCATACATCTTCACCGGCATCTACGGCCTGACTTGGGTATGTTATATCCTTATATTTGAAACAGACCACATCTAACATTTATAGGCTCCGACTGCTTGGATTTATGCCGCCGAGGTTTTCCCACTGAAGTACCGAGCAAAGGGCGTCGGCTTGTCGGCCGCCACCAACTGGATTTTCAACTTTGCTCTGGCTTACTTTGTGGCACCGGCCTTCCACAATATCCAGTGGAAGACTTATATTATTTTCGGAGTTTTTTGCACGGTTATGACCTTCCACGTGTTCTTCATGTATCCTGAGACCGTGGGTCGGTCGCTTGAAGAGATTGACATTGTCTTCGAGACGGATATCAAGCCATGGCGCACTCACGAAATTGGAGACTTGTTTGGGGAAGAGATCGAGCGCCGTAAGGAGATTGGTGCTAAGGCCGAGGCTGCTGGTGCTACCCATGAAGAGGTGGTTTGAATCGCTGGATGATGGTTCCTGTAACACAGAGGCGACTACCCATATACCATATTATGAATAAATGAACTGAAGCATTCGATAATATACCTTGCAGTAAAAATATCATGTGAAAGTGATTTAAATTGAAAAAGAATCTGGAAGAATGGAAACTCCGTAGTCTAACATGAAGTATCGGGGGTATTGGACCATTCGACAAAATCAACTCGCTGCAAATACATAAACTGGTATATCTCGGAATAGAAAAGCCGTATCAGATGCCTAGAGAGGATATGCTCGGCGTCTAAACTAACAGACAGAACTTATCTCTCCTCGCTAGTCTGTCCTTCGCTATATTGTTCCGCATGTTGAGCGTGGCTCTGGTGAGCCTTACTCTCCTTGTTCAGGAAGCTGGCACGACGGACAGCATCATCCTCAACATCATCCAGAGTACGCAAGAGTTCGCCATTCGGACCATACATGTGGGGCTCATTGTTAGCGAGTGGTACCACATTGAAGACGCTAGTAGTTTTGCGAAATATACGGTCCATCTCTTCTAGCGAGCGCATTGTAGTCTCGGGGAAGAAGAAATAGACGACAGGCACAATGGCAGCATTGCTAAGCCGGGTCAGTACTTCTCAGAACCTAATGATAGAGACAAAGAAAGTACTCACATCACAGCGAAAATGACATAGGTCTTGTAACCAATGTTTTCGAAAGCAACCGGGGTAATCATAACAACTAGGAAGTTCCAGATCCAATTGGATGAAGTCGATAAAGCATTGGCCGGGGCGCGAATCTTCAGTGGGACAATCTCGGCTGGATACAGCCAAGTCATTCCAAGCCAGCCGATGGCGAAGAAGGTGTTGAACACAAACAAAAATACCGTCTGAGCCACACCGGCCTTGACACCTATCGGGGTCTGTTTGTGGCTTGATGAAATACTATCGGCAATAGCAAGCACAGCCATGGAGATCGACATTCCCACAGCACCGAAGAGCATGAGAGTTCGACGACCGAATTTTTCAACAGTGAACACAGCTATCCAGGAGGCGATGAAATACTCCGTTCCGTTACACGCAGAGATAAGACGCGATTTGATGGCATCCAGTCCGACCTGTTGTTCCAGGAGAGTAGGGATATAGTAGGTGATCAAGTTGATGCCGGAGATTTGCTGGAACATCTGGTTGACATATGCCAGCATTGTGCGGTGGAAATGACGATCCTCGCCCATGGTGAACATATCGCGGAATGACCCCGTTGCCATTTCGAGGACCGTGGCTTTGATAGCGGTGAATTCGGTGTCGATGAACAATTCATCGGTCTCGTCGCCCATCAGGCATGCCAGGACTTCTTTTGCTTCTTCCTCACGACCCTTAAGGATGAGCCAACGGGGTGACTCGGGGAGCATCATGACGAAGGCTAGAATGATTGCGGCGAAAAAGATCTGGAAGGCTAGCGGGAATCGCCAGGCGACTTCGTTTGGGTCTGCGAACATCAGGCCGAAATTAATCCAGTAGCTGATTGTGATACCGCATGTGATCATGGCTCCCTCGATCATGACCATCTGGCCTCGTCGATGGGACTTGCAGCATTCTATCTGATGTTAACTTGTATTCATTATTTAGTGTCGGTATCACCAATCCATCACTAGCAATCATCGAGATATGGTGGTGCGAGATGAATCGTTACAGCGAGGCGGGTGATCTCTGGATTGAATTTCGACTTACCAGACTGCCAAGTAGGGACTGTGGATGTATTAATTCCGTTACCTGCAGTTCATGTTAATGGATTACTCTCCATACGCGTCACTCATACTAACCAAACCCAGTTACCAATCGACCGACAATAAGCTGAGCAAGACCGTAAGATGTGCACTGAAGAATAGCACCGATGCACATAATAAAGGAACCAAGAAAGATAGCCTTGCGACGACCCAACATGTTACCGATCCAAATTGTGGGAATCGAGCCTGCGAAACATCCCAGGTTGTACGCTGCGACTGTGATACCTTGTCGGGTGGACTGGTTGCTCTTTGCTGAAGCGGTCCAGCCCTTGGTATACGACTCTAGAGTATTGATTTCGGGAAAGTATTTAACGAAAGAGTCGAGTGTCAGCAAACCGCCGGTAACACCTTGATCATAGCCGAACAGGAGGAAGTCCATGCCGGCTAGAAAACCGATGGCAATCTGGAGATTGGTGCCATTTAGGCCCAAGAACCGTTTGGTCTGCATGTCCACTGAGAATCCTATATATCTTGCATATGCCAGTATATAGAGGGAACCAGTGTGAACAGTCTAAAGAGTATCAAGTCAAAAGGACTCAACGCGGGGAAAACCCGCTTTTAAAAGACTCCGGGGGGTCATAACCTCCATGGGGCCAGGAGAATTTGTTCTTCGTTACATGCATTGTTCACAAGAGACATATGATTGGAAGAGGAATTGATGCTTAGGCCCACTACTTTCCCAAATCAACTCATCTAAGCAAAGAGCAAATTTATAACAATTAGCACAGGTATTGTTTCCGAGTCAACCCAATAACATTTCCACGTCTTTAGAAGACCTGTGTACCCACGCGGCATATAGAGCCAATCAATATCATTTCAACCAGGCTCGGCTTCTCCAGACTTAGTTAGCGGGTTTTGTTGGCGTGCAGGATCACAGCCTGCCGATCACTTTCCCTCATTTCTTGCAAATCGAAACTCTTAGGAAAGTGCCAATTTACGCCACTAAAGTGCCAATAATAGCTTGTTATTTTCTTGCCCGGGCTCTGATCAGCCCCGGGCGCAGGGCACCCTGCGCAGTGTTCATATGACAGGGTATTAGTTTCCATCTGGTACGTATTTCATACACGAGAAATAAGAGATCATGTTAGGAATCATTAAGGGGAAATATGATATAGTCAAGAGTTACAATATATAATAGCTTGGCGCCTAGAGATCTCTTTCAGCCTCTTCGTATATTCTTCAACGTCAGAACAAAGAAGCCAAAACATATAACCTGGCCATATACACAAGACAACAAATCCCCACTTTGGATATCTTACGATGTCGTGTGTCTCCCCTCCACTACTCCATACATATGGGGCCGAGTCCGGCCGAATCCTGGGGACCGATGTGACATGCCTCGTTAGGCAGTTCCGACAACCCACTTTTATGTTATAGACAGGTCTACTGCATATATCTCCCCTCTTGTGATTTCTAGAAAAAGTCACGAAATAGCCCAATACTCTTGTGTGCACATTAAGTAATTCGGACTCGCCGAGAGTTCCCAGACACATGCCGATCGCGGCCGAGCACTACCTCTCCTAGCGAGCCCCTAAACATGGGGAGAGTTTGTGGGCTACACATATGGCCATCTACTTCGTATTCACATGCTTATCACAGGGCCCCCTAATAGTTCTTCTATCTACCAATAATCTCAACCCAATCCATGTCTATGTCTTGTACCTTGTTCGCATTATCCTCAGTACTCGCCAACCTTTCTTAGTCTCCCACTACGAAGGACTTTGGGGACTATCGCGACGGCAAACCGTTGTTTCATTATACAACTAAATATTCCAAGCTAAATATAAGTGTCTCTAATTACAGCATTAAAGCAGGTCCCATGAGCGCATCATGAAGTTGCAAGATATATATGATCGGTATACTTTGATAATAATAGAACGCACACAAGGCTTGTCTGAAACAGTTGGTTATACAGTGGCACATTGATTCTTATAGTAGGTTCGTAGAAATATAAGGTAGGAAGACTACCTACGTCATTAAAGCTAATAATGTTGTGAGATCATCCCTGCTGTTTGCTACTCTGTTTAATAGTAGGGATATAAATACGGAGTACTTCTCCATAGATTCAACACTGATTCTTCCTCCTCTTCCTCCCCCTTTCAGTAATCACAAGAAATAGGATTAGTGTTATCTTCTCAAGATAGAACCGGAATTTCTCTCTATAGTCTTGAATTACTATGGTTAAGGAGTATGAGGCCTAAGTCTATGGATTTAGATGACCAGACTATTGGGTAGGTTTCTAATCTATTTATTAATGAATGTATAAATTGACTATGGAGTAGTCATCATGGGCTCTCTAGCGAGGTTACAGTCCCACTGGAATGCAGGGTCGCGAGATTCATCATATCAAGAGTGATCGACCTCGAGTAACGATGTCAAATGATACAGCATTATCATCAGATCAATTAACCCAACTATAGAATGGATATTTTCAGAGTATGGATATTCTTTGAGCAGAGATATAGATGATGCTTAGTTCTAGTCGAGCAAGCATCTTGTCGGGGAAAAAACTACATACCAACCAACCAGCAAGAATGTGACCAAGTGAGAATGAAAGGACCTCGGGGATAAAACAAGATAGAAACCCCTTGCATACTTTATCGGGTTACACCTAGCTACAGTAATGTAGGTCCATAGATGTCAGCCAGAAACTTACTGCACATCCACCCTTGGAGTTAATGTGCCTATTTCAAGCACACTTCACGCCTCAGCGCGGATGATACGACCAAACAAATTTCTTTTAAATGACTTTTACAGTTTCAACAACTGGAGAATCTAACTTGCAGTTTGATAGCAGAAAGTTCAAGCATGAGAGATTTCCAAGATCAAGTTGACGCAAATCGAGATGACATCCCATTGAAAGAGGCCGGAACTGAGAGTGACGATGATGAAGAGAAGCAAGTCTATCCACCGAACTCAAAGCTTGCTCCAATTTTAATCGGACTTTGCTTTCAATCCTTTTGTATTGCCTTGGTAAGCTTCATATATCTTTTTACCATCTCATGAGCTAAGGTGGACTCTTACCAGGACAACACAATCCTTTCCACAGCCATCCCTAAAATCACCGAACAATTCAACTCACTAGGTGATTTATCGTGGTATGCCAGCGCTTACCTTTTAACCACATGTGCCGTCACCCTGCCATTCGGCAAGGTATACACATATTATTCGACAAAATGGACATATATGATTGCTCTCGGCTTGTTTGAACTCGGGTCTCTGATATGTGCCGTGACACCAACATCCAAAGGATTGATTTTTGGGCGAGCAATTGCCGGCATTGGATCTGGAGGATTATCGCCGGGTGCTTTACTCGTCCTGGCGAATAGTGTGCCCCTTCACCGACGTGCCCTCTATTTCGGGATTATCGGTAGTACTAGTGGAATTGCGACAATCACAGGACCATTGTAAGTCTCGCTATTCAGTCGCGTAGACTAGCAGCTAATTTAATCATAGGCTAGGAGGACTCCTCACTGATCATGTCAGTTGGAGATGGTGCTTTTGGATAAATCTACCCTTTGGCGTCCTCACTGGACTTGTCATTTTACTTTTCTTCAAGGATTCTACTGCACCAAAGCCCGAAATCAGTCGCCTCGGGCAACTAAAGCGAATGGATCCTCTTGGTTTACTTGCATTCATCCCCGCCATCGTTTCCCTTCTATTGGGCCTGCAATGGGGCGGCACCAAATACAGGTGGAACAATCCTAGAATAATTGCTCTATTTGTTCTGTTTGGCATATTCAGCTCTGTGTGGTGTATTATCCAGATTTGGAAGCAGGACGACGCTACCGTACCGCCACGTTTACTTAAGAACCGCAATGTACTCGGGGCAGTGATTCACGCAACATTCCTCGGTGGCTCCTTTTTTGTCTTTGGATACTATGTAAGTCTCGAGTACACCCTTCTCCGCTTCATTACTAACAATTCCTCAAGCTCCCAATCTGGTTTCAAGCAGTCAAGGAAGATTCCGCATCAGAATCCGGAATCAACAACCTTCCAATGGTAGTAGCTATGATTGTATTCTCTGCTCTAGGAGGACTACTCGTTAATATCCTCGGATACTATACACCACTCATGTTCGTCGGAAGCGCATTTCTCACGATTGGCTCGGGGCTGTGTACGACTTTCAAAGTGAACAGTGGACACACGCAGTGGATTGGATACCAAGTGATTCTTGGAATTGGAGCTGGACTTGGCTTTCAGCAATGCATCAATGCCCTTCAGACTACACTACCATTACGGGATATCCCAATCGGGATTGCAATCATCACATTTGCACAGAGTCTCAGTGGAGCAATGTTTGTTTCAATTGCCCAAACTGTCTTTGGGAATAGCCTTGTCGCTAGCATTGCGGTCAATGCTCCCAGTGTCAGCCCAAATGCGTTAATAAACGCCGGGGCTGCGAATTTATCCCAGCGTGTGCCCAAAGAGATTCTTCCCTCTGTTCTACATGCTTATAACATTGCTGTTATCCAGACATTCTATGTGTCTGTTGCTGGTGCACTACTGTCTTTTGTCGGTGCTGGACTTGTTCAATGGAAATCCATGAAACGATGATTGAGATATGACGGCGCTGGTTGATCCAGTGCACAGAAGCACAGCCTTTTTGATTGATTGATATTCTTTGTTTTTTTTCTTTTCATGTTTACAGATATTTGCCATCGTGGTGCTTGTATATAAAGATGTTCAGATTGTCAGGAAAGTGAATAGTACCACATATAACATGTGAATCACAGGAGTGACATCGATCTAAAACCCAGTTAAGATATGTGTGTATGGCTAATGCAAGTAAATTATAACCCAATTGAAAGTGAAGATACAATAATCCAACCCCAGCACCTGGGCACCAGATTGCAGTTCAATGGGACTATTCCTTCCCGAAAATTCCGTCTTCGAACGGTTTGCATAGCTCTTTCCATGTTAACCACCGGCCATCAAAATCCGCCCATGCACCAGCAACATTTATGCCTTCTCTGGATGTGATCGGGAAGCTATGAGCGACGACCCATTTCCGCCCATCAATGAGTACGTCGGAAATTTCCTCCTTTTCTTTCAGAGACTGAGCCCCCGCTTCTAAAAGTGGTCGAGCGTACGGCTGAAACCATTGCTGGTACCACAAGTGATTGAGAGGAGACTTATTGCCGGCACAATGGAATAGCCCATAGATATTTTTGGTCACGAGGTTTGTCCCGAGACGCATATCCTTGATGATGTCTTTTGGATCGGCATCGATGGTGTCAGAGATTGCACTTAAGCGATATATCAATGAAGAGATAACATTAGCAGGCATGTCAATATGATAAGGCTCAAAATCTGGGGATTCAGCCACGTTTTTAGTTATCAATGCTGATGCAGTGCCGTTGGATGTAGCTGCATTGAAAGCAATATGTTGAACAAAACGGCCATAGCCAGCATTCGTCTGGAAAAGCCCGGATTCATAGTCCATCCCAATATGAAATTCCGTTTTTTGACCATGAACCTTAGTTGGAATGACTAGGTCTTTCTTTCCAGTAGGTGCGAGGGTATTTGGGTCCACATCATCATGGAATTTATGGTTGTGGATGTCCACAGAACGCCAAAATTCTTGCTCGCCCCAGATATCAGCCATGTACAATTGATCTGAGTCTCTGAACTTCGGCTGTGTTTTGTATGTGGCTTCGATCCGCTGCAAAGTTGCTGCGAAGAATTCTCTCATGTCTGCCGCCGGGCCCATTATGGTGCCAGAATTGAGCCATCGGGGCATATTGCCCTCGATACCACGGTCTGGTCCGAACGCTCCGGCAGGAATGCCGACATCTTCAGGTACAGCCCAGCACGCTGGTCGACCCTCGACGCCTGGCCAGCAGACTTTATCAGAGCCAAATAGAATGCTTTGTCGTGGGCTGTTTTCTCCAGACAGACTTTCTATTGAATCCAGGCCATATTTTGCAGCAATTCTGGCGTTGGATACTTCAATGATATTGAAGTATTGTTGAATGAGAACATCAGCGGGGAGTTGAAAAATAACATCATAGCCATCGACTATGAGTACGAGATCGTCATCAGAGGCAGGTGGTAAGTTGTCCAGATATTGCATCAGATTCCGGACTTTGGCGAGATGGCTGACGGAGGCATCCAACTTCCCGGTTTTTTCCCAACCATTGAAAATGGGAACTGGATACCCCAGTATGGTCGACGATACAATGTTCCTGCATAGCTGCAAGCGTGGGCCATTTGCAGGGATAAGCAGATGGAATTTTGAGGTTTGTGGGGGTTGTTCTGTGATGGGTAGAGTCTCTTCGTTGTGTTCAGCCTCTCCGTTGTGTTCAGCCTCTCCGTTGTGTTCAGCTTCGTTGTGTTCAGCCTCTTCGTCGAGTTTGGCCTCTTCGCCGGGTATAGCCCCTGGGACATTTACAGGTATTGTGCCGTATGTAGTCTCGTTACCCGGTACAGTCTCTGTGCCGTGTACAATGTCTTTGCCGGGTAGGATTTCCTATTTGAAAAAGAAATTAATATTATTTCCTAGTGTTGCTGAGTTATGTGCAGCAGGGCAGTCTCCAAGGGCTCTTACAGTGTCGGATGATACTGGCACAGAACTTGTCTTCCACATCGGAGACTGATATGGAAGTAAGGTGATCGAAACAACTACCATGAAGCTAATGAATATTGCCACATGCCAGCGACTGCAAGCTAGCCTCATATTGGCGGTAATGGGCAGAAGTGAAGATGCAAATGCAATAAATGATCCAGTAGCCTATGTGAACACAAATCCCTCTTTCCCTTGGGAAGGTAAAGTGAAGTGAAAAGGTCCCAAGGTGTCAAGACATGGGGCCAAGACTTATCAGCGAAGACAAGTCAAGTCCTTGAAAAGGAGATATTCTCCTATTGTATTTTTCACTTGGGTTAATTTATATCGGAAAATTAGAATAGGAGGTAGAAATAGGAGGTAGGAATAGGAGGTACATAGTAGGAATAGGAAGTAGGTATAGAGTACTTTATGGAGTATAGAAACACGCATTATCCAAAACGGAAATTCGTATGATAATACAAAATACGAAATACCGTATACAAAGAATAACTATTTTTATCTTGGCTTAAGGATTGATAGGGATCACTTACATGTATCTTATTTCAAGTTCAAATATATTTTAATATATTTTAACTGTGGCCCTGGTAGCAGGATAGCAAAAAAAAAAAAAAAAAGACGACTGGTAAAAGTTCATCTTCCTTTTCCAAATTCTTGCTGTTCACCAATCTTGCTCCAAGTATAAAATGAGTTATTCAAAGGTCAACGAGGATGAGGCAGAGCTAGCCTTGCTGAGTGATACCCTTTCAACCACTTCCGATGACCTCGAATCCAATCGCGAAGATGAAGTTACAAGCAGTACCGAGCCCGAGTACCAGACACCAACATCCGTGAAGTTCGCGTGGCTCGGTTCCTACTTCCTATTTAGCATGCTATTGACGCTATACAACAAGCTCCTTCTAGGATCTGTGAGGATGACCCTGAACATGATGAGACTCAAGTACTGATTTCCTTTCAACAGTTCAAATTCCCTTGGCTGCTAACATGTATGCATACCACTTTCGCCTCGCTGGGTAGCCTTGTGCTCCTGAAACTTGGGCATTTTGAACTCTCAAAATTGACTCCAAGAGAACATCTGGTGCTGGTCGCATTCTCTGTGCTCTTCACGGCAAACATCGCCATGTCAAACCTTTCCTTGTATGTGACCATGTTGATATCTTAAATTGTTTGGCTCTAACATCTCGTGCATAGATCCCTCGTCAGCCTAGCCTTTTTTCAAATCATTCGCAACACTGTCCCCATCTTCACCGTTTTGTTATACCGAGTCTGGTTCGGGCGCTCGTACTCAATGGAGACATACCTCTCACTGTGTCCTATCATTATCGGCGCCGGAATGACTGTTGTTGGGGAATACCATTACTCTGCTCTTGGTCTATTCATAACAGTATTCGGAGTTATTCTCGCAGCAGTTAAGGTATGATATTGAACCTTTTTATCTATTCTGAGTAGAACGCCACTGACGAGATAAAAGACCGTCACAGCCAACAGGCTGATGACAGGATCCCTGGCACTTCCTTCAATGGAGCTTCTGTTCCGCATGTCTCCACTCGCTGCGATCCAATCCTTCGTGCTTGCAGTAATTGTCGGAGAGCTACCAGCTTTTGCAGATTCCATGTCTCAGCGTGCCGCCGAGTCCTCAAAACCAGCCATCGCGGGCACCGTTGTCTTCCTACTTGGAAATGGACTGTTGGCATTTTTCCTCAACGTTTCTTCTTTCCAAACCAACAAGCTGGCCGGTGCTCTAACAATATCGGTTTGTGGGAATCTTAAGCAGGCCGTCACGCTAGCTATCGGAATATTTGTGTTTAAAGATTTCACAGTGGATATCTTAAACGGCATAGGTATCCTTCTTGTGCTAGGTGGTTGTGCATTTTTCAGCAAAGCAGAGCTCGATTCTAAGCGAGCATCTACATCATAGAGGCAATGAAGATATATATGGTGTCCATGTCTAGGGAATAATATTGAAATTCCAACATTGAATGTTTACATTAGTACATAGTAATTGATAGTCTGGTAAGGAAAGTTGAGAAATCAAAAATACACAAACGATACCAATTTGATACACAAATAGAGATAGCGGAGTCACAGTATGTAACACCTCCGACCCATTCCGGTAAATACGAAGCTATACGGAGTACTCTATACTGCATATAGCAACTGGTATTTTATATTTCATATAATATTTGCAGCTATACTCCATACTCCATATATGTATTAGTCTGTAATATATAAGTGAATAGCTATCTTCTAGGAGGGTATATGGTGATACCCCAAACAGAAAATGCCAACTACAACTATTTACATGGTCGCTTTACAAACATAATTGCCTTGGAGAATCGTCCCAATCAGGTCAGTAGTACTGTCTCCTTTCCACCTCGGTTAACTTGGATGATAAGAAAGAATGATATTATATACTCTCCGTATTGTGAGAGAATCGACACATGTGCAATTAAAGTCTTCGGATTCGTCCACATGCTGCCAAGCGATTTGGGATTCTTTATTTTTACTCGCGATTCGCTAGAGGAAAAGGCCTCCATACTAGGAATACACTAAATATAAATTCTTTGAATTCTTATGTCGCTGGGTACTAGCATTTCCGTGTATATTTTTACGGATTCGAAGTCTCTAATACATTGAAATCAGAGAAATGCCGTCACATTCCCATAATTTACTACATATGCAGTGAGAAAAGACGCGCAACGGGATCTCGGCTGCATGGACTAACAGGGACGTTAATTCTGTTGGGCTCGACATGACGTATAGCAATGCACAATAATGGGCATTCAACCGCGTGGCTATACGCAGGATTCTCAATGGCCGATAGGAATCACCAATAAGGGGTTAGCTTAGATACATTTTTGTATCATTTTCGTTAAATGGTTCTTTCATGTTTAAGTCTAGGACGGATAGAGTATTTCGTAGAGGATCAGACTAGATATTGAATACTCCCCCTATAGTTCAAATTTGCTACGAAGGAATCACAGGCAAGTAGGGTCTTGTCATTTGAACAAGAAATTAACATAAATAGAGGTGGAAGTCTTCAAATGATATTTACATTCATTGCTTCAGCTATTCCACCCGAGCCCTTCTTGAGCGGATGGAATCCGATAGGAGTCTAACTTGATAACCATGTTCTCCCGTATTGATCATGAATCTGACTCTGAGGCTATCAGTTTAACTAGAACAAGTGTGCCGACAAGTCCGGAGCAAAGTCTAGATGGACTCGACGATGAACTCGACGTTGTGTCGAGTAGTACAAGAACCACTGTCGGGGATGATAGTGACCCAGATACCCTAGTTGGCCCAAGCCAGATCCGGAGTATCTGCTGCGTTGGCGCAGGCTATGTCGGTACGTTGCCTAAATCCATGATTCTGATATCCTCTCTCGTGACCCGTGACCCATAAACTGATTATCAACAGGTGGCCCAACTGCTGCTGTCATTGCATTCAAGAACCCGCAGATCCGGGTCACCGTTGTGGACAAAGATGAGCGGCGCATTCGAAGGTGGAACTCCCGACATCTACCCATCTACGAGCCAGGGCTTGCTGAAATCGTGCGGATTGCACGGGATGGACTTCGGGATCATCCCACCTCTCCTGTGCCAACAAACTCAGAGGGAATTCCAGACATATCTGAAGGGCACGAGAGACAACAAGAGGGAACAACTACATCCTCTCGCTTGCCGAACTTATTTTTCTCCGCGAACGTTTCAAGATGTATTCGAGAGTCAGATATTGTCATAATTGCTGTCAACACTCCCACAAAGATGCGAGGATCAGGTGCAGGCAGTGCAACAGACATGACAGCTTTTGAAGCTGTCGCTGCAGATGTTGTGCAGCATGCAAGGAATGGATCTATTATCGTGGAGAAGTCCACAGTGCCATGCAAAACAGCCCAAATGATCCAGGAGATGGTAGGTCATACCATCCTTTCTTATCATGAAGATACACTCACACTTTTTATCCACATAGATTGCCATACGTCGTCCCGGCGAGCACTTTGAAATTTTGTCCAACCCTGAGTTCCTCGCAGCTGGGACTGCAATTCAAGACCTGTTACACCCGGACCGAGTTATCATAGGCTCTGAAACGACAGAAGAAGGAAAGGTTGCAGCAAAGACACTAGCTGGAGTCTATGCTGGCTGGATTGACCAGTCCCGCATAATCACTACCAACATCTGGTCATCGGAGTTGGCAAAGCTCGTGGCCAATTCTATGCTAGCCCAACGACTTAGCAGCATAAACAGCATTTCAGCACTCTGCGAGGCCACAGGGGCTGAGATTAACGAGGTCTCGGCGTCAATTGGAATGGACAGCCGAGTCGGTGATAAATTCCTCCGCGCAGGTATTGGGTTTGGAGGTAGCTGTTTCAAGAAGGATATCCTCAGTCTTGTCTATCTTGCTGAATCCCTAGGCCTCAATGAGGTCGGGGCTTACTGGCGCCAGGTGGTGACCATGAATGAACACCAGCGCAACCGATTTACCAGTCGTGTCATCAAGTGTCTGAACAATACTCTGGTTGGGAAGAAGATTACTCTTCTGGGATATGCTTTCAAGAAGGACACATCGGATACCCGTGAAGCACCCGCCCTTGAGATAATCAAGACATTGCTTGATGAAAATCCCGGGGAAATCGCAATATTTGACCCTTGCTGCAATCCATATGTCATCGAGGGCGAGATCCGCCAGCTTCATGGATACGGACCTCCGGCTCTCAGAGATGATGGCGGCGCAGTGAAAGTGTATTCAGATGTCTATGAAGCCTGCGCTTCATCCAATGCGATACTCATTGTCACCGAGTTTGATGAATTCCGAAATACTGAATTGGTTGCCGTTCCTCGTTCTTCAACCTTGCCAGGACATCTACCCTTGGACAAGGGTATGCACGAATCCTCAAAGATAGAAGCCTGTTCTAGAACAGGTAGTGTGATTGAACCGCCATATGTCGCACACACTCAAGAGAGTTATCACGTTGAGCCAGATTGTGCCATGGATTGCCCAGACTGCCAGAGAGAAAATGGCAGTGAGCTCGCTGTGAGCAAGCCCAGGGATAACATGTCTAAGAGACAGGTGGACTGGGAAAGAATTGGGGATAACATGACAACGCCGAAATGGTTATTCGATGGACGGTGTATCATCGAACCCAAGAAGATGACACAGTTAGGTATTCGAGTGGAGAGCATTGGCTCCGCTGGCTTTTAGAAGGAGTTATTGTAGGTTGAAATTTGATACAATAGAATGAACATCATCAGACGAAAACGAGATATCCAACAGACCAGTAGATTGTCTCTTCTGCGCTTCTTTCATTCCTTTGAGCCTAGAGAATGCAACAAGACTCTGGGCGGACCGGAGCCTTTTTCTTCCCTGTACCATGACTGTCTGAAGACTCCTTCCCAGACATGACTCTTATGCGGTGGGTATCCAGGGTAGAGGCTAACCAGATGGCACGGCTCATCCATGGCACGTCCGCAAAATCTGACTGGTATTCGGAAAGGATCGCTTCAATTCTTGCCAACTGGACTGGATTATCTGATGCTGCCCAAGCAACAACCAAGCATAGAGGAGTGTACGCTGCCCCAACTGGCCGGTAGCAAGATGCCAGCTCGGCTTGTGTTATAATCTCACCACACAGGAAGACAGCTTCACTCACCAAAGAAGCGTTCCAGGGATCAAAAATCTGAAGAAGACTGTTCAAAAGCACAGCCAGCGTACTAATCATGGCATAAGCAGCCTGAATACGGGAATGTCTCGCGACTTCAGGGGATGAGAAGGACACAAGAGTAAACTGTGCGCATAGATCAAGATGTTGTTTTATTTGGTGTGCATCGAGTCTCAATTGCATGTATGTCTTTGCAATTTCGGAAAGGTGTGGCTCGGGGTTTTGGACAAATTTAGGAAACATCGCGAGATGGTGCAGCTCGGTGGTGGTTGACTGCGGCCGATTGTTGTCTTGCGAGGGATGTAGACGGCATTTGAAGGATGAGATGAGTTCCCAAAACTCCGGATCCATCTTGATACGGGGGTTGACGATGCCTTCGAGTATCTGTTCAAATCATTGTGAGTAATCTCTGATGACATTAACGGAGTTTGTTCAGAGCAGTCGGAACCGAAACATACTATAGGCACACACAGTGTAATAACCATCTCCATCTCAAAGGGGTTTGTCCACTCATGTAGTGCAGCAGCCCTGAGGAGATGAGCGATAGCTTCGGTATGACTAGTGAGTGAATCATCGTATCCTCCTAGCCAGCTCTAAGAAATTGAGGATCAGCTCCAATCTCATGAATGTCGCTTTTTGACAGGTGCAAACCGAGACTTTACCTGGCAGATGGTAATCAAATAGACAGCACATAATGTGTTGGGGGTTCGGGCCTCGACTGGATTGTTCAAGCATTCTCTTAGTGCCCGCAGTGATTGCCCATAACGAACTAGTGCATTCGGTGGATAAGAGCCCGTGTGGAGAAATGGGTAAGCAGTTGACAAGGCTCTCACAGCTGAATCTAGAACAGTGCTATTACCCAATCGCCGTGGAATATCCCGAAGAAAAGGTCCATAGTAGGCCACAGCATATCGGATATCAGTCACCTGAAATGCGGCTACAAAGGCTGCTGCCATTATACTTGTGTCGGTGCTAGGTACCTGTGTCGGTCCCGTGATAAACACTACTTTCTTGCCAACCGAGAAAATTGGCCGAAGCTCTGGTTGACTTTCTGCGCTTTTTGTTTGCATCGCGTTTAGTGATTGATTTTTGAACATGTACCGCTGTTGTCCTCCCCCAACGCACGTCATCTTTAGGCGCACGCATCGTGAGCATGTCGGTTTGAGTTGATCACACTGGTTGGATTAATAAGATATAGCAACCTTGCCTGTTGGGACACCAAACCTTCTTCTTCACCTTGCGACACGCATCGCAGCCTCGACTAGATGGAACCCCAGGCATGTGTACTTTTCAACGCCTAATTGAAGGGATTGAATACGAGATGTGTACTCCATATACTGGGTAGAATCGTCTCCAAATGGGAAGGTGCGGGGAGCTGATGTGACATCATTTCATCTCAGCCCCTAAGCCTCCAGGGCTGAAGCTGAGTACTCCGTACCGGTGGACTCTTCCAAGGCTGTGTGTACAACATAAGTGGAAGATAAAGGTTGCCTAGAAGCTTGGCAATTCTATAATTGAGCCAATAATAGTTATGTTACAGCAGTCCACATCCCGTGATGCGGCGCAGTATTCTGCCTAATTGGGAAATAAAAAAAAAGATATCTATATCCTAATCTGGCGATCATTATCATGTACAATTTCAAAAGAAAAAGTATAAAAACCTGAAAAAGATCTACTCTTCTATGCTTTTGAACTTTCATTTTCACGTTTACGCTTCGACTCCCTCAGAACGCTGCATCGGTGCCTGTCAAAACCTAGTGGAGCATACCATCGGTAATTTTTACCTGAATCAGGCCATCTCACACAGCCACGTCCTTATATTGATTAGTCCGATTGTTTAAATTCCCACGTTCTGCATCTTATATCTTTTAGTGAAAGATCTACAGTGAAATTGTACATTGTACACCCAGATTTCACCTTGCAACCATGAACCATTTGCTTTCTTCTTTCTCCAACTCTTCAAATCGACAGGGTGTCACATTTTTGTTACGACCAGCGCCATGGAACTCATCAAAGACACTGGTTCACCCTTCAGACTACCCAATAGAGGCACCACCTATATATTCAATCACATCGAATGAGAGCGCTCCCCATGTGGTAGTGTTTCGGGGATGGGGTGAGGGTCCATGGGACATCATCGGCGACGCTCGACTTCCAAGCCTTTCTTCCAAAATACAGCTAGCCCTTCACGGCCAGCCAATAAACATGCGTACGAGCCAATTGTCTGGAAACTGCACTGTCGAGTCACCTGCCACCGGTCAATTGAAATGGAAACTTGACTGGACGGAAAGGAATCTGGAGTTGCAGGATGCTACTGGTAAAAAGCTGGCCAAGCTACGACCAGGAAAATCGGGCGAAAAGCTCTTAGAGATTCTTGTCCCTCATGACAGTCATTTCTTTGAGCTGATACTGTTATCGGGGTGGACTGCCAGAGTTATGAATAAGTCGCAAAACAAGACCACGGATGAGATTCTAAGCTCTGTTCTCGGGGGTTAATTGGTATCACTGGGCTTTAAACTGAATTGTTTGAGCAAGGCATCAACTTGATAAATAATTTGAAACCATACAGTCAAACCTCATTCATCCTTGTGATGTCTTTTTAGTAGTCTTTTCAGTAGTCTTCTCTATATAATGTTGCGCATGTGTACTCCGAAGTCGAGATACTTTAAATCTAACATTGGAATTATCTAGAAAACAACATATCTAGAAAACAACATTTGAACTTTCAAGCTCTGGTTACCGTCTCTTTGCCGTCTGTTTATTGTCAAACTCAAGTTGCGTGCCCAGGTGCGTGACTTCACGACTGCACCTTCCTAAGCTTCCCTTCCTATCTTCATCTTCTCTTCATCTCCTCCTCTTTACCATCCTCTCCTCTTCGCCATCCCTTTCTACGTATCATCCTCGCCATGTCTTCTACTGAATCCTCTGAATTCTCTGAATCCTCTGAATTCTTTGACGAGGAGTCCATTAATTATGAGGTTCCGTCATTGGAGAAACTCACGTTTAACGAAATTGTCGTCAGCTGAATACATTCGTTGCTGGAAAAAAGGCATCTGCGTCATTTGCCTGTGGGGGTCTTGTCTCCATTGGTACAAAAAAGCCTGCACCTGGTTTCAATTTTCAACCCGTATCCGTGTCGCTACCAGTGAGGGTCTGGTGGTGCAAAGATGGTCACAATACCCTGCGAACGGTGACTCTACCTCTTGACTCAAATGCTGACTCCAAATCCGCATCCGATGATTTGCATCAGTTGGTGGTAGATTGCGATACTGCTAGCTTTGGTAGGGGAAAAGAAGAAGTTATTGATCCTCAATATCGAAAAGCTGGGAAGCTTGAGCCCCAGAATTTCTTGACCAGCTTTCATCCAGCAGATTTCGGAATTCTTCAAAATCTCGAGCAAATTCTCCTTCCGAACTTTAACACAGACAAGCAAAACTCTCTACCGTTCCGGAAACTGAGTGCCGAGTTATACAAACTGAATGTGTGTTAATCTAATACCCCTTTTGTAACTGAATACTAATATATGCCTATTCTAGGTTTACTCGGCACCGTCTGGCCTTTTCCGGAAGCATGTTGACACACCGCGATGCCCGAGCCAGATCGGCTCATTGGTCGTTTGTTTGCCTTCTCATTTTAAAGGGGGCAACTTGGCCGTTCGGCATGAGGGGAAACAAGTTGATTTTGACTGGAGTCACCAGAGTGCGTCTGCGATTCAATGGGCAGCATTCTATAGTGACTGCGAGCACGAGATCGAGACGATCACGGAAGGCGACCGCATCACCTTGACATACAACCTCTACGCAACTGAGCCAGCGGGGGGTTCAATTCCGCCAAGCTTGATTGTTGATCCAAAGATCTTCCCGCTCTACAGTTTCCTGAAAGAACTCATTATCCAGCCTGGCTTTATGAAAAAAGGTGGGTTTGTTATATGTCGTCGTAACATAGAACATTAAGCTGACCCATCCCAGGCGGCGCTTTAGGGTTTTACTGCTCTCACGCTTATCCTCATGCGTCCAATGAGGCTGAAAAGCTACTTCCCAGGGCACTTAAGGGAGCTGACCTTGTGTTGTACTCTGTTTTCAAATCACTTGGGATATACATCGAAGTTCTCCCTGTGATCCCAGAAGGTTACTACTATAGACCCAACCGAAGCAAGGGTGAGCAACCAAACCTGGAATGGAATAATATTTGGATTTCCCGCTCAATACTTGTATCTGCTCTGAGATTGTTAACAAGATGCAGTGCGAATTGGAGACGAGCTATGTCCATTCATTATCACCGGCACCCGTGACGATACGGTAGATGTAAGTACAGAATATCGGGACTATCAGCCGGAGCATCGAATAGCTAATGTGGGACATTTATCTTAGCCGGTTGTGTTGTGATGATGTGTAGTAGTGTATTGAATGGTGTGTGGTGTGGGTGTGGGTGTGTTTTGTGTGTGTGTTTTGGTGTGTGTTGGTGGTGTGTTTGTGTTTGGGGGTGGTGGTTGGTGCAAATACAGGCCAGAGATTACATGGATCGGCTATCCAGTACACGAGGAGATGGCCCTTAACCATATCACTTATGGAAACGAGCCTGAGCAGTGCACGGTTTACTCGTATGCAGCGATGATAGCCGAGATCCCACCATTCATGGAGCGACAGGAACTGATTGAGGCGTGGGCTTTGTCAGGGGTTGATTCGAAATGATGTCGTGTTTGCTTTCTTCGATATGAGACATACCACCAGCTTAGCTTTGGCTTTGCTTAACTGGGTCCGCTGGTCTCTCAATATCTCGTCCCTTTCGTTTGCGAGATGAGGTAGAATATGACTTTAGGCTGTAGCTTTAAGAAATCGACAATACCTTCTATTTTCCCACATAAATGTAGAAAACCTTGGAAGTTATCTGCACAAACTAAGCCTTGTCCCCTCTTTTTCGCCGTTGACCTATTCGAATAGAATGATATCTGAGAAGACCACTGAAAAGACATCACAGGGCCGGTTAGGCGGCCCAGTATTCTTGTTGGCATCGATAAACATAATCTGTTACATCAGCACAAATTAATTCAACTTATAGCCATATTATGTCTTGTCTGGGGTCATCTTCGTCTTCGTTTTCTCTCTGGTCGTATTCTTATTGAAGCAGCCTAAATGCGATTGGACCTATCAATTGCACCATAGACCGCCTTTCATACCGCCTGCCTATTAAATAAACTGTCTTCACATTATCAGTATAAACGTTTCTACCAATGTGTCTCTATTATTCTGTAAAGTGCCTTCTATTACAATTTCACCGATGTTGATCCGGGCCTAAACTTGACGCGAATACCCGTACAAAACTATACGAGCCGAACACCAGGAGAAAGTTTCAACCAGGCACCGGCAGAAGTTAAGGGCGGTCTACGGTATATCCGAGGTTCCATTGTATATCAACCTGTCGGCTTGGATATAGTTTATATAAAATGAAGTTCTGGTTTTCTTCGACATGAATACAAAATCCTAATACCTCCAGTTTATATTCCTGTTCCTAGTCTTGGCAGGAGAGACACCATATTCTACTTGTCCGATTCGTGATCCGTAAACCCCCAAAACTGGGTACGGGTACGGAATACGAATACGACGTAGGGGAAGTTCGTATCGTGCGCTTTTAAGATAATACTCACGCGACCAACTTGCAGAGCCTCTCACGGTTTGCAGAGCCTCCCAGAGCCTCTCCCCCCAGGTTCAATAATTAATTTCGAAGGGCCTAAGCTTTGAAAAGGGGCCAGATAATGAATTCGTATGCGTTTGGGGGCTGGAAGAATTTCCGACCTATTAGGAATTGACAACAAACCCGACATTATCGGCTGTGCAGTTGTGGAGATTTGTGCATTGCGCCAAGTGACCGAGGGCTGACCGGGGGAAACGGAAGGAACCCAGTATGTATCTAAATTCAGAGTAGCGTGTTTTAGATGCCTAACCAGGAGCGGACCTCGGGATAGGGGGTATGGAGTTCGGAGTACGCCTTACAAACTCTATTCGGATAAAAGAAAGGAGGTTGAAGAAGGTAAAGCGGTTATGTTCATTATATATCAAAATTTATGTACATTAGGATGTGCTGTACAAAAGGTTCACTCCAAAACTAGGTCTTGGGTTTGGGCCAGCCATCGATATCCCCGAACCATCGCGACCGGTAGATTTCATTCCCTTGCATGATCTTGGTACGCACACCGTCGACCACAAGACTGGTGTAGTTCCCTCGGAAGAGAGTCCATAGAGACTGAGTGTAGATGTAGCTTCCATCGGGGGCGAGACTGAAACCCTTAAGGTCTGATTGCGGCAAGTCCACGTATTCACCCGCACGATTGACCCCGTGCCGATCGTTGGTGGTGACCTCGAATCCGGGCATATATTTCTCGATGACCTCGTCGTATTCGGCGGTGAACTTCATTTTATCGATATCAAAGGCGTGGAGACCGATATCGTTGGATACGAGGAAAACTCGTTCATTGGGGACAGGAACGAGATCGTGGGGCCCAGCCCACCAACTGTATCCGTGTCCCCATTCAGCGTCGATGTCGTAGTATTCGGGAAATCGGAATCGATAAGCTTCATCAATGCTGAGAAGACCTGTCTCGGCATCGAAAGGATATCCCTGAATGACACCGTATGCGGGTACGGGATCCGAACCATCGGCAGCGGCATCCGTTCCGGTCGCCCATAGCATCTGACCCTGCTCATCCCAGATCATAGCATGGATGGCACGAAGACCTTCGATTTTTTGTAATACCGGAGGTTCATTGACGAGAGGGAGAGCCTCGCTCATGTTGTAGACCAAAATGCCATCCCACGGCCGTTGCCCAGTGGTTCCGACAGCGAGACGATCACCGGGTAAAGGTTCGATGGTATGGGCATTGTGTAAGACATCATTTGCTCTGTTGAGAGCGAAAGTGATTTTCTTATCGATGGAGGGTTGATCGGGAGTGTGGTTGACGACAATGACGGTAGCACTGTAAACGGCGGCCACGCTTCTCCCACCTCGCATCCACTTCATATCGGTTGCATCATTAAAATGACTGTATAATCCCTCTTTGATCAAAGGCGGTAACTCTTGAGTACCAACATCTTCTCGTTGCCAACTCCATTTGACGACACTATTCCGATCGTGAATTTTCAATACGGGCGGGATAGCATAATGTCCGGTAATGATCTCTTGCCAGGGACCTTGTTCAGGAATGGATACAGTATTTTCAGCCTTGAGTCTAGGTTGAGGTTCAATAAGAGGAACTTGAAATGCTAGTGGCTCAAAAAGGAGCGAAACCCAACCGAAAACGCTCCCCAACATGTTGGAGGGGGGTTAAGAAGAGAAGCCCAAACAAAGGTTCGTTTAAACCGCCTTAACGAGAAACTGCCGGTTTTATTTCTCTTTTTTTATTTCTTTTTTTATTTCTTTTTATTTTTCTTTTTCTATTCCTTTTCCAAAAGCGGAAAGGTGGAGAAATTCCTATTTCTTGGCGGTCTTGGCAGGTTTTGGGGCCATTCGGGACATTTTGAGGGGAGAAGATTTGGAGGCGCTGGGGGGGAAATTGGGGGCGATTTTGATAGTCACACTGACAATTCCCCTATTAAGAAGAGAAATATAGAAAAGAAATCAACAATCCAATCACATTTTTATAAAAAAATAATATATAACATAAACATATATAACATATAAAATAAAACAAGTCAATGGCAAAAGTCACCGCCCCCCCCCTCAGTCATCGTCTCCACATAAATCCCACTTGACTAAAAAGAGAAGAGACCCTTCTCCTTCTTCCTTTTTTCCTCTTCAAATGTCGGGGGTGTATATACATTTGCTATAATCATGAAAGTCGTTCACGCTGTACATGCTTATTTAACTCACGGCATCCGGCGTGTTCGTCAGTCTCCTGCTGAGACCCTGGATGCCGTTTGGGATTTTGCCCGTCGCTATTTTTTCACTCTTGCCTTCCTTTCACTCTTTTTGGCCAAATTTTTGCATCTTTACGCTCATTTATATTCTTTACCCCTACCACGATTCTTCCTATGGGGTCTTACTTTCTTTTTCCAAGATGTTATCATACTACTGTTGTTCCGCATTCTTGCCCAAAAGGTCGCGTGGCGACCAGGAGCCGCCCTGCTTGCAATTTTGGTTATCCCTTCTAGGTAAGTGTCCACGTGCCTTTTTTTCAACCTTCTACCATTGCCAATCTATAATGGATGGCAATGACAATTGAAATTCGAATATACTAATTAAATATGCAGTTTAATCGTTTCGTTTATGGCTGCCGCCAATACCTCCTTCTATGTCTTTACCGGTGCTGAGATCCACTGGCGCCAAGCCAAATCCTTCAATGGCGATGCCGCCGCTATGCATACCCTGCTCTCCGGTTTGACCGGCTTCTTAATTGTCGAGGGAATCCTTTTGACAATTTCTTTGTTTGTTGCCCATCCTATTCATGCAATCACTGGAGGAATCCTGCATGTCTGGGCCTGGCCTATTCGGTGGTCGTGGGCTCGTGTGCGACCGCACGTGGAGCCCCTTATCCAACGCTTCTGGCCTAAAACCAAATCCGAAGCCCCCGACCTTCCCGATCCTCGAATCTATGAACAGATCAATATGGATGACAACGATGATATGAGTGATAATGAAGAGGGGGACCATCTGTTGAATACCGCTCAACTACCCAACCGCCTCCCGAAGTCCAAGCGAGTCACCGATGGTGTGCTACAACGGTCTATCATCCTGGGATTGTTCAGTCTCTTCCTCTTCCTCCGTTTCTTGCGGCCGTGGGATCCGATCTACATGTACATGTCAACCACCTTACCCTTGACGACTATCATCGAGGGCGCCGAACGTCACTCCCCCGTCGATACCACCGGCGCACCCGGAAATTTGAATTATTTGGACCAGGCTACCGCATTGCGCCCACCACCACGTTGGGGCTGGATGCCAAAGGAACCCATCAGCGGTTTCGAGGACTGGGATCAGACCGAACTCATGGCGCTGCACTATAACCCGAACGATGACCCATTGCATATCTCCAACCTCGATCAACCCGTCCTGGAGGAGATTCACAAGGCATTGTCGAGCGGTGATGTCAAGATCAAGCATGTGGTTTTCTTGAAACTAGAGAGTGCACGTGCCGATATCTTCCCGCTACAAAAGGACAGCTTCATGTACAATCGCATCGCGGAATCATGGAAGGACAAGAAGATTCCCGGAGAGGTGGTAGACCGCCTGGCAAACCTTACCCGCACCGCCGAGTTCTTGACCAACTTCCCCAATGGATTTGAGCACGATGATTCCCGTTTCGGCCGCAAAGCGTACGGTGGCATTAGCGCCAGGGATGCCATCACCTCCGCCACATATACTCTCAAGAGTTTGACGGGAAGTTTCTGCGGTGTGACCCCATTGGTCGCCGATTTCAATCGCGAATTCGACCACCACATCTACCAGCCCTGTCTGCCCCACGTCTTCGACGCGCTCAGCCAACAACCGGATATCACCAGCGAGACCGACGACTTCACCAAGTGGCCGTGGCACTCGACCTTTATGATGTCGGTCACCGAAACGTACGATAACCAGGATAAATTGACTCCTCAGTTGGGATTCCGTGACAAGCAGACCAAGGAGACCATCACCAAGCCTGAAGCCAAGTATTATCCTGTCAAGAGTGCCGAGGTAAACTACTACGGATATCCTGAAACGGAGCTTCGAGGGTACATCCGTGATGCCATCGATGATGCGGAGCGCGACCACCACCGTCTCTTCCTCTCCCATCTCACGAGTACCACTCATCATCCATGGGGAATTCCGAACAATACCTTCGAAGAGATTATGGGCTCCAAATCCGGTTCGAACAACGATATGAATCGATACCTGAACTCGGTTGGTTACGTGGATGATTGGCTCTCGGAACTCATCGATATCCTGGAGGAGAAGGGAGTGGCCAACGAGACCTTGTTCGTCATGGCTGGAGATCACGGTCTTTCTCTTCCCAACGACGGCGGTATCACCCCCTACGACAACCCCCACGTTGGCAGCTTTAAGGTCCCTATCGTGATTGCACACCCTCTACTCCCTCCCGTGCAGATCGATACCCCAGTCATCAACACCCAGATCGTTCCCACCATCATCGACTTGTTGATCGAGTCGGCATCCCTCAGCGAGGACAGCACACGGTCCGCCCGCGATCTTCGCTCGCTATACGAAGGTCAATCCCTGATCCGGCCCCAGGTCGTCGAGAAAGACGGACGCGAAGCTTGGCATTTCACCGTTATGAACACCGGTGGTTCATGGCTATCCGTTCGGTCCGCCGCCCGACCCGAGTTCCGCCTCGTGATCCCACTAGTCAACGACGTAGAATGGCGCTTCTCCGACGTGTCCAAAGATCCGAACGAGCTTAAGCCAATGGAGCGCTTCAGCCTTGCAGATCTCGCAGCCGCCGTCGAGAAGGAATACGATGAAGCTACTCTCGAGTGGCTATACAACGCATCCTACGTCGCCAACTGGTGGGTCCTGGAGAACTGGGACCGATGGCACTACTCCAAAGAAGAGGCCAAGAAAGAGGAAAAGAAAGACAAGATCTAAGCATTCTCATGAACCAGTTGGTCCCCGAATTTTTTATTTACATTTCATCTATCTTAATACTTGCATGCCTCATCTACCAAGCGTCTACTTGGAATGGGCACTCCGGTTTTACGAGAATGCCACCATGGCGGGATCGTTTCGTCCTGACCATGTGGGAGCCAGCCGAGCACAGCTTCGCCAGATCGATCGCGAAACCTTGCGTTGATCGTTTGGTTCGGCGTCAATCTCGTGAATGAGATACTGTGTGTCTCATCACGGGTGCTCCCACACATCACGGCATGTCGTCCGGGGTAGAAGCGATTCTTCTTCATGTACTTGTTTATATATCCATCCTATCTACTGTGAATGCCTTGTACTTATCATAACTGGATGTCATTTTTTGTCATATTATTGCAAATATCACCTTTACATTTTCTCCGATTCATTATTTTTTTTTGGGGTAATCTTAAGTTAATGGGAAATGCTACGTATGAACAGACTTAGTCCATAAAGAGTAGTGACATGAGTCATTCAGAGTAATGTAGCAATGGATGGTATCTGAGCCAGGTACTAACTGTTTGCTGGACATATTCATCATACAAGTTAGAATCCGAATCAAAGGTTCGATCAAATTGCACCAATGATTGAATCCAAGTACCTAGAATCACCAAAAGGGAAAAAGAAGGGGAAAAGTACAAACGTCAACTGCTACTACCTTCTAAATCTATGACGTGTTGTAACTTCTATGGTGTCCGATGGATATTCCGGCTTTGGTTAAGCGCCTAAATGCTCCATATACTGGCTGGTAAACTCTGCTGGTTATACATCATGAAGCCTGTGGCCCTGTACAGTTTATGGAAATGTAGAGTAGGCCAAGAACAGGTCGTAAATCGATACTTCGTTGACATTGCACGAGTCATGCAATTCGATGACCTCAGTTGTATATCCGCTAAGCCTTTTTGGGAATTGCTGCCTTAGGCCTTTTTACAACTACACCTGAAGAGCTAAGGTATAAAGATACCTAGTTATGGACTTGCAAATGAGAATACAAATTAAATGGAAATGTGACAGGTATTCATGCACATTAAAGTATTGCAATGATCAAGGTACTTCCACAATATGTACAAGGGACTCGATACGAGACCCGAAAGTAAACAAACAGGAAAAGGGGAAGAACCAAGTATTGATTCCCCCAATTAAATGCTGTAGGTTTGACCAAAAGAACCCGTTGCGGGATTGCAAGGAAGACTCAATGAGAGTCTCATTGCTCATGTCTCATCGCTTCATGTAAACAAAGGAAACAAAAAGAAAAACAAAAACAAAGGGAAATCGTGGGAACGCCATCCACAACCAATGGGGAAGCCTCCAGAAACAAGGGATATCCAACTCCAACTGATGAACACAAATCAAAAATTAGACTAGATGACGACGACATCACCCTCGGCATCGGCGGGGTCGGAGACCATCATGTCACCGTATTTACCAACCGCCAGCAACATAGTATCATCCTCAAGGTCAATCGCGCTATCGTCATTGTTATGACCTTGGAAGCCCGGATCTTGAAGAGAGAGTCGCTTCTCGCTAGGAGGGTGTTTAAAATCTGGGTGTTGACTGGGAGGATGACTTGAGTGGCCATTGTGAGTCGCAGGACTCGGGTTGGGTTTGACTTGGGAATCATTAGAGGCATCAAAATGGGATGTCTCTGGGACAGACGCTTGTTTCATTTGAAAATGGCCATGTGATTCGGGACCAAAAGTCGCACTTTGCAGTGACCCAGGGGTATTGCGCATGAACCCACCCTTCTCTGCTTGCCAGACCATCATCTCGTGGAAGAAGACTTTGGTCATCCACCACGCACTAAAGCTCGGTGCTCCAGCCAGAGTAAGTCGGTGCAACACGCTATCCCACAGGGCATCAACCTTTTCAATGACACACTGCGTGCGGTGATTGGCAAAGGCAGCGGGGATGTTGAGGATAAACTGAACCCATTTATCAGGGAAATTATACTCGTCTCCGGGAGCACTTTCCACTGGGAACTTGTGAGCCTCAACAGAATCAGGGGTATCAGGTTGCGTGAAGAAAAGCAAGCTTGCAGAGGGGTCGACATCAGTCAATGGAGTCAAGAGTGCACGAATGTCATGCTTGAGGATTTGCTCCGTCGCTGCCTCGGCACATGTTGGAATGTTCGCCTTGGTCATCATATCCCTAGGGTTAACCATAGACTTAAAGTCGGCCCACATTTGGTTTCGGTTATCCGGGTGGCAAAGCCAGGCAGCAGCGGCATTAGCAGCCTGGTTCACATCAAGCATATGCTTGAGGAGATTGCAGAAAATATGCGCCGGAATCAAACGTGCTATAGAGACATGGGTTGGTTGGCTCTTGAAGGTCTCAGCGATGTGACCGCAAAGCCGTTGTGAGATAGAGTTAAAAGCATCTAGGACTGGCTTGGGGACCACCTGGGTTGTCAGGGGCGCCACAAATGCAATCATCTTCTGGTACATCATCCAATCACATTCCTTGATCCATGCAGCAAGGTTGGGATGGGTCAACAACTTTTGAACAGGAACAGTCAATGTTCCATGGAAAGCGGAGAAATATTTCATAAGATTTCTTTCCTTGCAATATCGGAAACTGTCGATGACCGAAATGCAGTGGGACCGGTATAGGGCAGCAAGAGCTGCAGCAACTTTCAAGTCGGTGTTTGCAGGCAAGTAGGCACGGATATCGGGAAGTTGGAGTGTATCGTTATCAACCAAGGGGTTCTCATCCATCGGGAACTGAAGCATCTGGTGTATCATTTTCCCAGCCTGCTGGGCTACATTTTCGCGGGTAATCGTTGCATCTGGCCCGGATGAGGTTTGGCCTTGGCAGTTGCAGTCGGCAGGGGAGGCGTTGTTCGGGAATCGAGGAGCAAAAGAAGTTGTGGGAGATGGGAACACGGCAGTGTCGGCAGTCGGTTGCTGTACGCTAGCACTAGTGATTTGTTAGTGAGAGGAAACGAAGATTGATATCAGTCATATCTCACCTTCTCGAACGCATCGCACTGGCAGTCCTGGAGGGCATGGAAGCGGAGCCATTTGAGTGATGAGCAATTTGTGGATTGAGAGGGGCAAGCTTTTGTTGCTTTTCCTCAATAACCGACAAATCGACGTAGTGATACTTGGACTCGCCTCGTACTCCAAGACGCCGAGTCTGTACATTAGGGAAGATAATGCGAACCAACTTTCCGAATGACGCAGGGTTCAGTACTGAGACTCGTTCCGTTCCACAGTTCTCTGCATAGCAGCAATAAACCCGGTCACGACGCACTGAACCACTGCTCTTCCGGCAATTTTCTCTCAGCCTGTGGGCACTGTTAGACAAATGGTTGCAGGACATTTGCGGCAATGTGTCTTACCAGATCATCGCGAAGACCTGCTTCACTTTCTCAGCCTTGCCCCCGCCACCCTCATTCTTCATCACTTCAGCCGCCATTTGTTTGAGACTCCATCCCTCATACTGGCGAAGCAGCTTTCGTAACTCATTGTCATTTGCCACCGTTGAGCTCGCTCCTCTTTTCTTTTTAGTCCCCGGCTCCGAGATTTCTTGCTCCTCGACCAAGTGGTCCGGAAGGTGGTTCTCGACACCACTGTCATATATCGGCTGGTATTGTGAAACAGGTACACCAGGCAAGCCGCTTGCAATTTCAGACTGTATGGGGTGGTGGGACAGCGGATGACCTTGCATCGGGTGATTCGGAAAGTCTTCAGCTCGAGTCATCGCAGAGTGGGGGTCTTGCATTGATTGGTCCAGTGGTGAACCGTTCTGATGATGTGAAAGCTGGTGCCCAAATCGCATCAGCATGTCCTCGGGGTTGTTGAACATATGCTGGCCCGTTCCAACTTGTGATGGCATAAACTGTGGGAACCCGTCAAGGTGCTGGTCCTGGGTTTGCTGGGTGGTGCTTGAGTGGATGCTTGCTGTTGATCCTCGGGATCGAGGACGACGGCTAGCCCTAGAGAGGGCCTCGGAGCGAGCTCGCACAGGGTCAGCAGTACCTGGCCTGCTTTGAGGGGCGATCTGTGTTGTCTGGGACACTACACTGCCCTGCGAGTGAGCTCGGGCTTGCGGGCACGTCAGCATGGAAAAACCAAAAGACCCGCAGAATAATTTTTTAGTGGATTGTGCTTACCGAGTTCTGGCGGCATCATGCTCTTGCTTCGTTTGAGTTAGTAAGTGGAGGAGCCGGTAACCAGGGCGATGGCCAGTGTTTCTCGTCTCGCAGCGTTCACAAGACCATTCAAAACCAAAATTTGGCAGGCACACCCGACAAACAAAAGATAGAATCCAAAATAATGCAAGAACATTAACCAAAATTTGTCGGTTTGTCGCGAGCCTGGAGCTCCAAAAGGCTGCGTTGTGTGAGTCGAGGGAGGATAAACAGAAAAGGGCCCGTTCCTCTGACAACGTTGTTTTTCCCATTCGGTCACGTGTTGGCGGTCAGCATTCTTGCCATAACAAAGGGTCTTGAAAATGAGCTGAGGAATGATTTACATTTGAACTATAGTTAGGTTATTGAACGTAAGGGCATATTCTATCACATCTTTTCATGTTGTATAAGTTACTATTTTCTTTTTAAATAACTTTACCTATGTTCTGAACTTGAGTTAGTTATCACGTGATATATATCAACAACGTCTTCTATAGGGCCAAACAACATACATGTACGGAATATAAGAAACCAACACTGCCTTGGAAAACATCATTAGCATACAACATACGATCTCAAAGTATAAATAGATGCAGAGGAATCCTCTTAGCTTCGATGCTGGAACTTTTGGATACAACTACATAATTGGCTATCAACTATGTATAATATTGTTGCACAACATATTATACAGGATGGTAATATATACAACCTAGTAAGAACCACAATTCCCACAAAAAGATCGTTCCTTGATATGTTGTATGTTTAGAAATCCTAGAATTCTACGGACATGTAGATCTATGGTCTCCACTTACGGAGTACTCCGTACCTTTTT